CCTACTGTACTAACCCTCCAATGCCTCCCATCTTCCTACTGTCCTTACCCTCCTACCTTCTCTGCTGCCACCCCTCTTCCCTTTGGCTGATGATACTTCTGTGCTTAAGTCACATTTTAAATCCATAACTAAGATACTCAGTAGAAAATGGGTGCGTCTTGTTGAGCAATAAAGGGAATTTAATAAAAAACAGAGAGCAGGTATCCACAATGAGCTGTTTCTTCAACGTGTCCGAACAGTTTTCTGATTCACCTGTTTGAGACTGTGTTGCATTCATGGGAAGGAGAAAGCGTAGGGCGTCGTAGTTCTCTCTACGGTTGGTGATGTTCGCTGTTTTCTATTGATCCGTGTGAGATGCTGGTTTTCGACGTGTCCAGTCACTCGGTGGATGACTCACGCTCCCAGTGAGTCTGTTTCCCGTCTGTAGCTGAAGGATGACTGACAAGCCCCGCCCACTGCACCTAATCTTGTCTGACAGAATCTTTTAGATACCATGATTAAGCTGCCGTTGACTCATTGGGTGCTTTACATTCGAAATTTACCTCACCTCATGGCCTATAATATATAAAAATCTTGTGCATCAATAATTGAGTTTTAATGTGATGGGCCTTTTTAAATTAAAAATACAGGTTGATACTCCAAATGTTTATTTCCCACTCCAAAAAATGGAAGGGAGTTGTTTGAGTTGTTTGGGCACGTTTTCGGTTGTGGCGTGCTGCCAGCAGCGTGTTCTTTTCTCGGAGCTTAAGGGCAGGTACTTTGGGAGGTGACTTAATCACGAGTCAGCGCAGCCGGGAGGACGGATGGTGAAACAAACCGCTGTCTCACGGTTCAGCGCCGCGTGCCACGGTTATTTGTGCCAATTTTCTGGCTTCACCGGATTCCGGGAGCTTGTTTTCTTTTTATTACATGCGGAGATTAAAAGGGGAATAACACTTAATGTCTGAAACTTGTTATTTAGAGACTTGTTATCCGTTTGTGTGTCAGTGACGACCCACAAAGTTAAAATGAAGGTGTACTCAGAAAAGACACAAAAGGGGATTTTTAGAGCTTCACTTTTTAAAAGTCTGTCTGGTGTGTGCTTCACGTTTCACCTTCCTTTGTCATGTTTCTAACAGTCCCCTCAGCTTCATACAGAGCGCAATACTCAACATGTGGATAAGCCCTTTAAAACTGGGCGCATTCATTCATTCATCATTGAAGGCTCATGTGAGGTTTATTTGACCTTTAACCTTTCTACACGCAGGACGGATGGAGGACACAACTGTGTGGGACCAGACAAGTCCTACCGCACCTGCAACATCCAGGTGAACGAAACAAACGAACCCGAGACAATGGTCCTCACGTTGAGAATATTGTGTGGTCTGTTATGCTTTGACTGTATCTGCTGAAAGGAGGTTTAACTTTGTCCCCCCCATTGTCCCGCTCAGGACTGTCCCGAGGGGTCCAAGGACTTCCGTGAAGAGCAGTGCTCCCAGTTCGATGGCACCAACTTCCAGGGGAAACTCTACAAGTGGCTCCCGTATTACGGAGGTAAGAAGCAACGTAAAAGTAGTATTTGCAACAGCAGGTAATGTCCTCCAGAACCCCCCCCCCCCCCCCTCTCAACCCCCTTCCCTTAAACCCGGGTGGGGGTCATATTGGGGAACAACCCTTTTTCTAAACAGAACGCTGGTGTCGCCGACAGCCGAGAACGCCTGCGAGCTGAACTGCATCCCCAGAGGAGAGAACTTCTTCTACCGCCACCGCAGCGCCGTGGTGGACGGGACGTCCTGCCACCCCGGACGGAGGGACGTCTGTGTGGGGGGAGTCTGCAAGGTGGGCCGCTCTCCGCACACAAACACGCGCACATGGGCACAGTCCAAATGAGGATGAACCCGTCATTTTATTATCAGATCAAAGTCCCAGGAATGAAACACGTCATTGGCTCATTAACAACAGTGGACACACCGAGAGGAGCCAAGCAGCAGCAGGAGGAAAGATTAGTTTCACTATGTGGTAATATCAAACACCTCCTCTATTTAACCTCTGACATCGAGCCCTCATCACCTCCTCTCTGGCTGTCAAATAAACCCCCGTGCTTCTCACGTTTTAATTTCCAACATTATTGCGAGGTTGTTGCCTTCACAGAAAGATCGTGTTGCCACAGGTCTACTTTTCTCTCCAACCAGCTCTCGTATCGGTTCGGAAACCTTCACTTCTGCGACTGGACCTTTGCCGGTTCGAAGGGGTTTATGTATGTTTTTTCTGATAACGCGTTTCCCCGCTTTACCCTCCTCAGCGCCTCGGCTGCGACAACACGCTGGAGTCTGCTCGGCAGGAGGACCCCTGCCTGCAGTGTGGGGGCAACGGACAGTCCTGCCACCGAGTCAAGAACAGCTTCTCCGTGCGCGGCCTCCCCACCGGTACGCCGCGCGTTGAGTCCGCTCGGCCCTTTTCACTTTGACTTTGCCGCGTCTCGTGTGTTTGGAATGTGTCTCGTTTTTTTTTTTTTTGCTTCTCAGGCTACAACCAGATGTTCATCATCCCCGTCGGAGCCACGACCATCAGCATCAGGGAGACAGTGGCCACACGCAACTACCTGGGTGAGTTTTGAGGATCAGCGGTTTCTTCTGTCATCGCACCCTGACCGTCTCCTCTGTGCGCCGCCAGCTATCAAAAACCTGCGCGGCGAGTACTACCTCAACGGCCACTGGGTGATTGAGTTCTCCAGGTCGACGCCCATTGCTGGGACGGTTCTGTACTACCAGCGAGGGGCCGAGGGGGACAACGTCCCTGAAACCGTCATCGGCCGCGGCCCCACCACCGAACCCCTGGTTGTCGAGGTGACTGATTCTTTTCTCTACGGCAAATGTTTGGCTCAGACCTTCTCCCTAATACATGCTTTTTAGAAAAGCAAAGGATGCAGTGGCCGTGTAACAGCGGGCAGCTGTTTTCAACCAAATAAGTTTGATGATGCGTTCTGAGCCACAAACAGAATACGGGCAAAGTTAACAACTGGCATTTAGCGGCGAAAAAGCAAGAGGTTCCCCTCAGAAGTAGGTGGAGAGCAAAAAGGAGAGTAAATATTGGACTTAGTTGTAAATCGTTGCTTTATTGGATGTTTAAAGGCGATTCACATTCATCCATATGAACCTGAGGGGATAAAATGCAGCCTTGTGTTCACAGCTTGTTTACTGCCCTCAAAACCCCCCAAAAATAGGAATTGGAGCCTAATTCCTGAACAATTCACAAAACATTAGGATTTGAGGTCTGTGTATCCATGAATAAAAGTTGCGATCAGAGAGAATCTTTCGGGACATTGGTGACTTTAGAGAAAGGAATTTGCACTTTGACGGACATCCTGAGCAACTGATCTCTATCTTTGCGGCCCGACCCTCTCAGCTGATCAGTCAGGAGCCAAACCAAGGAGTGGAGTACGAATTTTATCTTCCCAACGGACGCTCCAGACAAGGCTACTACTGGAGTTTTGGATCCTGGACTTCCTGCAGCGCAGAGTGTGATTCAGGTCCGAGTCTCAAACGAACACATCCAGTCATTTAGGCATCTCTGAATGCAGACCAGGGCGTGTTTACACCTGCTTCCTGTGAAATGTCTCAAGTCGCTTCTCATTCTCGCCGCCATCAGGGTACCAGTCCCGCTCGGTCTTCTGCACCATTGACAACGAGTCGTACCCCGACTACCTCTGCGCATCTCTGCCGATGCCTCAAACCAACCGCACATGCAACGCCCATGCGTGCCCACACGTACGAAGGTAAACAAAAGAAATCACCTGTAGAAACGTGTAATTCTGTGGACTTCATTTTATTTCTTGTTCTATCGGGAGTGTCGCTTCTTTTTGGGCTGAGCTCGTAAAAAGTGGAAAAAGGTGCAGCCGGATGACTCCTGCGTGCGTGTTGTGACTGTCTGAAAGGATGGCGTACCTGTATCCACCACAGTTGTGGAGATCCTCAAAAAGGCCCAGAGCCTGTGTGTTCAGGTAACTCGGGCTCGGTAGTCGTAGTGTTTAGAGTTTTAGCAAACACACGGGGGGGGGATCTCAATCATTAGGTCATCAGTTTCTATCATTTTCTCTGCATGCAAAATCTCTTCTTTTTTTATAGCAATTTTCTTAAATAATTTTCATTCTCTACTTTCCATTGGCTTACAGAAAGTGAAAAAAAGCTTTAGCCAAGTCTCAAAAAAATGCATTCCCGAAGTGCGACGCATGTCGAGCCCTCCCCCGTCGGATGCGTTTGACTCGATATCATCTGTGTTTAGCGCAAAGCCTCGTTCCTCCACGCGGCGAGAGAACAAAGGCAACAACTGTCCAGCTCAGAGATCTCCTTCCAGCCTTTTAATGATCCCCATTAGTCTCTCACACACACACAAACACTTAACAGCGCTCTCCCCGGGGCGACCGAGCGGAGATTTGACGCCAGATCTCCATCAAAGAAACCGCCTCCTCCTCCTCCTCCTCCAGCCTCCCAGCCTGTGGCCCCTGCACCTGATCGCTGAGCTGGGCGGCTGCCTGGTCGCTTTAGCGAGCTGTGTTAAAAACTCCCCGTGCGTTGGCGTAGCTGCTGTGTTGTTTGTTGAAGGTCGAAGGTCGTCATGCGGGGCGGCGTTGGGGATTGCGTACAAGTGAGCGGGACACAGGCGGCGGCGAGGGTGGGAGTAAATAGCCGGGGCTCCGGTCAGCGACTCTCTGGTATTTCCTGCCTCTCTTCTTTGGTGCCGCTGCTCGGAAACCCGAGATGTTCAGGACGCCCCGGGTGGCGACAGCGGCCCCCTCGTTATCCCTCGATTGAAAGATATCGGCCACGAGCAGCGGATTCTTTCCGTTCTTTGTGATTGATGCTTCTCGTGATCAAAGTAACCAAGAGGTGGAGAATCATTTCTGTCCTTCAGCTGCTGGTTTTCATTAACACTGCATCTCCAAAACGCACGTGTTGTTCCTTGTTTAGTGTTTTAGTAGCTTTGTTAAAACAATGCATTTTATTTTATTTTATTCCAAAACACTTGCGTCCATCTGATCCAATTAGAATGGTTGTAAATGGGACCATTAGTCAGATCAATTCGATGGTAGAATGTAAAATTTAACATTCAGTTTATCATTTCAAGTTGTTAATTGAGCAAAATTAACAAGTATATCTGCATCCAGCTTCTTACTTTTAAGGAGTTGTTTTTTGTTTCACATCATCTTAAATACGTTTGGACTTTGGGTCAGAAATCTGTCAATCTGTGATGGACATTTTGACGAATGCAAAGTGGGGTTGGGATGTTTTACCTTTTCTTATGTTTTCCATCCCATTTTGCACCAATACTGTTTTGAAATAATGTCTCTTGACCCGTCTGACAAGTTTTCGTTTTGCTTCTCTCTCTCTCTCCTCTTCCTCGTGTCTCCTTGTTCCAGCTGGGAAACCGGAGAGTGGAACGCCTGCTCCATCACCTGTGGTGGAGGCTCCCAGGTGCGCAGCGTGCAGTGTGTCTCCCATGATGCCGCGGGCCCCCGCGTTGTCGAGGACGCCGTCTGCGCCGCCTACTCGGAGGCGCCGCCCACCCTGCAGACCTGCAACATGCAGGAGTGTGCAGAGTACCAAGTGACCGGATGGAGCGCGGTGAGAGAAACACAAACTTTATTTACTCTTAATTCAACGATGAATTAATGAATTATCAGCATACGAAGCTCACACTTTAAGCTCTTATATTCTAACTAGAGTGAAAAACTGCTAAATTTATTAAGCTTGATCGAGAAAGCGGCTAGAAAGTGGTTGAACAAGTGAAGATGAGTGAAAATTGATTAATATAAAAAATGTAACCACATAATAAACGGGTTATATGAGCAATGAGTTGTGTGAGTTTACTTTAAGGTCTGCAGAAAAAGCAGCAACCTAAATATCTTTCTCTTCAGCAGGAAAGGAAACGTTTCTTTATATGTAGTTTGTATCCATCTAAAAGGAAGATCAGATGCTCAGCTCCTAAATGCAAAAGTCCAAATGACATTCTATCCCAAACTGAAGCCAGAAAGCGCCCATAAGCTCTCAGTCTTTGAGACACGCTGCAGATACGAGTCTACTCTTCTTCGCCAATGCGTGCTGTTGTGTGCGCAGTGCTCCGTGACCTGCGGCCCGGGCGAGCAGACCCGGGAGGTCGCCTGTGTGGGCTCGGCGGGGACGCTCCTGGAGGAGCCCTCCTGCGGCGCCCTGCTGCGCCCGGCCGCCGTGCGACCCTGCGAGACGGCGTCCTGCCTGAGGCAGATCGGCTGGCACGTCGGGGACTGGGGACTGGTGAGACGCCGCGCAAACGGCTCCCTTGTGTGGCGGCTGAACGCGAAGCCGCGCTGTCCCGCGATCAACGCTTCTCTTCTCCCCCCCCCTCCCCCCCCCCACCGTGCAGTGCTCCAGGAGCTGCGGCTCCGGCTCGCGGGAGCGCCGGGTGATCTGCGCCGACCGAGAGAGGCGCCTGTACCCGGTGGCCCGATGCGACGCCGAGCCCAAACCCTCCACCGTGGAGCTCTGCAACAGCCAGTCCTGCTACAGGCCGCAGGGTGAGAACACGCGCCGAAAACGCAAATCAGCCCGTCACGTTCACTGCGTCCTGCGCTGCTCTCACTGCTTTCTGTTGGTTGGGGGGTCTGTTTGCGCGCAGAGGTTCCCAGCGTCCAGGACACACGAGGACACGACGACCGCGCACAGACGGTCTTCCAGCCTCATGTGCCGGACCAGGCGACAGGTTGGACTCGAAGCTTAAATACCGTTCTACATCCATAGCAGGTTTTTCTCTGCCGTGGTTGTTATAGTTCATTGATAAAAACACCTCAGGGGATTTGACAGCCGATTCGTCCTTAAATGCTTTAGGAATAGAAGGTCTTAAAGATCTAGTTTCAGCAAAGCTTAACTCATCTGCATTATTCCTCTAATGAAGTTACACCAGTAAATCTTATATGTGTACTTCCAAACAAACCTAAAGGTGTGACTGCACCCTAATGGTTGTTTCCCCTCAGTTCCTCTGCACCCCATCCTCTCTGCTGATGTAACTCCCCCCCCACACCACCAATTATCCAGGTCTGATCAACATGTTTTCAGGGGTCCGCGGGCATTGTCGACCCGATTAAAATATTTCCAAAGCACTGAAGTGTGCAGCTGCTGGCCGTTGTGTATCTGGTATGTTGTGGCCTTTTTTCAAGTTGTGTTGGTTCATTTCCTGTCAGATTGTCCACTCTGACGGCTGGAACTCGTCCCAGTTCATTCCCTTCCGCTCCATCACAAAAAAGGTTTCCGGTCGACTGCACCTGTGGGGACCGGCTGTGTGTCCTCCGGGTACCGAAGCCCGGACTCGTTTGTAGAATCCCGGAGCCACGCGTGACCTTCTCTCTCTCTCTCTCTCTCTCTCTCTCTCTCTCTCTCTCTCTCGCTTTGTGTCGCGCGTATGTTCTCTTCATCGCAGCGGAGACGGAGCCGAGACGGGCGAACGCGGTCCACGCCGCGGCCCTCCACTGCAGCCAGTCCTACTACGGCTGCTGCCCGGACGGACGCACCTCAGCCGGGGGCCCCCGGGGTCTGGGCTGCCCACGTGCCCCCGCTCCCGTGCAGCCGCACTGCGTCCAGACCAGGTGATCCAACCGCGACCCGTCCCGCTCTGCGGGAACACACGCATCCTCTGTTGGTGTCACCAGATTCAGCGTTTCATTGTTGCATCTTGTTCTTGTTCGTCAGTTACGGCTGCTGCCAAGACGGAGTGACGGCGGCTTGGGGCCCCGACAAGGAAGGCTGCGTGGAGCACGCGGCCCCCGCCCCCACAGTGAGCAAAACGCCGTTCCTCCTCCACGTGCGCGCTGCTGCTGACGAGTCGCAGGAGGCCCCCTTTTTATCTCTAATCGGTGATGTCGCGCTCCCTCAGGCCGCTCCTTCTCTTCCCACCGAGAACGCCGCCGGGTGCCGCCTCACCACCTTCGGGTGCTGTTATGACCGCACCACCCCCGCCGGAGGGCCCAGCGGGGAGGGCTGCCCCGACCCGCCCAACCACGGTGAGCGAACACGTTCAATGTCAGCTTCTTTGCGCGCGCGAGGGAAAGTGGACCCCACGTTTCTCCGTCTTGTCTGCAGTCGAGCGCTCCATCTGCTCGCTGCCTCGCGCCGCCGGCTCCTGCAGCGCCTGGGTGCCGCGCTACCACCACGACGCCGCCGCCGGCGAGTGCGTGCACTTCTGGTACGGAGGTTGCCACGGCAACAGCAACAACTTCATGACCCGGGCGGAGTGCCAGAGGGGCTGCCGGGGACCCGCCAGGAGCCAGCGGGGCCCGGAGCCGGCCCCTCCGGCCGCAGAGCCCACCCCGAGAAGAGAGCCCGGCGCTGGGAGGGCCGCGTCCGGGGGGTCGGCGGCTGGGGGCTCGCGCAGCGCGGGGAGGATCTTCACAGTCCAGGGGGGATCGACCGGGGCCACCGGCAGGCGGGCCAAGAGCCCCGCCGACCACGCCCACAGGGCCCGAGTCCTGCTGCGCCCCCCCCGCCGACCTGCCCCGGCCGCCACCGCCGCCGCCGCACAGCACGCCGGCCCCGCGGCGAGGTAAGACCACGAAAGAGCCCAGGGAGCGCGGGGGTAAAAAAAAAAGCTCGGCCTCCACCGGCCCCCATAATGCCGTCTACAGCCCCCCCGCCCCCTGCTGACGGAGCCCCCGGTCCACCGGGCAGGGCCAGAGAGTGAGCTGCAGGGAGCAAACCTGGTGCATCATCCTCAGACCCACAAAACGGCTCAACAAGTTTATATAAAGCAGATCCACAATTAGGACCATTTGGATATTTTCAGTAATACAACAAAAAGAAGATTTAGTTGACAGACTGATTGATAATGTAGTATTTTAATACGTGAAAGCTATTTAAGACACAGAGACGATCACTTCAGGGCGTGTCGGTACATCATGACATCACACACTCTTTAAACATATTATGCTATCCTCAATGCGTGTGCTTTATGTTACGCCGTGTGCTCTTTGAACACACACACATTCCCTGAGATGCTCACACAATCCTCACTTACAACCACAACCACTCCGGGACTTTCCCTGTCACGCTTGCAGCACCGTGTGTTTTTTTTTTTTTTCTTCCTTTAACCTCATCCAGACGTCTGGGGAAGTCGACAAGCTCAAAATGGACGTGTCCTCTGTCTGAAAGCTTCTGGGACTTTCCTCTGTGTGTCCGGAGTCTGTGTCAGTCCGTGTCCGCTGTCACCGTGTCCATCGCCCTCGTGCTCTGTGTCCTCAATGTCAACCGGATCAAACCAATAAAGGTTCCGCTGTGATGCTTCGCCTCGTTGGTTTTTGTGTTGTCACTAAACTCCGTCGTTCTTCGCCTCACATGCGCTCCACGCTTTGATGGGAAACTTTGGTTTGTATCTGTCTGTCTCGTCTCGTCTCTCGTCTCTCGGCCCCCCAGCTGGGTTTCTCTCCGTCTCTTCTCTCCTCTGAAGCCAGGTTGTGGGGGATCTTTATGCTTGCCTTTGGTGACTGCGAGTAAAAGTCCCAAGACAGTGGCGCATAAAGTGACTCTCTCATTCTCAACTCCCCCCCCCCTGATCCTCCACCCCATGTCCCCCCCCCCGCCCCGCCCGGCCTTCCTTTCTTCCTTCTGGCCTCGCGTCGTCCCGTTCCCTCAGTTTGACCCTCGGGGAAGTGACCATTGGCAAGTCCGACCCGTCCACAGTTGAGGCCTTGGTGGGCCAGACGGCCGTGCTGGCCTGCCGGGTCAGCCCGCCGCCGTCCTCCTCCGTCACCGTGGAGTGGAGAAGAGACGGCGTCCCCCTGTCAACTCGCAGGTCTGCAGAAACACACCAGCAGTGCGTTTGACCGCCGTGTCCGTGTCGCCGTTCCTCATTCGCGTGCTCTCCAGGCATCACCGGCAGCCCAACGGGTCCCTGCTGGTCGGCCCTCTCTCCCAGCTGGACTCCGGCTGGTTCTTGTGTGTGGCCACTCGTGAGCGGGAGCGAGACCACCGCTACGTTCACCTGTCCGTCTCAGGTAATGCAAAGCGTTAGTAGGGAATCTGTTGCTGTGTCTCTCGGAAAGAGGGGAAAAAATAATCTGGCTTAATCCTCCTCCGGTTGAGTATCTGCTCTAATGTGACCTCAGCAATCTCTGTCAAGCATCCTCGAGCAAAAGGGAGTGAATTCAAGTCAGTCACACACTCACAGACAAACGGAGATTATTTGTTTTATTGTTAGATCATCTCATGTATTTAATAAAACCACAGGAGATTCATTTTAAAAGAGCGAGCAGGTTTGTTCCTGCAGTGTGGAGTTCATTTTCTTTGACAAAACGTGTTTAATCTTTCACTAAAGGAATGCACATTTTTGATATGCATATACAGAACTTTATCCCGCTGTGGATTTAGCTAATTGGGGTTAAAGTCGGTCAAATTATGGGTTTGACCGACTTTAACCCCAATTAGTCCGTCGCGCAAAAAGCCAGAAGCTCGGGGCGATGCTGATGTCACAGACGAGGTCAGAGGTTGTGTCAGTACATGCTGACGTTGCTTTATGCTCGATGTGTGAATGTGACATCATGTAAGTGAATTGTGACAGGAGCATCGTGTGTGTGTGTGTGTGTGTGTGTGTCACAGTGGGATCCCAGCAGGTTCCCACCTTACTGCCCACAGACGGTCCGTTCCCTCGGTAAGGACCATTTCTCTTCTATACACACAAAAGTCTGTCTTCCTTTAAAATAGGAATTCAAGTTGCATCAAACCCCGGAATCCGTGAAGCTTCATGGTCTGGATGCGTTCTGATGGTCGATCGCTGCATTAAACGATGATGTCGCCGCTTCCTCTCCTCAGCTTCAGCATCGAGCGGTCGGGCCCGTCTTCGCTGGAGACGCGAGCCGGACAAACTGCCACGCTGTCCTGCACCGTCGTCCCTCCCTCGGCCCTTCAGTCCGTCAGCGTCCAGTGGAGTAAAGATGGACACTCGCTCAGTGGCTCCAGGCGAGTGTGACACCTGTCCTCTCATCCACCAGCTAATTGGGATTCCAAGGGACTTTCTAGACAAGAATCTGATCTCTCTTGTTACCAGACAGTTGAAATTAAGTTGCCGTATATATATATATATATATATATATATATATATATATATATATATATATTTCACCCGAGGTTTAGCCAACAACTACATCCAGGAGTATCGTGCTGAGACGTGTGCGACCAGGTGTGTTGACTCGCTGCCTCCCATTCGCAGGTTCGCCCAACATTCAGATGGCGCTCTGACCATCGGCTCCCTGAAGTCCTCAGACTCCGGCGTCTACACGTGCACGGCGTCCTCGCAGCAGCAGCTGGAGCAGCGGCAGCTGCAGCTCAGGGTCCAAGGTGACTTTCGTGTGTGACGCTGTCGTTTCACTTCAGCACCAGCAGAGGTCGCTGTCGGGAAATCAACTTTTTAGAGGACGCGTAGAATATTTCAGCAGTTTTTTGGAGGTTTTTCTTTGGCTGAAAAAAAAGGTCATTTTTAATAAGATTTATTTTTTCCTGTTTCAGCCGACCTGAAGATCACCACGGCTCCCAATAACATCCAGGTGCCTGAAGGCACCACGGCGCTGCTCCCCTGCGTGGTGTCAGGAGACAACGTCAACATAGGCTGGTCCAGGTGATCATAACTCTCACAAATAAAATAAGTAAAATATCGTCTTCTGTTGAAAATCCTAAATGGATGATGAATCCATCATTTCACTGCAGAAACGGCATACCGGTGCGTCCGGACGGTCGTAACATCCAGACGTCGCCTGACGGCAGCCTGATCCTGAATGACGTCAAGCCTCAGGACGAGGGCACGTACACCTGTAACGCTTACACCGGCATCTACTCGGTGAGCGCCACGGCTGACGTCCGGGTCATCAAGGCCGCCGAAGGTGAGCAGGGCGGTCGGGCGCACGTCACGTCGCCACCAGGCCGCTCGCCGGTCCTCCATTTCAAGCTGATCGATGGTTTTGGTTCTGGTTTCTCAGAAAGTGCCCCTGCGTTTATTGCTTTGACCCCCCCGGTGTGTGAATCCCTGTGTGAAAACTGGAGAAAAGGGGGAACCTGAGTGCCTTTGGACTGTTGTTGCAGGTGACGACGTGCCGGCGGATTGCGTGGACCAGCCCGAGCTCGCCAACTGCGAGCTGATCGTTTATGCCCGACTTTGCTCCAACTCGTACTACTCCAGCTTCTGCTGTGCCAGCTGCACCAGGCAAGCGCAGAGGAAACGCAGGCTCGCCCGTCTAGGATGAAGATACACAGTTTTTTTTTGTTTTTTTTAAATAACCGCGAGGGGACAACGGAGGCCTCGTGCTCGAGACGTTGGAGCTGAAGCTTCCAACGATAAACTTTGGCCAAAAGTCTTCAGAAGTGCTGCGTAAAGCTGGTAGATGTTACTGGATGTGTGAATGTGGCGTTCACAGGGTGGAGGTTTCCTTGTTCCTCCACCCTCACGTCTTTAAAATAAGTTATTTTCTCTTTGTACGTGTACTTTTCTTTATTGTACTTGAACGTCATTGGAAGGATTCAACACTTAAATCCAGTGAAATTAAACTGTATTGACCTCAGCTCTGTTTTTGATTAATATGTTTGGCATCCCACTGATAAAAACACTTGTATTTTCTCTTTGTTATGTTTATTTCTATGTAATTATTTGATATTAAAAAATATATTTTGATAAAGGGTCTGGTGGATTTGGATCACTGTGACTTGATGCTCCAGTTTGAGCCAAAGAGCTCAACATTCTTTCTCCGTCTAGTTTCACTTAATATCGCTCAGCTAACATTCCTTAATTTACGTGTTTCCTTTGTATTGTTACAGCAGGCTGGGATACTTTTTCTGGGGTTGAAAGTTGTCAAATTAACACTGAAACCATTTCTTTCTGGTCCACTAAACTCAAACGCATTCTGGTTCTGGTCCTCTTTAGTAAAGGGTTGATAACCTAAAATAATACAGGTCGTTTTTTACTTTGTCAGTTTGAAAATGTAGTCGAGTTATAAATAAGGACGAGAGCGTTATTCCTGTCATACTTCTCCGTTTCCTCACTGCAGCTTCTAGATGAATCTAAAGGTCGGGGCCTGTGGGAGGAGATATGATTGTGTAGCTCACAGATGTCACACACACACACACACACACACAGTTTCGGTTGCGGTCGTGCACACTTTGTTTCCTGTTTATGTGACTACGGTGAAGACAAACATGTTTTTTAAGGAAACAAGTGGAGATAAAAACATGTTTGTAGAGACGTTTGTGCAGCAGCTTGAATCCCACTGAGGTCTGAATAAAAGATATTTATGGTTTTACTCAAGTTAATGTAAAAGACTTGTTCATTACATGTTCTGCATCTCAATGCGTTTACTCTATTGTTCTTATTGCGCTACATTTAGTACCGTTAAAGAGATTAAATGAATGAATTGCACTTTTGCAACAACAGTCATGACCTTTTCTATTCAGCTGTTTTTTTGTACATCTAAAATATTTTTGCTTTACTCAATTTAGGAAAGGTCTTCATCTGTTTTTTTCAAATTAACTTGTAAAATCTATTTTTTTTCCTATTGAATACAACTGAATGGAAGCTTCACGTATATAAACAACATTTCTCCACTTTTACCACCGGAACACAATAATACATCTGTTGTTATTCTGAAATGGGACACTTAGCATAACATGTAGTTTTATTTTTAGAAGTATTTCTGAGGTTCTAAATGTTTTAAATGCAGGACTTTTACTTGCAGTAGAACTCGTCTACTCCCGTTTTATCCCTTGTCACCACTTTCAATGAGGAACATTTAAGGCAAATACACAGTATTCATGTTAGTAAATGATCTCAAATAATGTTTCATATTAAAACGAACCTAAAGGGACAAGAAACACTCTTCTCTTTTACTGCTCTTATTGCATTTTCACAGACGAACAGCTGCTGTAACACATAAAACACACATGTTTGAGTTTGTTCCAGCTGTTTGCGTGCTCTGTGGGGGTGGTGGGGGTTGGTGGGGGTTGATAGGTGGGGGTTGATAGGTGGGGGGGTGCAGAGAAGCGTTTCTGCAAAGTGGATGTTTGCACCTCGGTCGTTTGTCAGAGAGCGATGAGGCTGCTCCTGCACCACATCCTCTCCTCTGCATTCAGCAGCTGTGACCTTCTTCTGTTCTTCAGACCACGTTGACTTCCTGTCGTTGTGTGGTCGCCCCCCCCTTCTCACATTTACCTTCCTGCTCAACGTGTTTCAACTATAAAGAAACAATGTCTTGATTTTGTGAAAGGGAGTGTGAACCGTCACTGACTTCTCTCACATAAACATTCTAAAGGAAAATTATTTCTTAAAAATAAGTTGATTCAATCAGAACGTCTCGGGGGAAACTTTAGTCAGCTCTCACTTTGCTCATCGGAAAAAGACTTGACGTGTGTAGGCGTCAAATGTTTGACTTGAATGGAAGAGACGTGACAAAAATTCTTTGATTTAAATCCGCCGATGTAACATGAACAGCGTGAGACATGAAGACGAACCCATGTCCTTTTACATATAAAATAAATAACTAAGACCCTGAATGTCATGAGAATCACAAAACAGCCCTTTTTTAAAGAGAAATCAAATCACACGATAGGCAAAGATCCTCTGACGTACTTTTATTGAGAAGAATCAAGCAAGCGAGCGCTTCAACAAGCACACAATTCTGATCATAAGTATTTGTGAAGATGTACTTTTGTGGCCGTCTCAAACACACCAAGCACTGTTCTTCTGTTTGGGCGGAACGCACTTACGGCAACGTGGAGAAATAACCCGTCAACCTTATTATGCACAGAAGCCAATTAATGCGCTGGATTCATCTCCCCGGCTCTCAGTCGTTCTGCTTCCCAGCCGAGCGCTGCGGAGACAGAAAAGACCTTTCTTCTTACTCCTTCGCTCACACATGACAATGCCGGCGGCCGGACTAACGTGGAGGGGATGGAGATCCCGTGCAACGAACCTGGAGCTTCCACACCAGCAGGGCCACCAGGACGCCGAAGACGCCGCTCTTGCCGATCAAGTAGCCGTAGGAGAATCTGGCCGTCTGCGTGACCATCAGGTATTTATCTGCGGGAGGTTCAAACGTTTAGTGGGGAAGCCGCCCACGAGGAGAGCAAACTACAATGCACTGCATTCACAATGTTCACCTCTTGTCATGGCGGTTCCTTCAGCTGGCAGGAGAAGAAGGAGAAAGGCGTTAGGGAGCCGCTCGTGGACCTGTTTCCACTTTTAAAGAGAGTTTTGAATGAGGCCTACCAGGTTCCCCGTGGATGAAGTCTGAAACATATTCAGTGTGCTTCCCGTTGAAGAAGCTGACGGTGCAGGTGAACTTTCTGTCTTTCGTGAACTCTTTGGCAGAGACCCTCAGCCTGCTGGTGATGTGGTAATTCTTGCCCTCCTGGCGGGCGGCGTCGTCGGTCGCCACACCGTCGCTGATGTTCAACCCGTCGACCGTCCACTGCACGCCGACGTGGTCCGGGTAGAATCCGCTGGCCACGCAGACGATGGTCTTGCTCTTCCCGCGGCCTTTGAACTTTCCACATTCCTTCGGCGAAGGTCGGAGCACTCGGACGGTCGGCTTGGTGACGGCGCGTCCTGGTTCTGCAATGACAGGCCGACCCCCCCCCCCCCCCCCAAGGGAGTTAAAACCGATGAGCAACATCTCTGGACACAAAATGTGGAGAAGACTTGTCACACATTCAAAGTTACTTATCTTACCAATAACAGGTACCTGAGATGAGGCGACATCCAGCTTTCAACTATTCATTTCAACAGAATTCGGATGCAAGGATGGAACAAGTACATTTTAGCATCTCAGAAAATCATAATTACGGCATCATAATCTTGTGCTTAGAGATCGATTTTAAAATTAAAATTTGACTCTTTCTTCTGCGGTTTTGACGCACGGCGACGTGATGCAGCTTCAGCCAACAAAACAAAAAAAGACATTAAGACAAAACCCAAAACTGACACACAAACAGTCCTTTTCTTACCCAACACCGTGAGTCTGGTGCCACCGCCAAAGTAAGCAGGGTCGTAGTTCACAACGATACGAGGCGCTACAAGAAGAGTCTTTGTGCTCTTTGTGCTCTTTGCACGCACACATGTCGAGGCTACACACACTCGCACAATGAAACTACTGCCAGACAGCTTCCAACTTGTGATTTAGGAGCATGATGTCAAAAAACAAACTGACTTGAAAGTTAATTTAACTTTGCCAACTTAATTTAAGTTTACATTTTGAAATTCTTACCTAAAACGGTGAGCTTAGTTCCAGCTCCAAAGTAAGCCTCGTTGAAGGAGCACAGAGACTTTCCACTGGCACAAAATGTCTTTTCCTTGTTGCAACATTGTCCCCCCCTTTCATGTGAAGACTTTAACTCATATTTTACAAAACTCGCATCACGCTGCATGCTTACCGTCTCCATTCAAATCGATTTGTGCTTTTGATTTGTATCAAAAGGCGGATCTTTGCACCAAATCATCAGCAGTATTAAACAAACCTTAAACGTGCTCTTACCTAAAACTGTTAACCTTGTTCCTCCACCAAAGTAAGCCTCTGCAGTCTGAGTCACAGTGAACCGGGTCAGTGCTCAAAACAGATGCTGCTTGCACTTTGATTCCTGCTTTTTTAGTTTTATAAATTAATGCAACTTTCCTTAGAAACCATCTACAAGAATTTTCTCAGGATTTTCAATGACTTCACTGTTACGTCAAGTTTGCATCCTCACAGCAACAAAGTATCATCTTAAATTTACACTAAACTTCAGTGAAATACATTTTATGAGTCCACAATTTAAGAAGATATTCGTATTTCTTACCTAACACCGTTAACTTTGTTCCTCCACCAAAGAAAGCTTCATAAGCACCAGAGTCACAGTGAACTGGATCCGTGCTCAAAACAGCCAAAGCTGCTGCTTTCAGTTTAATTCCGTTCTTTTCAGTTTTACATTACACGTTGTTTTTAGAACCGTTGCCTTTTTCTTTTAAAGTATTTTACAAACTGCTCGAGGAGCTCCCTCATTTTGTTTCCCTGACTAAAACAGCCTTCGAACGGATCAAGTTGAGGAATAAAAGTCTCTGCTACACATTTCTTAAAGAAACACTCGATTTATGATGTTCGTATTTTGGGATTTCTTACCTAAAACTGTTAACTTTGTTCCTCCACCAAAAAAGGCTTCACCGCCACCAGTGTCACAGTGAACCTGGTCGGTGCTGTTAGCACCAACACGCTGCTTTTACTTTACTTCTTTATTGTTACTTTACAGTTTTTATTATATTAACGTCCCTTTTTGTTAAATAAAAACATTCCAAAAGTCCAGTTGTCGAGGTGATTGTTTTTGTCTCTTTTTTTTTGTTTTGTTACGTTAAGCTTGAAAAGCCACCTTGCTTGTCACGGGTTTCACCTCTTTTACAGGACGAGCTCATCGGGAGAACATTTAAAGTTTTTCTTACCGAGAACAGTCAGTTTGGTTCCTGGGCCGAAATACGCCTCGTAATTGGCACAGCGCTCCGGCCCGACATCAAAAGGCACCGGGCTGAACTTGAACTACAAAAGTCCATTAAGCCTCTTACTGAAGCGCCCGGAGGAGAAATGTTAAACATTTTATCCACCGCAACCAACCCTTGACTCACCCAAAACAGTCAGTTTGGTTCCTGGTCCGAAGTAAGCCTCGTTTGCATTGTCACAGTGAAGGAATACTCAGCAGGAAACTCTTCCAGCTCCTTCTCTTCTACAGATACTTTAAATTAAGCAAAACTCAAGAATCACTTGAAAGTATTTACCTAAAACCGTCAGCTTGGTTCCTTGGCCGAAGTAAGCGGGATCAGTGTAGGTCACAGTGTTTTCGCCTCAGCTCAATATTTAGGATTTCAACAACTTTCAGCAAACGGCCTCTTCGCTTCGCTTTCATACCGACGCTTTGACATTTGTAAGTTTGTACCAGTGAGCTGCAGCAGTGAGAGACGCTACTCACCCAAAACAGAGACTTTGGTTCCCTTTCCAAAGTACGCTTCAGTCCCAGTGTCACACTGAATGCCTCCTCTACCAAAAAGTCTCCAACCCGTCCACAACCCGTCCACAACCAGTCCACAACCCTCCGTTTAACGAGCAGTGTAATAGTCCAGAGGATGGAGAAGGTTTCAAAATGCAGGACGGGCTCCGCGAGGTCCAAATACGCTGCTTTTGTCAGGGTGAATAAAATAAAACATCCCGGCATCAGGCTTTTTTTCTTGTAAATCCCATTTTCAGCTCAGTTCAACAGTGGACGTGTGCACTCCAGCTCAACACGCCTGCACATCATCGCTGCGGCGGTTCTCCTCCGGGCCCCCGAGGAGCTTCGCAGGGGGTCGATACACAACGGGCGTGAATGGGAGGAGGTTTTTGTACAGCGACTCTATGGGAGTGCATCACCGTGGCCCCCCTGTCCCCACGGTGGAAAAGCATCACACAAAAACCCCGAGCGCGCTCGGCTCTCCCCTCTCTCCTCCCCCCCTCCACCCGGCGCCTCCGTATCTCGGCCTCCATCTCTGCCGGGTGAGGGAGCAGCTGTTCGAGGGGCTTCCAGCCCGAATGCTTCTATTCTTGGGTCGGTTAAGAGCAGAAGAGAGGAGGAGGAAACGGGTGTTTGTTTGTCGGAAGGTGTTCAGAGAGAGGGACGTCTCTGCTGGTCACTCCTCTGTGACAGACGAGGTCTTTAAAAGGGCAACGTGCAAAGAAATACGTTAAAAAGGTCATATGGAGGAACTGTATTCACTTTATAGTACAATGTTTTTAAAAGTCGTATTTAAAAGTACTGAAATGATGGATTTACAAGGTTAAATGTGAGTCTTAAGCAGTAAATGGCAAAGCTCATAGAAACATATGGCAATTATTTTTTTCATTAACAGATTAATCTATAAAGTGTGAAATGTGTGAATGTGTACTCATGTGATCAACTGTCCCCTTACAACACGTTTCCTCCTTATTAGATGCAAGTATGCGGTTCTCAAGATAACATAACACATTATTTGTGTTTAAGTTAATGTATTTGTACTTCATTTTGGTGATCATGTGATATTCTTTTCTTTTTGTCAGGGAATGAGTTCACATAAATAAACCCGAGCAGCAGCTGTGGTCCGGGGTGTTTTTTGGTGACCTGCAGATGTAAAAAAAAAAGTGTATTTTCTGTCGTATTTTTTAATTGGCAATATAAAAAGATCCTACTTGAATGCGATTCATGACGACATGGTACAACTAGAGCAGATGAAGAATTCAGCATACAGAGACGTATTTCATCAGGCTCATGGTGAAAGAGGAGGGCTGTTGCTGTGTGTGTGTGTGTGTGTGTGTGTGTGTGTTTTAATTCATTCATGATAAAGGCTTCATATCATGAGCTGTGCCTCCACCTGTTGGTAGAATCTGTTAAACTGTTAAATTATACTTATTAGAGGTTTTGTGTGTCCAGGTGGACAATTGACTCGTCCACGGAAAGGAAATTAATTATAATGAATTACTTTTAAATTGTTTATGTGATAAATTATATGATTGTGTGACGTGTAAATTGAATGTCTTTGGGTCTTTTTTCATCATTCTAAAGGATCAAGTGAAGTAGAACGTAGAATTTATCTGCAATCAAAAGCTTTCCTGAAGTTTAACAGATCGTTTTTTACTTTACTTGAAAAGGGACCTTTGTGTGTCACTGTGAAATTTGAGCGTAAATATTACATTATTATTACATTTTATAAACACATGCATTGTCACAATCAGTATTATTACATGTGACTTTAGTGCAGTACAGCAGAATATCTCCCAGCTACAGGAAGACGTTTGAGGCCGAGTCACATGGTCTCACTGGTTTCCTCTTGCTGTGACGATATCTGCTGGATCACCACCCAGGTTTTTGTATAAGAGCGTCACCGCCCCTCATTACTGTGTAATACTGGCTGCACCGAAATACGTGCCGCTGTCTTCGGCGTGTCTCGGGCTGAGCAGGTGAAGATGAGCGGTACTCTCTCCATTTCCGCTCACGTTGAAGCGGCCTTTGAAATCTACCTCCACCGTAGGACTTCTGTAATACACGTAGCCGATCAGCTTCAGGGCCGAGCCTCCCGCCGGGCGCTGATACCAGAGGACGGTGTCGTAGCTCGGGATCTCATGGCGGAGGCTCAGGGTGGCCTCGCTATTTGGCCCGAGAAGCACATCGGCCGGATTCTGGGAGACTTTTTTGACCGTACTGAGGTCCACTCCTGCGAAGAGACGGAGAAACAAGGCGAAGCGGAGAGTAGTGAAACCTTGTTTCGGGCCTCGCAGTAAACAGCAGGATTAAAGAGCGGATGAATGCAATACCTTCAATCCAGGAGGCGGTGATGATGGAAACGATGAAATGCGACGGCACCATGTTGAATGTGAGGAACCAGCTGGAGTCCCTCAGGGCTTGTGGGCGAGAACGAGGGACAGGAAGTGACGTAGAGAAATCAGAATAAGTCGACACTGAGAAACTTTCTTTAATTCAGTCAGTGGTTTTGTTCCCGAAATCCAGGAAAACGAAGATCAGACAGAAGTTCTGTTGATGGGTCTCAGTAGGAACAATTACTGCTTATTATTGAATCATACGCTGTTTATTTGTCTAAAGCAGCAAATGACTCTCACTCCTCCCACGTTCTAAACATTACATACACGTCAAAGTGAAACTCCCTTGTTCACAAGGGGCACAGGATGTTCTCTTTAACCCGCCTGGAGGGGCAAAGGGGTTTTAGTGAGGAGCAGATGGAGCCTCGACGCACTGTGCCTGACTGGCTGCACAGAAGTACGTCGCGGTGTGTTCACGCACGTCCAGCTTCGTTATGGAAAGCACGCCGCTTTTGGTTTTGTCACTCAGGTCTCCGGTTAGTTTGAAAGTCTTTCTGAACGGCTCCTCCGCGCTGTCGTTCCTGAACACGGTGTATCCGTGTCCGATGAGTTTGACGGCGTTGTCTCCGGGGCGCTGCTGGTACCACAGCATCACTCTGTGGTCGGCTTGCCCGTGCGAGCAATGGAGCACCGCCTCGTCGCCGGCCACCCCGAGGAGAGCGGCGGGATGCTGCTGGACCTGAACCCCCACCGACAGACCTGCAACAGGGGGGGGGGACAAGAGTTGAGTCCGGGCTGCTTGATTGTGAAAACAAACTACGCGCCGTGTGGGTCCAGAGGTCCGTTCACATTACCGATGAGGTGACAAGAGAGTAACAGATAAATCATCTCAGGGCTTTGTCCCGTGCAGATGTTGTTATCTGTAAAAAGCAGGATGGGGATGAAGGTTACGGCGGTGTGACTGTGCTCGATGTGGAGGGGAAGGAGCAGCAGCGGCAAGAGGAAGGTAGAAATCACGTGGTGCCAAACAACGCTGCAGGTGGCTGACGGAGGCCTCAACCACAGGTGATGAAGGCCCGGTGTTTTTTTATGACCAAGGACACGTTAACGGAATATGAGCAGAAGGGGCCGAGCCACGGTGTCTCTGGTCAGTCACTGATAAGAGCTGGAAGGCGTTCTCCGGCACGCACAACCTGGGCTGATGAGGCCGTCAAGGCTCCTAAATTAAGACAGAAGTTATTGTGATTGAATTTCACGGCTGCCCAGGCCTGTGCCCCTCAGTGTGGGGTTTAAAGATGTGTGTGTTACTCTGAAATGTTGAAACAGAAGCTGGAACTTGAACCAGAAAGAAGAAAAACATTTGCATTAGCTATTAGCTGATTGCATCAAACCAGCGCACAACCACAAGAGCAGATGTCTGGGAGCAGTTTATTCCAAGTCCTATTATAAACCCCTGATGAGAAAGGTTTGTGCAGAGTTTTTGTAAAGTTCACAGGGGATTTCTGTCAGCGTGCTTCACACGCTGCACAGTAGTAAACTGCACTGTGCTCCTGTTTTACACCTCTGACTACAAGCGAGCCATTCTTTGCTGTGTTTCCTCCCAAATCTCCAGAGATAATAAAATGATCCTTATAAGACTCTTCCATTGTGGAAGCTTTAAAGTTCAAATATCCAATGAGTTTCATAGCCGTGTCTCCAGGGGACTGCTGGTACCAGAGCATCTGTCTGTAGTCGGTCCTGTCATGGCTGCAGGAAATCTGCTCTTCGTCCCCAGGTTTCATGATGAGATCTGAGACGGACTGACGGACATCTAGACCCAGACACCCTAAAAACCACAATGGAGGACAAACGTGGTTACGTGATCGTTATGGGGGGAAACCATATTTCCACCTACACGTATTCCCAAATTCTTTACCTGCCAGACAACAGAAGAGGAGAAAGCAGATCATTTTGACTAAAATAAAGACTCTCAAAGCTCCTTTCATGACTTATCACAGTGCGTGAAGAGCCTTTCAGACGTGAGCTGCTATGACGTCACAACATGAGCTGATACGTCAACTGACAAAGACGGAAGCTGCAAAGAAAACCCTTCATTACCCTCCCATCCCATTTTACATATCATGTTTTAATACTGCTGCATGTGTTGAACTCAAGAGTATTTCTGCAGCTCCTGCGCCACCTACTGGAACAATAGATATATACTCATCAAATGTTTTGATTAAACATTTATATATATAGAAAGTGATTTATATAATGAGAAATAACAATGAGCTGTACTTTTATTGAAAGTTTAATACATTTTTCAATGCCTTGATGAAATCGTGTGATTTCTGTGAATCGCGTGTGACCTTCCTCTGATTAACCGATTAATTGATCACTCACCGATCGATCAACGCGATAAAAAAAAAATAGACCTAAACCGACTCCTCTCACTGCAGCATGAAATAAGACTCCAGCTGTGTGATACGTCAGTCACCCCTTCTGTGGTTTATGGTGTGTGTTTTGTGTCAAAGACTCGGAGCTGTGCAGCACTGTGCTCTACTGGCAGCGCAGAAGTACACGGCCCCGTCCTCCGGGACACCCGGCTTTGGGATGTGGAGACAAGCGCGACTTCCCCCGTTACCGCTCACGTTGTACGAGTCCTTGAACGGAGCTTCCAAGACCGGGAAGTTGAATCGTACGTAGCCAACCAGGAGCATGTCGCTCTCCCCGGCAGACTGTTTGTACCACTGGATCATATTGAAATCCGTGTTCGAGTGGTTACAATCTATCCGGACTTCTTCTCCGGGGTGTTTGATCAGAGCACCGGGACTCTGAGCAACACTGTTCTTTGAGGGTTCTGCAAGAAAACAATTAAAGAGCACAGAGTTTATTGAGGAAACTACACGCACTAAGCTGGAAGAATAAAAGGTGGAGACATTTAGGTAGATTTCTTTGATATTACCTGATAAACAGAACCGCAGAGCTGCTAAATGCACCAGGAGTCTGATCATGATCCTGACCTGAGAAACCATAGAGATGACACACTGAACGGAGCAGGCTGGACCTAAAGGAGGAGGAGGAGTCTTTACGCACGCAGCATCCCGCTGTGTCGCTTCGGTGTGGCGGCTGCTCTTCACCGTGAACTCCTTCTCCTGTTGACAAGCACGTCACCGTGAATCCACGTGGCCGATCATCAGAGCGGGTTTTTGTAGAGGGAAGAGCGACGTGGAGTCACTGTGCCTACTAGCCGCACAGAAGTACGCGCCGCTGGTGGGGTTCAGCACCTGCAGCTCAGATCGCGATGAGCCGTGTCCTGTCACATTAAATTGCGATTTGAATGTTTCCTCAATGGTCGGGTTGTTATACAGAACATATCCGATGAGTTTCAGGCTGGAGTCGCCCACCGGCTGCTGGTACCACAGTATTGTATAGTATGAACTGATGGAATGGGAGCAGCTGATTGTTGCTGGAACAAGAGATGTCCCAAACAGTGAGGGTGGATCCTGGTGGACCTCAGTGCTCAGGGAACGACCTGCATTTAGAGAGAAACGCCGTGAGGACGCAGACGAGGACACAGAGCATTTTGCTTTGAATGAAGAACCCACAGGAGAGGAAGAGGAGCAGCAGAGCGGTCCCATGGGTGCTTCTGATCATGACGTCGTTACCTTCCTCAGTCTCTGCACCGACTGCCGGACTGAGGAGGAGGTGCAGGATCTGCTCAGAGGGGAGGAGGCATGGAGGAGGGTCTGATGATGGAGGAAAAGTTCATCTCTTATTTCATCAACGAGTTGATCAACAAATAAAAGGCCACACATTGATACCACCTATGTGGAATGTGAGGACTTTCTTCTGTTTTCACATTGATTTTCATTTCCTGTTGAAACTAAATTCAAATTAAAGGTGTTTTCTGGAGATCGATGATTAAAGACTTTTTAAAATTGAATTAAAGAAATTATAACTACATCGGGTGACTTCAATCCTTTGTGACGGTCTGACCCTTGACCCCCCAGATCAGAGGAGTCTGGCAGTGAGCCCTGTGTGTGTGTGTGTGTGTGTGTGTGTGTGTGTTAAAGGCTTGAGCCTCAGGAGGCCGCGTCATGATGGCGTCCGTGTTCAGTCATTCAGTGACTGCAGGAGGTCTGATACAACTGTCAGTGTGGTTTGAGATCTAAACAGCTGCAGCTGCAGGCGGGGGGGGTCACACGTTCAGTCCTCCCCATCGTACCACGGGGAGCGTTCGTGTTCCTCGAGGTCCCCCTACAGCACGTGAGAACAGAGCACCGGGGGGGTTTTTGTTCAGCCGTCGAGGGCCCCTGCGTCACTGTGTTCACTCACTGCACAGAAGTACCAGCCTTTGTCTCCCTGCTGCAGCTTCTTCACCGTCAGCGTCCCGCTGGCGGCGTCCGGCTTGGTGGCGGAAAATTTGTCTTTGCTGAAATTTCCAAAATCGTGATCCGCGCTGGCGGTGGACGTGTACACGATCTGCTTCATGGTTTCTCCTGGCAGCTGTCTGTACCAGTACATCTGGAAGAACAGAGGCCCCTTGGTGTGTGTGCAGTTCATTGTTGCATCGACACCCTCGACTTCCCAGAGCATCGGGTTCTGGACGACGTCGCTGCCGCCTGTCAGACCTGAAGGTGTGACGATGGAGGATGCTGCTAGTAAACATGAGAATCAGTTCAATGTGCATTCAGGGGATTTTATTGTACTTTACCTGCAGTCCACAGCAAGCAGAGGAACCATCTGAGGAGGCCTGGTTTATTGGTGATCGTATCCATGCTGTCTGACAGAAACGGCCTCACATGGTCGATGTGAGGAGCTGCAGGTAGGAGGGTCTTTGTGTGACGTCATCCTGTCAGCTGCATCAAAGCCTTCAGGATCCAAACTAAGAGGGTGGTGCAAGCGGTATCTGGGGTCCTCCTGCAGCACCTCGCAGTGCATTCACTTTATGGAATCAGACGTTTTTCTTTGTCCTTGGGACCAAAAAATTATTATGTCAAAGGGCCACTGATCCACCTCCTTTTTAGTTCATTTTACGCAGCAAGATAGCGGATTTTCCAGGCAGTCTTTTCCTTTTTTTTTGCATTTATTTCAAAAGAAACCAACAATCACATACAATAAATAGCTTGTGGCTCCTATGCTGCTCACGCTGTTAATGATTAAAAAAATTGACTACAAAAAAAGAAAAAATGTAATATTTAGGAATAAATAACTAAATAATAACTGCAAATGAATCGCTCCCACAGCCTGGTATGAAGCGGAAAGAAGAAAAACATTTGCATTAGCTATTAGCTGATTGCATCAAACCAACGCACAACCACAAGAGCAGATGTCTGGGAGCAGTTTATTCCAAGTCCTATTATAAACCCCTGATGAGAAAGGTTTGTGCAGAGTTTTTGTAAAGTTCACAGGGGATTTCTGTCAGCGTGCTTCACGCGCTGCACAGTAGTAAACTGCACTGTGCTCCTGTTTTACACCTCTGACTACAAGCGAGCCATTCTTTGCTGTGTTTCCTCCCAAATCGCCAGAGATATTAAAATTATCCTTATAAGACTCTTCCATTGTGGGATCTTTAAAGTACAAATATCCAATGAGTTTCATAGCCGTGTCTCCAGGGGACTGCTGGTACCAGAGCATCACCCTGTAGTCGGTCCTGTCATGGCTGCAGGAAATCTGCTCTTCGTCCCCAGGTTTCATGATGAGATCTGAGACGGACTGACGGACATCTAGACCCAGACACCCTAAAAACCACAATGGAGGACAAACGTGGTTACGGGATCGTTATGGGGGGAAATCATATTTCCACCTACACGTATTCCCAAATTCTTTACCTGCCAGACAACAGAAGAGGAGAAAGCAGATCATTTTGACTAAAATAAAGACTCTCAAAGCTCCTTTCATGACTTATCACAGTGCGTGAAGAGCCTTTCAGACGTGAGCGGCTATGACGTCACAACATGACCTGATACGTCAACTGACAAAGACGGCAGATGCAAAGAAAACCCTTCATTACCCTCCCATCCCATTTTACATATCATGTTTTAATACTGCTGCGTGTGTTGAACTCAAGAGTATTTCTGACATTCCAGCGCCACCTACTGCATCCGTCCAGAGATGCTAAAAGCAAAAGCAATGGGTGTTGGGGGGTTGTCTTGGATGACACGCCTCTTCAACATTGCGTGGAAGTCTGGGACAGTGCCGAAAGAGTGGCAGACCGGGGTGGTGGTACCCCTCTTCAATAAGGGGGACCAGAGATTGTGTGCCAATTACAGGGGTATCACACTACTCAGCCTCCCGGGTAAAGTCTACTCTAAGGTGCTGGAGGGTTCGGCCGATAGTCGAACCAATGATTGAAGAGGAACAATGCGGTTTTCGTCCTGGTCGTGGAACAACGGACCAGCTCTTCAGTCTTTCCAGGGTCATAGAGGGGGTGCGGGAGTATGCTCATCCAGTCAACATGTGTTTTGTGGACTTGGAGAAGGCGTATGACCGGGTCCCCAGTGAGAAACTGTGGGTGGTGCTGCGGGAGTACGGGGTGAGGGGGTCCTTGCTTGGGGCCATCCAATCCTTGTACGCCCAAAGCGAGAGCTGTGTTCAGGTGCTCGGCAGTAAGTCGAAGGCGTTTCCGGTGGGGCTTGGCCTCGGCCAGGGCTGCGCCTTGTCACCAATCTTGTTTGTGGTCTTCATGGACAGGATATCGAGGCGTAGTCGGGGGGAGGAGGGTCTACAGTTCGGGGGGCTGTGGATCTTATCGCTGCTTTTTGCAGATGATGTGGTCCTGATGGCATCTTCCGTCTGTGACCTCCAACTCTCACTGGAGCGTTTCGCAGTCGAGTGTGAAGCGGTCGGGATGAGGATTAGCACCTCTAAATCTGAGGCCATGGTTCTCAGCAGGAAACCGATGGATTGCCTACTCCAGGTAGGGAATGTGTCCTTACCCCAAGTGAAGGAGTTCAAGTACCTCGGGGTCTTGTTCACGAGTGAGGGGAAGATGGAGTGTGAGTTTGGCCGGAGAATTGGAGCAGCGGGGGGCGGTATTGGACTCGCTTTACCGCACCGTTGTGACGAAAAGAGAGCTGAGCCGGAGGTAAAAGCTCTCGATCTACCGGTCAATCCTCGTTCCTACTCTCACCTATGGTCATGAAGGATGGGTCATGACCGAAAGAACTAGGTCACGGGTACAAGCGGCCGAAATGGGTTTCCTCAGGAGAGTGGCTGGCGTCTCCCTTAGAGATAGGGTGAGAAGCTCAGCCATTCGCGAGGAGCTCGGAGTAGAGCCGCTGCTCCTTTGCGTCGAAAGGAGCCAGTTGAGGTGGTTTGGGCATCTGGTGAGGATGCCCCCTGGGCGCCTCCCTAGGGAGGTGTTTCAGGCACGGCCAGCTGGGAGGAGGCCCCCAGGACTAGGTGGAGAGATTATATCTCTGCACTGGCCTGGGAACGCCTTGGGATACCCCAGTCAGAGCTGGTAGATGTGGCCCGGGAAAGGGAAGTTTGGGGTCCCCTGCTGGAGCTGTTGCCCCCGCGACCCGACCCCGGATAAGCGGTTGAAAATGGATGGCTGGATGAAATGTATTGATTTTAAAAGAAAACAACAAAAAGTGATGTATAGAATGAGAAATAACAAAGTGCTTAAATTATTATTTTTTTAAATGAAAGTTTAATAAGTGTTTCAATGCCCGTATTGTGATGAAATCGTGTGATTTGTGTGGATTGCGTGGGCCCTTCCCCCGATTAACCGCAATAAACAATAAATCAACCTAAACCGACTCCTCTCTCTGCAGCATGAAATAAGACTCCAGCTGTGTGATACATCAGTCACCCCTTCTGTGGTTTATGGTGCGTGTTTTGTGTCAAAGACTCGGAGCTGTGCAGCACTGTGCTCTACTGGCAGCGCAGAAGTACACGGCCCCGTCCTCCGGGACACCCGGCTTTGGGATGTGGAGACAAGCGTGACTTCCCCCGTTACCGCTCACGTTGTACGAGTCCTTGAACGGAGCTTCCACGACTGTGGAGGTGAATTGTACGTAGCCAACCAGGAGCATGTCGCTCTCCCCGGCAGACTGTTTGTACCACTGGATCATATCGAAATCCGTGTTCGAGTGGTTACAATCTATCCGGACTTCTTCTCCGGGGTGTTTGATCAGAGCACCGGGACTCTGAGCAACACTGTTCTTTGAGGGTTCTGCAAGAAAACAATTAAAAAAGCACAGAGTTTATTGAGGAAACTACACGCACTAAGCTGGAAGAATAAAAGGTGGACACATTTAGGTAGATTTCTTTGATATTACCTGATAAACAGAACCGCAGAGCTGCTAAATGCACGAGGAGTCTGATCATGATCCTGACCTGAGAAACCATAGAGATGACACACTGAACGGAGCAGGCTGGACCTAAAGGAGGAGGAGGAGTCTTTACGCACGCAGCATCCCGCTGTGTCGCTTCGGTGTGGCGGCTGCTCTTCACCGTGAACTCCTTCTCCTGTTGACAAGCACGTCACCGTGAATCCACGTGGCCGATCGTCAGAGCGGGTTTTTGTAGAGGGAAGAGCGACGTGGAGTCACTGTGCCTACTAGCCGCACAGAAGTACGCGCCGCTGGTGGGATTCAGCACCTGCAGCTCAGATCGCGATGAGCCGTGTCCTGTCACATTAAATTGCGATTTGAATGTGTCCTCAATGGTCGGGTTGTTAAAATAAGAATATCCGATGAGTTTCAGGCTGGAGTCGCCCACCGGCTGCTGGTACCACAGTATTGTATTGTATGAACTGATGGAATGGGAGCAGCTGATTGTTGCTGGAACAAGAGATGTCCCAAATAGTGAAGGTGGATCCTGGTGGACCTCAGTGCTCAGGGAACGACCTGCATTTAGAGAGAAACGCCGTGAGGACGCAGACGAGGACACAGACCATTTTGCTTTGAATGAAGAACCCACAGGAGAGGAAGAGGAGCAGCAGAGCGGTCCCATGGGTGCTTCTGATCATGACGTCGTTACCTTCCTCAGTCTCTGCATCGACTGCCGGACTGAGGAGGAGGTGCAGGATCTCCTCAGAGGGGAGGAGGCATGGAGGAGGGTCTGATGATGGAGGAAAGATTCATCTCTTATTTCATCAACGAGTTGATCAACAGATAAAAGGCCACACATTGATACCACCGATGTGGAATGTGAGGACTTTCTTCTGTTTTCACATTGATTTTCATTTTCTGTTGAAACTAAATTCAAATTAAAGGTGTTGTTTTCTGGAGATCGATGATTAAAGACTTTTTAAAATTGAATTAAATAAATTATAACTACATCGGGTGACTTCCATCCTTTGTGACGGTCTGACCCTTGACCCCCCAGATCAGAGGAGTGTTAAAGGCTTGAGCCTCAGGAGGCCGCGTCATGATGGCGTCCGTGTTCAGTCATTCAGTGACTGCAGGAGGTCTGATACAACTGTCAGTGTGGTTTGAGATCTAAACAGCTGCAGCTGCAGGCGGGGGGGGGGTCACACGTTCAGTCCTCCCCATCGTACCACGGGGAGCGTTCGTGTTCCTCGAGGTCCCCCTACAGCACGTGAGAACAGAGCACCGGGGGGTTTTTGTTCAGCCGTCGAGGGCCCCTGCGTCACTGTGTTCACTCACTGCACAGAAGTACCAGCCTTTGTCTCCCTGCTGCAGCTTCTTCACCGTCAGCGTCCCGCTGGCGGCGTCCAGCTTGGTGGCGGAAAAATTTGTCTTTGCTGAAATTTCCAAAATCGTGATCCGCGCTGGCGGAGGACGTGTACACGATCTGCTTCATGGTTTCTCCTGGCAGCTGTCTGTACCAGTACATCTGGAAGAACCCAGGTCCCTTGGTGTGTGTGCAGTTCATTGTTGCATCAACACCCTCGACTTCCCAGAGCATCGAAGTCTGGACGACGTCGCTGCCGCCTGTCAGACCTGAAGGTGTGACGATGGAGGATGCTGCTAGTAAACATGAGAATCAGTTCAATGTGCATTCAGGTGATTTTATTGTACTTTACCTGCAGTCCACAGCAAGCAGAGGAACCATCTGAGGAGGCCTGGTTTATTGGTGATCGTATCCATGCTGTCTGACAGAAACGGCCTCACATGGTCGATGTGAGGAGCTGCAGGTAGGAGGGTCTTTGTGTGACGTCATCCTGTCAGCTGCATCAAAGCCTTCAGGATCCAAACTAAGAGGGTGGTGCAAGCGGTATCTGGGGTCCTCCTGCAGCACCTCGCAGTGCATTCACTTTATGGAATCAGACGTTTTTCTTTTAACATATTTCATTGGAAGATTACTTTTTTCCTTTAATAAAGTGGCTGTGTGGCGGCCATTTGTCCTTGGAACTAACAAATCATTATGTCAAAGGGCCACTGATCCACCTCCTTTTTAGTTCATTTTACGCAGCAAGATAGCGGATTTTCCAGCCAGTTTTATTTTTGTTTCGCATTCATTTCAAAAGAGACAAACAATCACATACAATAAATAGCTTGTTGCTCCTATGCTGCTCACGCTGTAAATGATTCAAAAAATTGACTACAAAAAAAGAAAAAATGTAATATTTAGGAATAAATAACTAAATAATAACTGCAAATGAATCGCTCCCACAGCCTGGTATGAAGCAGAAAGAAGAAAACATTTGCATTAGCTATTAGCTGATTGCATCAAACCAACGCACAACCACAAGAGCAGATGTCTGGGAGCAGTTTATTCCAAGTCCTATTATAAACCCCTGATGAGAAAGGTTTGTGCAGAGTTTTTGTAAAGTTCACAGGGGATTTCTGTCAGCGTGCTTCACACGCTGCACAGTAGTAAACTGCACTGTGCTCCTGTTTTACACCTCTGACTACAAGCGAGCCATTCTTTGCTGTAGTTCCTCCCAAATCTCCAGAGATAATAAAATGATCCTTATAAGACTCTTCCATTGTGGGAGCTTTATAGTGCAAATATCCAATGAGTTTCATAGCCGTGTCTCCAGGGGACTGCTGGTACCAGAGCATCACCCTGTAGTCGGTCCTGTCATGGCTGCAGGAAATCTGCTCTTCGTCCCCAGGTTTCATGATGAGATCTGAGACGGACTGACGGACATCTAGACCCAGACACCCTAAAAACCACAATGGAGGACAAACGTGGTTAGGTGATCGTTATGGGGGGAAACCATATTTCCACCTACACGTATTCCCAAATTCTTTACCTGCCAGACAACAGAAGAGGAGAAAGCAGATCATTTTGACTAAAATAAAGACTCTCAAAGCTCCTTTCATGACTTATCACAGTGCGTGAAGAGCCTTTCAGACGTGAGCGGCTATGACGTCACAACATGACCTGATACGTCAACTGACAAAGACGGAAGATGCAAAGAAAACCCTTCATTACCCTCCCATCCCATTTTACATATCATGTTTTAATACTGCTGCGTGTGTTGAACTCAAGAGTATTTCTGAAAATCCTGCGCCACCTACTGGAACAATACATTACATTACATTACATGTCATTTAGCTGACGCTTTTATCCAAAGCGACGTACACTAAGTGCATTCAACCATAGGGTACAAACTCAGGAGAACAAGAAACAAGAAAGTGCAATTTCCTCAAATAAGCCGATTTACAATTTGCTATAGATGAGTGACGTTACAAGTACAATTTAAGTGCTACAATTTGTTAGTCTTTAGTCGAGGTAGAGTCTGAAGAGGTGTGTCTTTAGTTTGCGGCGGAAGATGTGAAGGCTCTCTGCGGTCCTGGTGTCTTCAGAGAGCTCGTTCCACCATTTCGGCGCAAGGACAGCAAAGAGTCAAGATCTAGTCGAGTGTTTTGCTCTCAGTAAGGGAGGAACGAGTAGTTTTGCAGATGCAGAGCGGAGAGTGCGGGTTGGGATGTCGGGTTTGACCATGTCCTGGATGTAACCTGGACCCGATCCATTCACAGCATGGTACGTGAGCACCAATGTTTTGAACTGGATGCGGGCGGCCACCGGTAGCCCGTGAAGAGAGCGGGGAAGTGGAGTAGTGTGGGAGAATTTCGGGGGGTTGAAGACCAGTCGAGCTGCTGCATTCTGAATGAGCTGCAGAGGTGGAATGGCGGTGGCAGGGAGACCTGCCAGGAGGGAGTTACAGTAGTCCAGGCGGGAGATGACAAGAGCCTGAATCAGTACCTGCGCAGCCTTCTGAGCGAGAAGGGGACGTATTCTCATGATGTTGTAGAGCGTGCATCTACAGGATCGCGTTGTCGCGGTGATGTTGGGAGTCAGGGAGAGTTGGCTGTCGAGTGTGACGCCGAGGTTCTTAGCGGTCAAGGTGGGCGTTAGCACGGAGTTTCCAAAGTTGACTGTCAGGTCCTTGGTAAGCGAATCTTTTCCGGGAAAGAGAAGTAGTTCAGTCTTGTCGGGGTTGATTTTCAGATGGTGGGCGGACATCCTCTGAGAGATGTCAGTTAGACAGGCAGAGATCCGAGCCGCCACCTGGGTGTCCGAGTGAGGGAAGGAGAGAATTAGTTGGGTGTCATCGGCATAGCTGTGGTAAGAGAAGCCATGGGAGCGAATGACCGCGCCAAGAGAGTTGGTGTAAAGCGAAAACAGGAGGGGACCCAGCGCGGAACCCTGAGGAACTCCAGTAGTAAGAGGACAAGGTTCCGACACAGATCCTCGCCAGGTTACCCGGTAGGTGCGGCCGTCGAGGTAGGACGAGAGAAGGGAGAGAGCAGAGCCTGTGACACCAAGTTCCTGAAGGGAGGAAATAAGGATCTGGTGGTTGACCGTGTCAAATGCAGCAGAGAGGTCCAGAAGGATGAGGACAGAGGAGAGAGAGGCGGCTCTAGCAGTGTGGAGTTGCTCAGAGACAGCAAGGAGAGCAGTCTCTGTGGAGTGGCCTGCCTTGAAACCTGACTGGTGGGGGTCAAGGAGGTTGTTACAGTGGAGATAAGAGGAAAGTTGATTAAAGATAGCACGTTCAAGGGTTTTGGACAAAAAGGGAAGAAGAGAGACCGGTCTGTAGTTGTTTTCTTCAGAAGGGTTGAGGGTGGGTTTCTTCAGGAGAGGGTTGACTCTTGCCTCCTTCAGAGAATTGGGAAAACAGCCAGATAACAGAGCGTTGTTGATGAGACAGGTGAGGAACGGAAGAAGGTCAGGTGCGATAGATTGTAGAAGATGTGATGGAATGGGGTCAAGAGGGCAGGTGGTCGGACGGGCAGAGGTTACTAGGGTAAGAATTTGGTTAGGAGAGAGGGCGGTGAAAGAGGAAAGTGAGGGCGAAAGAGGTGAGGTCGGTGGGACGCGAGAAGTAGGAGGTGGGTTTGAGAAGGACGAGCGTATGTCCGCTATTTTCTTGGTGAAGCAGTTGACAAAGTCTCCCGGAAGAAGGGTGGAGGGGGGGGGAGGGGTAGGGGGTTCGAGGAGATTGGAGAAGATCGAGAAGAGTTTTTTGGGGTTAGAAAATGAAGATTCGATTTTGGATTGGTAGAAAGAGCTTTTGGCAGCAGAGATAGAAGAAGAAAACGAGGAGAGGAGAGTTTGAAATTTAAGCAGGTGGTCAGGTCGTTTATATTTACGCCATCTCCTTTCCGACGCTCGCAATATTGCGAAGAGCCGGTTAGTTATAGAGAGTGGAAGGGAGTAAGAGATGAAGAAGTGATCAGACACATGAAGTGGAGTTGCAGAGAGGTTAGTGGTAGAGCAGTTTCTAGTAAAGATGTAGTCAAGGTGATTGCCGGCTTTGTGAGTAGGAGGAGAGGGACTGAGTGACAGAGCGAAGGAAGAAAGTAGGAGTAAGAGGTCAGGTGACTTCTCTGTCTGGATGTGAAGTCACCCAGGAGGATGAGCGGAGGTCCATTTTTGGGGAAATTGGACAGGAGTATGTCCAGTTCTTCCAAGAAATGACCTAAGGAGCCTGGCGGACGGTAGAGGACAATGATGGTTAATTGTACCGGGTGAGGGATTGTTACAGCATGCAATTCAAAGGACAATGGGGTGGATGGTGGTAGAGGGTAGAGAGAAAAGCTCCATTTGGGTGAAATGAGTAGACCTGTGCCACCACCCCTACCAGTGGGCCTGGGAGTGTGGCTGAAGGAGAAGGCGGAGGAGAGAGCGGCTGGGGTGGATGTGTTCTCAGGTGTGATCCAGGTCTCGGTGAGAGCGAGGAAGTCGAGTGACTGCTGGATAGCGAAGCCGGAGATGAAGTCTGCCTTGCGAGTCGCTGACTGGCAGTTCCAGAGACCTCCTGTGACGAGGTGCTGGACATGTGTGTAGCGGGTGGGATAGGAGAGAGAGGAGAGGTTACGATAGAGAGCAGATCTAGGCCTGTAGTATCTGCGGGAAGAGATGCGAACATGCACGGGTAAAGGGGTCAAACACATTATTAAAAATAGCAGAAGAAGGCGCCGCATTCAGCCGCCCCGAAGACTGCCACGAAAGACTCCCTTGTCTTTGTTCTGCTCGTCTTCGTGTACAATAAAAATACACTGATGAAATGTTTTGATTAAAAAAATATATAAATAGAAAGTGATTTATAGAATGAGAAATAACAATGAGCTGAAATGAGCTGTAATTTTATCGAAAGTTTAATACATTTTTCAATGTCTTGATGAAATCGTGTGATTTGTGTGAATCGGGTGTGATCTTCCTCTGATTAACCGATTAATTGATCACTCACCGATCAATCAACGCGATTAAAAACAAATAGACCTAAACCGACTCCTCTCTCTGCAGCATGAAATAAGACTCCAGCTGTGTGATACATCAGTCACCCCTTCTGTGGTTTATGGTGTGTGTTTTGTGTCAAAGACTCGGAGCTGTGCAGCACTGTGCTCTACTGGCAGCGCAGAAGTACACGGCCCCGTCCTCCGGGACACCCGGCTTTGGGATGTGGAGACAAGCGCGACTTTCCCCGTCACCGCTCACGTTGTACGAGTCCTTGAACGGAGCTTCCACGACTGTGGAGGTGAATCGTACGTAGCCAACCAGGAGCATGTCGCTCTCCCCGGCAGACTGTTTGTACCACTGGATCATATCGAAATCCGTGTTCGAGTGGTTACAATCTATCCGGACTTCTTCTCCGGGGTGTTTGATCAGAGCACCGGGACTCTGAGCAACACTGTTCTTTGAGGGTTCTGCAAGAAAACAATTAAAAAAGCACAGAGTTTATCGAGGAAACTACACGCAATAAGCTGGAAGAATAAAATGTGGAGACATTTAAGTAGATTTCTTTGATATTACCTGATAAACAGAACCGCAGAGCTGCTAAATGCACGAGGAGTCTGATCATGATCCTGAGCTGAGAAACCATAGAGATGACACACTGAACGGAGCAGGCTGGACCTAAAGGAAGAGGAGGAGGAGTCTTTACGCACGCAGCATCCCGCTGTGTCGCTTCGGTGTGGCGGCTGCTCTTCACCGTGAACTCCTTCTCCTGTTGACAAGCACGTCACCGTGAATCCACGTGGCCGATCATCAGAGCGGGTTTTTGTAGAGGGAAGAGCGACGTGGAGTCACTGTGCCTACTAGCCGCACAGAAGTACGCGCCGCTGGTGGGGTTCAGCACCTGCAGCTCAGATCGCGATGAGCCGTCTCCTGTCACATTAAATTGCGATTTGAATGTTTCCTCAATGGTCGGGTTGTTATACAGAACATATCCGATGAGTTTCAGGCTGGAGTCGCCCACCGGCTGCTGGTACCACAGTATTGTATAGTATGAACTGATGGAATGGGAGCAGCTGATTGTTGCTGGAACAAGAGATGTCCCAAATAGTGAAGGTGGATCCTGGTGGACCTCAGTGCTCAGGGAACGACCTGCATTTAGAGAGAAACGCCGTGAGGACGCAGACGAGGACACAGAACATTTTGCTTTGAATGAAGAACCCACAGGAGAGGAAGAGGAGCAGCAGAGCGGTCCCATGGGTGCTTCTGATCATGACGTCGTTACCTTCCTCAGTCTCTGCATCGACTGCCGGACTGAGGAGGAGGTGCAGGATCTCCTCAGAGGGGAGGAGGCATGGAGGAGGGTCTGATGATGGAGGAAAGGTTCATCTCTTATTTCATCAACAAGTTGATCAACAAATAAAAGGCCACACATTGATACCACCGATGTGGAATGTGAGGACTTTCTTCTGTTTTCACATTGATTTTCATTTTCTGTTGAAACTAAATTCAAATTAAAGATGTTTTCTGGAGATCGACGATTAAGGACTTTTTAAAATTGAATTAAATAAATTATAAGTACATCTGGTGACTTCAATCCTTTGTGACAGTCTGACCCTTGACCCCCCAGATCAGAGGAGTCTGGCAGTGAGCCCCGTGTGTGTGTGTGTGTGTTAAAGGCTTGAGCCTCAGGAGGCCGCGTCATGATGGCGTCCGTGTTCAGTCATTCAGTGACTGCAGGAGGTCTGATACAACTGTCAGTGTGGTTTGAGATCTAAACAGCTGCAGCTGCAGGCGGGGGGGGGGGTCACACGTTCAGTCCTCCCCATCGTACCACGGGGAGCATTCGTGTTCCTCGAGGTCCCCCTACAGAACGTGAGAACAGAGCACCGGGGGGTTTTTGTTCAGCCGTCGAGGGCCCCTGCGTCACTGTGTTCACTCACTGCACAGAAGTACCAGCCTTTGTCTCCCTGCTGCAGCTTCTTCACCGTCAGCGTCCCGCTGGCGGCGTCCGGCTTGGTGGCGGAAAACTTGTCTTTGCTGAAATTTCCAAAATCGTGATCTGCGCTGGCGGTGGACGTGTACACGATCTGCTTCATGGTTTCTCCTGGCAGCTGTCTGTACCAGTACATCTGGAAGAACTGAGCCCCCTTGGTGTGTGTGCAGTTCATTGTTGCATCAACACCCTCGACTTCCCAGAGCATCGGGTTCTGGACGACGTCGCTGCCGCCCGTCAGACCTGAAGGTGTGACGATGGAGGATGCTGCTAGTAAACATGAGAATCAGTTCAATGTGCATTCAGGTGATTTTATTGTACTTTACCTGCAGTCCACAGCAAGCAGAGGAACCATCTGAGGAGGCCTGGTTTATTGGTGATCGTATCCATGCTGTCTGACAGAAACGGCCTCACATGGTCGATGTGAGGAGCTGCAGGTAGGAGGGTCTTTGTGTGACGTCATCCTGTCAGCTGCATCAAAGCCTTCAGGATCCAAACTAAGAGGGTGGTGCAAGCGGTATCTGGGGTCCTCCTGCAGCACCTCGCAGTGCATTCACTTTAATTCTGATGAGTGAGAACTGGATTAAACAACGAGAAGCCCTCAAGTGTATTAAGTAAAAACAATAAATTATGCTTACATATAGACACCTACACCGTTTTTCCACAAAAACGGATGCTGTGATGTTTCATTATAAATTTTATTTGCAGGACATACGCAAAAAGTCATACAATGTCATCATCTTCACATTACAATGCAGACATTGGGCTTTAGTCACTTTAAACTTAGTATCCTCAACAACATTATAAGAAAACATAGATAAGGAGCTTAGAATACCCACACATACTGCAGTAGATTGCACAAGGACGGGATGTCATTCTGCCACATGAGGGAAGATGAAGTGTGAATGGGTGAGGTTCTAAATAATTTAATTGCATGGAAATTCAAATTTAATTAAATTAGCATGTACCACGTGCTGCTGAATTTGGGTGCGGACTTTAAACAAACAATGAAAAACGTTCAGTTAATCCAATGTGCACTTTTTTAGCCCCCACGCCGCATCCATGAAGCTTTTTATGGATTCTGTGATTGAGAAGCCCGAAAGAGGTTTTCACTTTTTAAAACACTATTCATGCGAGAAGCTAAATATGTTATAATAAATATATTAAGTTACATTCTCCAAGCCCGGAAAACAGTGCGTTCCAGTGAACTCAAGAATCACCCCCCCCCCCACAAAACCCCCCACAAATGAATGCAGTTTCACCCTGACAACTGTGATATGCTTCAAGTATCGACGCGGCCGTTTTCCCGTAGAGGGACAGGAAGTCGTCGGTGAGCCAGACGACGTGTTAGTCGCGTGTTGACAATCAGACGAGGGCCGTTCATTTGTGCAGCCGTGAGAAATGAGCTCAGGAAATACTCCCTCATTTGGTAAAAGCAATGTTTTCAGCTCTATGGTTAATCACACCACACAGCCGCCTGCTCATTCACACAGGTAACGCAGGTCATCGTGTGACAGGTATGTAACGCCTGTTGACAACGGCGTGTTTTTTTCTACATTTAGTGAACGGCACAGCACATATCTGAAGATAACTGTGACTTCAAGTGTCCAGAACAGTGTGTTAAATATAATCTTATTATGCACATTAACTTGTGTGTTTCCGTTTGTACAAGGTTCCGCCAAATCAACACCACAGGCAGATTTAAAATCAGAGGCCTGCAAATTACAAGCTTCTCTTTGCTTATTACTGTGTTTTCAATACATGTGACATAGAAGGAAAAATGTAATTAGAGAAGGGTTTTTTTTGGTAACGAAATCACTGAGAACGCATTCATTGCTGTCTCAGTGAAATTGGCTTTCACTCGCACATCTTCTCGCATTCACTTCTACTCCATTTTGGATCTCTCCATCTTGGTTTTCAGGATTTCCTGTAAAGACAGAGACCACAGAATGATGAATGGTTTCAAACAGACACACATGTGACTGGACATCATGGAGAGAAAGTAAGAGGACCCTTTACCTCTTCTTCATCGAGCATCACGGGGAGAGCTCTGTGTGGAGAGGAGACGGCAGTGAACGCTTTCACACACACCGGCCTCAAACTGCATCGTAAGATACTCAAACTCTTTTGGTATTAATAGCACCGTCAGAGCGGTTTACTCACACATCAGCAACAGTTGTGGGAATGTTCTCCTCGACCCATTTCAGGTCTTCATCCTGGCCAAGGAGAGACATAACAAGTTATTAAGTAATGTGTGTGGGTGAGGAGGGGGGGGACGGCTCAAAGAAGACAGGCATGGACAGAACAAACCTCTTTACTCAATAGTTTCTGGGAGCCATTGGAGTCGGGCTTTGATCCTCTCATCTTCATGCCCTCTACACAAGGAAAAGGGAACATTATTAAAGACCATTATCAGATAATAAGAGTAGAACATTGACAGGTTATTCAAATTCCACTTAATTTTATTTCTCAATAAACCTGTTCTCCACATATCTGAGTGAACGGATTTAGATGGAGGCCTCAGGAGAAGCAACACGTGGAAAAATATATACGATCGATTCTCCGTGTGTTGCTATTATTGACTATAATAAATCAATATATTCATCTTCATTTGACCTGTACAGCCAATCCTGTCAAATAGCATTATCAGCCCACTGGTAATCAATACTCAATAAGCGACGAGTTCACAACGCACTCACAGGAGAATGAGTCTTACCGAAAGCTTCACTCAGCATTGGTTCCTTGGCCTCTTCCTCGTCATCATCTTCATCAATCAGAGGAGAATGGGAGAACCTGAGAGAAAACCATAATAATCAAACACCGTCCCGCCGAGCCGGCAGAAGAGCTTTTGAGCTTCAGCTCGACTCACCGCTGGTTGTTGGCAGAAGGCCGCAGCAGCACCATGATGACCAGCAGAATGGTGGAGAAGAGGAGTCGCCAGAAAGCGTCGTCCACCCACAAGTCCCTCCAACCCTGTGGAAAGAATAAGAAGAGAAAAGAGCGGTGATCATATCGAGTTCTCATCTCTGCACAAACAACAACAACAACAGGGCAGGAAACAAACTGACCGTCTGGCAGTCCACCAGCTTGAAGACTCTGGTGGTCCAGATGACGACTATGATGGAAGCTGTGGACACAAAGAAAACACAGCTCATCTTTTGACGTCCCCGAACGACATGCAAATGATGGGAGACCACACAAGAAACGTCCCATTGGAGGAAGAGCAGAACAGAGGAACCACAACCTGCAGGTTCTCCCATCAACACACGTTCAGGCGGAGAAGTCCAGGACAAACAGGAATAGTTAACTTCACTCTGCACATATGCAGAAGGACTAAAGGCACCGCTCCAGCAGAGGCGCCGCTACTCACCGACAACAGAGAAGATGAGGGTGTTGGTGAAGTGCTGATACAACGAGAGTTTCACTATGTTTCTGCGCAGCTTCAGCAGACGAGTGGTTTGAGACAGGCTGATGAAAATGTAGATAACGTCAAGGAGAACACACTGCACACACATTCAACTAACCACCAATCAAAAGGTCAAAACGCTTCTGAATACGAAAATCATTGACGTGCTCTCGGCTCTCGGGGTTAAAGGATATCCACCACATGACGCACGAGTCGATGAGGGAGAGGCTGAGATTGGCCACCAGGGCGACCGTCCCGTAGAAACCCTGAAAAAAAACGGAGGAGAGTCCCAACGTGAGCCTGGGGGTCAGCAGAGGTCAAAGGTCACATTAGACAAGCTTCTATTCAGATCAGCCTGGTTGGTTTCGTTGTTGCTTGTATTGTTGCTGGTTCTACGATGTAAAGTCCCCTTTAAAGCGCTTTACAAACAAAATGATTATTAGATTATTAGATTTAAAACACTAAATGGACTCCCAGACTCCTTGTTCCATTATTCTTACTCTCTTCCTTATCTCACATGTGTTTGTAAACATTTTGTGTTTCCATTTATTTTGAAACTTCCTGCCGTGTCTTTGCTTTTCTAAATGTCCTACCTGCATGACCTCCACGGTCTTCTTCACATCAGATCAGATATTGATACTTACACCCGTCACTCTTAGCACGCCTTCCACGGAGCAGAAGAGCAGGTAGAGAAGGCCGACGGCAGCCAGCCGGGGAACCGTGGTACCTAACCGCGGCCTAAGCAAGCACGTTCGTCAGTGATTGAAGGGTATCAGCAGTAGGTCCCCTGCAGGGTTTTCATTTGGTAATCAAATAATAAAAGTCTAAACTTACTTGACTATGCCGTATCCAAGACTGACAATGAGGACCAGGATTCGGGCCAGAGATCTTTTGAGTGCAGAAAGTAGCTCGGCAAAAATCACAGCAGCTTGAACTGTGAGGAAATAGAAGGCATGAACAAAAAGATGATTATGTTTGAGTGAAGGACACAGAAAGTGAAACTTCTGCACATACGAGAAGATAAAAAAAGAAATCAACTGAACCCACCATAGTCTCCTTTGTAATGGATGCTCTGATATTCGGAGTAAAACACAGCTTTCTCCAGCATGCCCAGGATGATGACGGCGCCGATCCAGAACTGGATCCGCAGCAGGTCCCTCCAATAGCAGGCACACCAGAAGAGCCAGAGAGCCCCGAACAGCACGTACACGATACACATGACCATGAAGAACTGTGAGGGGAGACGAAAGCGTGCAGCTTTGTTTGAAATTCATTTTTGAAAAGACAACACGGTCCCATTCCCAAAAAACATGTTGGATAATGTCTTGTTAAAAATTCGGTATGTTTCAATTTGTTCCATTGCCCTTGACTGTAAAGTACGCTATTTATACGATTTCTGAATGGGCCTTTTACACATTGTCCTGTACGTACCATCATCAGGGGCCAGTCTGCTGGAGAAGAGTACTCGTGTGGTCCCTTCATCTCAACTTTCACTGGGGAAAGAAAAAACTTGATTGAAATACACAATGATCCGATTTGATTTCTTTTCTACACACGTTAATGTATCCCCCCCCGAATAACAGTGAGCGACTCTGAAGGTGAAATGGTGTCTCTCACTTGTGAAAGCAAAGTTGCGCGACGCGGCTTCGCCCTCAACTCCGTGGAACAAAGGCTGCACCTTCACTATGAACAGGTACGGACTGTCCTCCCAGGCTTTGGCCGCTGCACCAATATCCTGCAGAGAATCCTAGCCGTTACGCTCCTTCCTTCCTTTAAAAGCTTTAGGTACACACACTGAACTCAGCATCCGACAACAGAAGAGTAATGGGCAAGAAATACGGATGGAAAGTGACTGATCGTTGTTGTTGTATTAAAACTGGAACAACATATAATCTGTTCTTATTGAAAGGAAAGGAGCTTGTACAGCATTGCATAAAAAGTAAAAACAACATGTCTTACCGGCTTGTCCGGCCAAATAAGGCTCTGATTGGAAGAATCACTCTGACCCTAAAACAAAGGACACAATGAGCAATGCTTCATTCAGTTTTGCCCGGTTTTTAGACGTTCTGCTCAGTGAGCTTGACCAGCGACTCACATATTCCCTGGTGAGGGGCTGGTAAGGGTAGAACTCAGGATAATACACCTGAGGAGAGAGGATAAAGACATGAGAATGTACACAATGCATGAATGACCAAAAAGGACAGAGAAGCAGAACACGTGATAAACTGAGGTTAAACCTCCGTGTGTCTACATACTGATGAGTAGCCGCACAGCCCTTGTGTCAACGTGCTAATCACAGTGAGACGACGCTTTTGTCTCGGCCACAAACCTTCGGTGAGAAGAGGGAGGAGCAGTTGTCAAAGTACATGTAGCCCTCGCTGTAGAAGCCGCTCCAGCCTTCTTTCAACATGGGGTGCATCCCAAACATGGTAATGGCTTTGCTGTCCTGCAGAAGGACAGAGACGGGGACACCGGTTAATTCTCTGAGACCTTGCAACATCATACTGACAACACACAACGACGCACAACATGTCTAAATCCATTCAAAATGACCAGTTAACAGGACTTTTGTGCCAAATGATGTCATATTGACTCAAAGGAGTGATGTCATTGTTTGAAACAGATAATTGATCAAAGTAAAAATTAGCGGAAACCCATTATCTATTATCCAATCTTTTCTTTTCTTTTGGGAGCCGTGTTGGTTGTCCACCCCTGCAGCTGTCAGTCAGCACAGCAAAATAAAATAGCTATAATGACTCATTCCTTCCTTCGGTAATGTGAAGTATCAATGCACGTCTGTGCAGTATAAATACTATGTTTTGTGCATTTTCCTTTTTCCTTTTAATAAAGGATTATTTTATTATCTCTGAATTCTGATTTGGGCATTGTCTTCTTTCTTGGGGGGGAAGTTTCCTGTCGCCTTGGTTGAAGTCATTCTTGCTTTACAGTTTTTAGAAACCCTGTTTGGAGCCTCACAGTAGACGACACTGAACTTTCAGACACATCTGAATGAAAAACGTTCTCGGCGCTTCTTCACTTTTTTCTGACCCAAAAGCAGCGACGAAGTGAAGCCAGAAGCAGCAGCCGAGTTTCAGAGGTTTCTGCAGAAAGAACCAGCACTGGTGCAAAGATGATGAAGAACACAACAGCCGCTCCGACTGACACACGGATTCTGAACATTAAGCACAGATCACTCTGTTAAAAGTCCAGGAAATGTACTTCCTGAGAGAGAAGGGGACTCAAAAGCTTGAAGATGTACACCAACTTTTACAGCACAAAAAAAAGAAGCCCAACTTCTTTCAACCATGTCCACAGTACCTGAGTGACAGTAAAGGATGCAACCCCTGGCCTTTGTTTGCCATAAATAAAATGAAATGTCACATTCTCATTATTAAGATGACCTATAACGGCACAGAATCGTAATAACTCAAAATACAAGGGGACTGAAAAAAAACATTTTCAGTTTGGCAAACAAACGGTTCTCTTTTAAGCAGCCGAGTCTCAGAGGTCAGTCAGTCAATACTCACGGCTGTGTTAAAGACCTCGTTGTAGCAAACAGAGGAGCGCAGGAACCAGCTGATGTTGAAGGCCAGGTTTTTGTCACATGACGCGGTGTCACCCTGGACTGCAGGGAGGAGGTCTGGATTATTAGGCAATAATAAGACCTTACGTGGCACTGTTTGTTTTCCCCTGCTTTACAGTATTGTTTTAGCTTTTGTAAATCTAGGAGTTTGCCACTGAACAAACGACAAGCGCCACAATAAACACGTCCGGTAACATTAAGGTTGCGCGTTCCTGTGACTCACAACAACCGTCTGTCAGACAAATCATCAGTATAAATAATGAATACATAGCAGTGTTGTATGTTAAGGGGGTTGAAGCACAAAGTGAAGCGGTCAGACTACTTACACCTCATGAATATGGTGGTGTTGCTGTACAGCGTCTTCCGAAACACGATATTGTGTTCCTCTTGTGTCTGAAAACACAACAAAGACTAATCAGATCTGTTTGGAGACACTTCAGCACGTCACCAAAGACCCGGATACATTTTCAGAAGGACTAAAAAATGATAACAAGTGAGTTACGACACTAGTTATGACGATAGGTATCAAAGTGTTTCCGTTTCCCTTCGTATATTTCACTCACACAATAACGATATATGAGGGGGTTTTTTTTAATAAGACGTAAGTGTTTTGAACCGCAGCCTCGCAGCTTCCGTGCGTCGGCTCATCGAAAGATACCGTAAAATCAAATGTTTAACGTCAGTCGCCGGTGGTTCGATATCGCGCACGCGACAACTAACCGTTGATGTCGCACACCTGCTTTTCCCAGATAGCACTAATGATAATTCACTGGTAACGTTATCGTATTGGATTGGAACTTGTAGAACGATATAACGTCACACTACGGACGGCGTTATGACGTGGCCCATTCCAAATAACAGGTGTGTGTTGTGAGAAAAGCTAAACCAGAACTGTCTAACACGAAAAGTGTCTAAAAGATGGATCGTACCGCGAGACCTTAGCGTAAGATGCTAGGGGCTAGTTAGCTCCCTCGGCTAACAGCTGCTGTTGAAGATGGCTGAAATAACCGTAAGAAAACACACATTCTGGAGGCGAAGCGTCGATACTGACCGAGTTGATCTCTATATTCCATACGGAGATCTCTACCGCTGCCCCGGGACGGAAAAACAAAGCAAAAAACAAGAAGCATAACCAATGCGGCTGTGCATCTGGCATCTTCATCTGCGCATCTACTACAAGACGGACTCGTATCCGCCTCTACGTCCGTGATGCGTCCGGCTGGAGTTCACAGCGTCACCTCAAGATGGCGCCAGAACACTCAAAGAGGTGGCGCTGCCATGGCAACTAACCTAGCATGTGGCTAACGCCAGAGAAGCTAAGATAAGGTAAACTAAAGAGTGCTCCTCATTACAAGATTAAATATGTAACGTTAAGGAGCGTGTATTTCTACGCTCATACTACGAATAGCTATGAACCTAAAGTAGTCTTCGAAAAGTTTAATAATTTAGTTAAAAAATGTATTTCACAAACGTTAGCTAGCTGGTGTTAGCATGTATCAGACGTTATGTTCCTCTTCCTCATTTAACAGTTAACCTGTTCGTCACATCAACGACATGGAAGGTATAAAAAACATTTGCCAACTCAGAAAGTAAATACATATTTATATTAGGAGTTTTTTCAAAGGAATTGGGAGAGCCGGGACAACTTCACAGTCATCAAATGAAAAGATTAATATAAAATCTAAAAAGCACTAAAATGCAAGTAGATGGAGTAAATATTGTTGGTCTTGATTTCCTGTCACTGGGTCATATTGACAAAAGGTAAGCTAACAAAATACAATGTAAGTCGCTTTTGATAAAAGCGTCAGCTAAATCACATGTAATGTCAAGTAATGCATATAGATGTAAAATAAAGTGAGTAAATAGCAATTAAAACATGTGTGCAATATGAGAACAATTTAGAATTTATTTCTAAAAAAAAAAACATATTGTAAAATAATTAATATTTCAATTGAACCTGGATAGCAGGACTAGACTTGTTTCAATTTAAAATCTTAATGTTTCAATGTAGTTTCCCCCTTGAACAAGAGCTAAAAATAAAAAGCTAATCCTGTGTGTTTACTTTGGAAATCCACCCCGGAAGTGTTGTGAGTGGCGTGCTGGCGGTGCAGCTCGTCTTCTGTGCGCGCTGCTGTCTCGGCTTCTCGCTCCGTCAAAGTCAGGCAAAGTCAGGAGTTTTTACACATTGGTGAACACGGAAAGGCAGACTAGTTAACGCGGGAACCAGAAGATCAGAACCGACCTTTACCGGCCGCTGTTTGTCCGTCCCTCCGCTCCGAATGGCGGAAGTGAGCCAACCGGTTGTTAACGTTAGGTAAATTAAACGAACCACTATCTTCATTTCCCCTGCAGCGCTGCAGAAGGGCCTATTGAACTTTGACTTTTAACGCCATTTCACGTCCTTCATGTCTTAAAGTGACATATTATCCAATAAACAGTGGTATTAGTTATGTTTATATTGCTGCAGGATCAAACTCACCTTCATTCTATAGGAACATGATTAAACCATTTTGTTGTGTTGTGTGTTTCCCAGCCTGTGTTCTGTGTGTGAATATTACGTTTTCTGTCTCTCTGCAGTGTCATCCCTGAGTATGAAGGGAAAGAAGAGTTCAAAAAGAGCGAAAATGTTGCTTTCTACAGGTATTTGGTGTTTTTCACACACATTTTATAATGCACAACTTGTATTCATAAATAACTACAATCACCTACAATTAAGTGTAACCCTCTCAGGACCCTGAAAGGCACACTGCCCTAATATTGATGTTTATTGTCACCTCTGAGGCGACAGATCCAGGGACCAAACTTGCACCACAGAGTCCTTTTGGACACGATGGTGCTGACGGAGAAGGGGGCTCGGTTTGAACTGTTGGAACCTGACACACAGGTCTGAACACTGGGGCGATTTAAAAAAACAACAACAACCACCCAGGATGATCTATTTCGCTATTGATGTTGTAAACAATTTGAGCATAGACATATTAAAAGTTAGTTGTTTCTTTTTGTTTGTATATTATTTCTTTGAGCAATGATTAAGATTCAGACAACGGGCTGAAATATGTATTTATTTAATACATGTCATTTCTGATCACAATTAAAATATCAATGAACTCCCCTATTGGCGATAATAATAACCAAACTATGAGGCATGTTGGGTGATATAATCACCTCAAAGGAATTTTCCTTCAGCACTGATATTCACCGGTAAAAATCTGCCCCCCTCCCGACATGAAAACAAGCTCTTGCTTTTCTGTCTTCACAGGCAGCGCTGCTTCTTTGTGTGTCGCCTTGCAAAAACGACACGGTGAGGATACTAATAGATGAACTGCAGCCCATCAAAGCCCGCTACCGAGTTCCAGATGTGCTAACGGGGGAACCGCAGTGTGCGCAGTAAGCCTCCATTACGACACCGAGTTACACAAACGATGTCCAGCCACCTCTACTGTACTAAGAGCTCGGTGTCTGTGCTTTGTTGCACGTGTTGTGTTTGTTGGCCACAAGGACTTGTTGAAATCAATTTGGGCCAGTTAAGAGTTTTTAAATAAATCTTTTCCCCCATCGTCGTCTGGCAGGCTGAGAGTGGAGCGACAGTCCAAGGACTCGGTCACGCTGTCTTGGTCTGCAGGGCGTCACCAGGTTTGCGTTTGGCGTTTTCCTTTCCGACTGGAGATCCTGTGTGAGGACAAAGTGATGGTCACCTTCAACTCCAAAGGCAAACTGTGGTTGGAGACGCTGCAGGATCCACCCAGGTGAGGATCTCAGGCATACTGCATACTGGAAACTAAACATACTGATGGAAAAGTAAATTAAAAACAACTTCCTTGGTGTGTCTTTTTTTCTTCTCATGTGCACTCCTCGTGGTAGTGAGGTAAGCAAATACCTTCAAACAGAAATAGGTAATATAAATCTTATTTGAAGTTCAATCCAGTCTTCAAATGCATTTGCTTCTTTCTGCCTTTGTTCCCGTGGCAGCTTCAAGACGACCACACAGGTTCATTATGGAAAGAGACGTTCAGGCAGTTTGAGGATATCAAAGCTAATGGTTTGTTTTTTACCTTATTTTGTATTTGACCATCATAAAAGACAGACCTGTCAGTTATTTCCACCATGTAGATATTTACAGTTTACTTTCCAAAGGCTTTGAGATATTCACTCACACCAGAATTATCTTAACTAAAGTACCGTTTATACTTAATAAAAGTATAAATGAACTTGTCTCCAGGTCCCAGCAGCATCGGTTCCGACCTCTGTCTCCACGGGTTCAGCCACGTGTACGGTCTACCAGAGCACGCCGACGGCCTTCAGCTCAGAGACACCAGGTCCGCACACGGACTACAACCTGATGACACAAGCAGAAGCGTTTTTCATTTTCACAATCCCTTGATGATTATGTCTTTAATTCATGTGCCTTCGCAGAGACGGGGACCCTTACCGGCTGTATAACCTGGATGTCTTTGCGTATGACTTGTACAGCCGCCTCGGCCTGTACGGCTCTGTCCCGCTGTTAGTGGCCCACAAACCAGACAGGACTTTGGGTGTGTTCTGGCTGAATGCCTCTGAAACGTTTGTTCACGTCGGTTACAGCATGTCGGCTCCTCGGGTGAGTCCCGTTCCTGTGTGCTTTCAAACAGCCAATAAACCCGTTTATTACTACATTTATGTTGGAAAACATATAAAAATGCACATTTATAACCACGTTACAAACCCCTCCCTCTCTCAGGATGGCCAAACTCCCCCACTGAAGACGAGGCTTGTGGAGCCACAGACTGACGTCCACTGGCTGTCAGAAAGTGGTGTGATTGACTGTGTGGTTCTGCTCGGGCCCGGTCCACAGCAGCTGTTCACGCAGTACGCTCAGCTGACAGGTGTGTGTGCAGCACAGAATATATTTTAGTATTTGCATGTGAAAAGATAACCCCCCTAAAAAAAGATGGTTTCATGTTTATTGTGTCTTTTTGTAAATTACACAAATGAATAAGAAGGAAAACAATGCTTTCTGTATCATTTCAGTTGTTTCCTGCAGATGTTGATGCTGACAATATTCCCGCACATCATCCATAAGCGTGACTCACGGCAGTCGCCTCTTCTCTCCCTCTCTCAGGATATCAAGCGCTGCCCCCTTTGTTCGCTCTCGGGTACCACCAGAGCCGCTGGAACTACAACGATGAGGCTGACGTGAAGGCTGTGGACGCTGGATTCGATCGCCACGACATCCCCTACGACGTCATCTGGCTGGATATCGAGCACACCGAGGGGAAGCGTTATTTCACCTGGGACTCCGCGCTTTTCCCCGAACCGGCCAACCTGCAGCGCCACCTAGAGGAGAGGAAGAGGAAGGTGAGTTTCTAGTGTACATTTTTGCATTTGGTCGTCACAAATCATTATCGTGCATTTTACTCTTTATCTTTCAGTTGGTGGTGATAACCGATCCTCACATCAAGATCGACCCCGGTTGGTGGTTGTCTAATGAGGCCAGAGATGGGGGGCATTTCGTAAAGAACAGAGACGGGCAGAACTATGAGGGATCGTGTTGGCCTGGTAATGTTTGTGTAATGTGTTGGAATGTTCTGTCCTGGTGTCAAACTGGTGAATGTTTGCCCAGACATTTTGGGCCCTTGATGAACATTTTCCATAACGTTGCTGCAGACGTGGTCTCAGGGAATTACAGCAATGTGGCATTAAACACATGGTCATTAATCTAAGCCTGAGACCTAAAAGACCAGATGAACAAAGAGGACACAAACCAGTAAATAGATTATCTTCTAGTGAGGCAAGAGCCTAATCAAGCAGTATAAAATATACAATAAACCCTGACAATTGTACATAAGATATTGTCGAGGTAGCACAACATGTCGCAGCAAAGTGCGGTCTCATCAGTGTTTAATCCTCACAGCGTCTCACACTCAAGCAGCTGACGGCTTTGAGGCCTGAGGGGGCCGATGCCTCACCCGGCGTGCAACATGAGAAAAGAGACTTACAATAGAATAAACATAAAGGCATGGGAAAATAAAACACAAAGCTGAGACGGCGTCGACTTTTATCAATTACTATCTCCTAGAGATGAAGTATTGAATGATAAAGAGACCTCATGATACCTGCTTTTAGTTTTTTGTCCTTTGTAATTGTTTAATTAACCTAATAGTTTTATTAACCTCTCTCACAGGTAATTCCAATTACCTCGACTTCAGCAGTCCAGACACTCGAGCGTGGTACTCTAGATGTTTCAGCCTGGATAAGTACAAAGTAAGTGTACAAATACACATATACATACACATATATGAAACCCAATTTAACATCATAAAGAATCCTTTGTATTCCTCCAAGATTTCACGTTGTATGACAACGTTTGTATGTTCTGAATCACTGAGTAGTTTTAAACCCACAAACCTGTTCACACAGGGATCGACACCATCGCTATTTGTGTGGAATGATATGAACGAACCGTCCGTGTTCGACGGGCCGGAGCAAACGATGCCCAAGGACGCAGTGCATTATGGGGGATGGGAGCACCGTGAATTACACAACCTGTACGGCTTCTACCAGGTGAGCTGGCTCAATGACTGTTCGCGATACAGGTATCAAACATTTAGCATTTTAAGCATGAGAAATGCACAATAACTGAATTAAATGACGTATGAAGGGAATTACTGACTTCTCTTGTCTCTTGTTGGCTCACAGCACATGGCCACAGCGGACGGTCTGATTACTCGCTCAGGCGGCTCGGAGAGACCTTTCGTCCTTTCACGCTCCTTCTTTGCTGGGTCACAGAGACTCGGTACGTTTTTAAATATGATCGATGGACTGAAATGTTGTCTTCATGGTTGTATCCCTAAGTGTTTGTTTCGAATGGGATGCAGGAGCAGTATGGACAGGTGACAACGTCGCCAGTTGGAAGTATCTGAGTATCTCCATTCCGATGCTTTTGTCTCTGAGTGTGACGGGCATCGCATTCTGTGGAGGTGAGAACGCTGGATTCATCCATTTTCCTTTTCCAACTTCGAACTGTTATTATTTAATGATGTATATAAGACTTTATTTGGCAAAAGTCAAATTCTGTTATGTTCTTTGGCGCACTTAAATTATTTTAATTTCAGCTGACGTCGGCGGGTTTGTTCAGGACCCGGAGCCGGAGTTGCTGGTGCGCTGGTACCAGGCGGCCGCCCTGCAGCCGTTCTTCAGAGGTCACTCTGCAAAGGGGACGAAGCGCCGGGAGCCCTGGCTGTTTGGGGAGAAAGTCACCGCCGCTATCCGCACTGCGATCCAACAGAGGTACTCTGAGTCTAACCATTTTGATCGACCAGATCCCCTTAAATTATATAATCTTTCTATCTTTTCTTTCTAAATATCACGCTTTTTTCTAATTAGCATAACAAAAAAACATTAAACATAACGAATCGTCAAAATCTGTCTTAGTCGACAAAGAGCACAGTCATCTTTGTCCAGTTTTCAATGATCCGAGTGTTGCCTCTCGTGCTCTCAGGTACTGTTTGCTGCCTTACTGGTATTCTCTGTTCCACCTGGCTCACACCTCCGGTCTGCCTCCTCTCAGGTCAGCGCTGCCTCCCCCTGCTGCTCAGTGGAAGTACTGCAGGCCTGTTTGTCCAGTTTACTTCCTGCTTTCTGACGCTAGAGGTCAATGTTTGTCATGTTTTAAGTTGGTAATTAAAACATCATCATATCTAGGAGATACACTTTTAAAGAAGAGGTTATAGAAATGCTCATTTTATTCAAACCCGCACAGACCTCTCTGGGTGGAGTTCCCAGGAGAACAGAGCACCTTCGCTGTGGACCACCAGTATATGATCGGTGATAAATACCTTTTTTTACTCAATGAAGTTATCACTCTTTCACTTTTATTAGCTTAACTGTCTCTGATTCCATGTAGGTGGAGCACTGCTGGTCAGTCCTGTAACCAAGCCGCGTGTGCAAGAAGTCCGAGTCCTTCTTCCTGGATCTGGTGAGGTAAATCAACCACCAGGAAACAAATGCTTGTCTCGTGGTGTCTTCATGACTCACCTCATGGTGCATGTTACATGAAGGGCTGTTTGTGTTTTAGGTTTGGTACGACGTCCACACTGCAAAGGCGCATAAAGGAGGCCAGACTCTGAGTGTTCCCGTCACCCTGGACACAGTTAGTGTTAAAGTCTCAGTTCACACAGCGAGGGTTACTTCGTATGTCATATTCTTTATGAAACTTGTATTTTCCTCTCAGGTTCCTGTGTTCCAGCGTGGCGGCTCGGTGGTCTGCAGGTCAACAGGAAGCGGTTCCTGCACAGCCGAACAGCAGCAGCTCCCCCTCTCTATCACGGCGGCCCTGAACTCTGAGGTGAGCACCAAAGGGTTTTAAGTAGGCAAATCAAATACTGGTTACTTTCTGATGGTGGAGGAAGACTGCCAACGCCGTTGTCAACCAGTACCGCCAATTCTTCTGCTGACTTTATCAAGTGGACATCCAGACCCTGATCAGGACGATCCTCCGGCGCCACACGGACCGGAATGAGTGCGACACCCCTGGCGCACAGTTCTCAGAACCACGTTTAATCAGCCAAAACATTTTTATTATCTTGGAAGGATTACCTCCACGTATTTGTTCCAGTGTGCTACAGGTTTTGCAGGCCATGTTACAAATGAATAAATGAATTAACGCTAAGATAATAGCAGCTCAAAATGTTTTGGAGAGTTTCATTTAATAAGTTTTAAGACTTTATAGAATGATGGTCTTTATATGGGGGAAATTCCAACCCTTCAGAAAGGGTTCAGTGATTACGTTCCATCTCAATGGGATAATTGAATTAGTAGAATCCTGACCGCTTGCCTCGGCAGGGACTCGCTGATGGGGAGTTGTACCTGGACGACGGCCACTCCTTCGGCTACCGGGACAGAAAGGCCTTCTGCCTGCGCAGGTTCAGCCTGCTGTCAGGCCGTCTGCTCTGCCGGTGAGTCACTCACACCTCCCAAACAAGCAGCTTTTTCTTTTTAGCACTTAGCGCTCAAAAGAAACGGGGGGGAAAAACAAACTTTTCTATTTTCTTTTGGTTCTGCAAGTGACATGAAAGCCAAAAGTGAAGCTCAATGAGTTTCAGAATGTCACTTGTGACCATGTGTTGCTCTCAGTCCCGGCAGTGAAGAAGGAACCTTTGCCTGCGGCGCCGTCGTTCAGTCCGTCTCCGTCCTGGGCCTGAGAAGCAAACCCTCCACCGTGGTGCTGCACGTGTCAGGTGAGGAGTTTAGGAGTCACACACACTCACAGCTGGAGCGATTGAGAAACAAAGATGTGTCGTTTATTTACTGTGTTGTGTGTGTGTGTGTGGGGGGGGTCGTGGGATCAATAATCAAAAAAATAAAAGCTTCTCTGCCAATCAATTCAGCCGTAAATCAATTGTAAAAGCATGATCTTTAACTTTATTTTATTTTGATAGAAAATGGGGCTCCAGTAGAGGCACATCTTCTACTGGTGGAATCATCAAATGAAGCAGTTTGACACAAAAAATCCTGGAAACTGGAGTTTCGTTTTTGTTCTCAGTGGCTAAAAGTGTCAAACACAAAGTATTTTCTACCCGTCTCCAGGCGCCAAAGACTCCTTCGCTGCGTTTGAGTGGACGGAGACCTGCTGCATGCTGACCGTGAACAAGCTGAAGCTCAGAGTGGCGATGGACTGGGAGATGGAGATACATGAAGGTTAACAGTGAACCCCGAAACATGCTGCAGTAGTTTTTATTAGCAAGTACAACATTTGTAATATAGATATGTCAGAGCTGCAAAAAGGGGCCTCATGAACCACTGACTTTGAATTTTTTCGTAATTTCATTACAATCCTTTAAAGATAAATGTTTATACTTCTGCTACATCGAGTACTGTATTTGATTTTAAATACGGGTCCCAAACAACAAGAGAACAAAGATCATTTAATCTGGAAACAATGATGAGTATTATTTCCCACGGTATGAAGATGTTTTTTTTTTTTACAATAATCAAATACAAATGACGTATTCTTTTAAAGTTGTGGAGTGAAAGTCAATCAAAAAAAAAACAACATCATGTGTATTACCGTCCATCCGTCCATCTGCAAACCGCTTATCCTGCACACATGGTCGCAGGGGGGGCAGGAGTCTATCCCAGCCAACGTCGGGCGACATTGTTTTACTGTGACAAACCTTTTTTGTATCTAAACGTAACAATATAGTATTTGAAAACGAGGAACTTCAATAAATATTATTAAATACTTAACAGTAATTATTTTGAGAAGGTTTCTCATCATGATTACTTGTGGGATACTTACTCATTATTTCATGAGATATAACACTATTAGAGAATTGCATTGGTGGAAATGCTTTTTAATAGTACATAAATCAACAGGGAATAATTGAACAATAAAATAACCCACAAAGGAAAAGCCAAAGACCAGCTGGGTTTTACAATGGTTCATGCTCTGATTTAAATTCAGAGACTTTGTCACAACAACATCAACACCGATATCAATCCTCTGTGCAAATATCATATATTTACTTTCTATTTTATTTCAGAACTTGGACCAAAAGGCCGTCACGTCGGTCCGAACCTTTTTGTTCCTTTAACCTTTGACCGCTCTTTAAGACTCACTCTAGCAGTCTATTGGTGTACATCTATGAATTTGCACTTTGCCAAAAGATGAATAATACGGCCTGCTCTAGTTATGCTGAGACTGCTCAACGCTGAGCTCCATTGAGAACAGGTTTAAAGGGGTTGAATGCCTTCTGCTGAGGCAGGGCATCGACCCACCACTCTTTACATGCCCTCGGGCCCTTTGTGTCGCCCAACAATGATGCACCGGAGCACCACAGCGCCCGCGGAGGTCATTGTCCGCGCCGGCCAATGGGAGAGCTACGGACGGACGTTCATGCGATGTGTGAGTTTCCGTGCACACGTGTGTGCGTGTGCACGGTAATGCAAAGGAAGGCTGAACGCATGTGGGGTCTTTCACACCGAGCTTTTGCATGGACTGTGACGCAGGGCAGGGGGGGGACGTCACGCAAAGAAGCAGCCAATCAGACACTAGCTGTTTGGATTTATGCCAGGGGTTTTAGGCTTGTAAGACTTTAGTACAAGTGGCCAAAGCCAGTTTTTAAAAAAAAGGGAAAAGGTCAGCTGAGACGAGATGCCGTACACACCGTCCGGCTTTTTCTGTGACCGGTTGATCCGGGAACGAGAGAGGAGGGACGGGGAAGGGTCTCTGAACAAGCCCCTCCGCTTCAACGGCCAGGACTTCAACGCGCTGAGACAGGAGTGTCTCCAGAGGAAGTCACCGTTCGAGGATGACTCTTTCCCGGCCACCGTGGAGTCTCTGGGCTTCAAGGAGCTCGGACACAAGTCCAACAAGGTCAAGAACATCGTCTGGAAGAGGCCCAAGGTAGGAGGGGATGGGTGACACAAATGTTGGGTGTTATTTTTGAACCTGGGTGGAAATCAAACTGCTGCCGGATGGGATCTAAAGCAGCCCCACGCCGATGGATCGGACATTCGTTGTGTTGTTGTACATTTGTTTCCTATCATTATTTTTGGCTTAGCGCCTCTTGACATAAAGGATGTTTTATGACGCGTTATTCAGCCGCAGGCCAAATCGCACGCGCCACTCGCCAGGTGACGTGGGATTGACTGCTGGCTTACCGTGTTTGCTTATGATCGTCTACAGGAAATCTGTGAGAACCCTCAGTTCATTGTTGGAGGAGCCAGTAGGACAGACATCTGCCAGGGAGATCTGGGTAAATCTTTACACCTCAATTTGTGTGACGATTTCATTTAGATGTACGCGATGAAGGAATGTTTCCATGAGGATTGACCCCTGGTTGATGTTGATGACTTTAAATAAGGAGGAATGACCGAAGGAAAATACTTGTTGTTGTTTGGTTGCTTGTTGGCGGCTTCTAGGTGAGGGGAGCTGTACGTTCTGTATTGACCCCCCCCCCCCCCCCCCACCCCGGGGGTATTCATCATTCAGCCGCAGTATTCAGGCGGCTTTGGGGGGGGGGGGGGCTAACAGGGTAGCAAATATCCCATCAACCCCCCCTGGCCCCCGGCACACGGCCTCCCCATATTGTGCATTCTCTTTTAGAAGGGAATCCAACCAGCAGCACTTCTCTTTGTTGTTCGGTTCAGACTGCAAATAAAGGGAGGACCAAAGGGGACAAAGGTCACGGCAGACAGTGTCAACCGGCCCCTTGTTTGACAACCTGTGAGTTACACACCTGGACAAAGTCAGGAAAAACAGCAACGTCAGCACCGGGCGGCCATGCAAAAACACGTCCGCCGAAGAAGCTCCTGAATGGCGATGAAGTTCGATCTCTCTGCGGAGATGGTTGCGCCTTGCGTCTTGAGAGCTGTTGGGTTTGTGGCTGATGAAACGGTTTCCGGTGCTCAGGTGACTGCTGGCTGCTGGCTGCCATCGCCTGTCTCACCTTGAATGAGAAGCTTCTCTACCGCGTCGTTCCCCAGGAGCAGAGCTTCTCTGAGGGCTACGGAGGCATCTTCCACTTCCAGGTCAGAAACAACCCGCCACGTTTACCCAAACACGTCATCCTCTCTTCAGTAGCACATACAGACATTATATCCTCTCTCTCAATCCTCTCTAAACACTAACGCTCTGATCGTTTGTTGAGTCATACAGAGAGATATCCAAAGTTCCTTCAGTAAAAACCTTTGACTCTCATATTTACTTTGCATATTCGTACAAGATCATTTCCTAAAGTTTAACGGGGGCGTCTGTTAGTGATTTGTTGAACGCTGTTCAGTGGAGGAATACCTTCTCATCCTTCGTCCTCTGTCTTGTTTCTCCTTTCCGCGTTTCAGTTCTGGCGCTATGGCGACTGGGTCGACGTCGTCATTGACGACCGCATCCCAACCTTCAACAACCAGCTGGTGTTCACCAAGTCCGCGGAGAGGAACGAGTTCTGGAGCGCCCTGCTGGAGAAAGCCTACGCCAAGTGAGTGCTGGGATTCTCCATCCGGCAAGGGAGGGACGAGGGTCAGAACACGGGGGAACATCTAAATGTTAATGTTCTCCACGAATCCGCTTAGGCTGCACGGCTCCTACGAGGCCCTGAAGGGGGGAAACACCACCGAGGCCATGGAGGACTTCACCGGTGGAGTCACTGAATTCTACGAGTTGAAGGAAGCGCCCAAAGAGCTCTACAAGATCATGAAGAAAGCTCTGCTGAGGGGCTCGCTCATGGGCTGCTCCATCGACGTGAGCCGCGCTTTAGACATGCAGCCAGGAGCCGCTGGTCGACCGCTAATCACCTCTGGTTCAAAGTTTGAAGAAAACACAATCTGACAATTCAAACACTACAAAAATTGAAATGAATAAAATACCAAACAATTATCTTGGATGATGATATTAAAAATAATAATTAATAGTATTCGTAGTTTTCATAGTCATGATTACAACAAAAAAAATACTAATATGGGATGTTTCAAAACAAAAGTTTGAATCAAACACACAATAAAATGTTAAAAATAATTAAAAGAAAGTAAAAGAAAATAATCAACAATAATATAAAATAAATATTATAATAATAATAGAAAAGATAATAGAAATGATAAACAGGAAATAAAATAAAATGTGCTAGCTTTCAATGCCTGGTTGTTTCTGTTTAGCTGCTAGTTGTGTGTTTTTATGCATTTTGTGTGTCCGCAGTCCCTGGTTCCGGCTCGCTTTGAGACTCGCACCGCGACGGGACTCGTGAAGGGTCACGCCTACTCCGTGACGGCAGTGGACGAGGTAAAGCGTGCGACCTAGTGGGTCGCTTTCAGCTGCAGGCAAACAGTTCCAGGCGTGAAAACGAGTCCGCTGCTTCTCTTCTCCTGCAGTGCAAACCGTCGCAGCAGAAGGACTCGAAGGTCCGCCTGGTGCGCCTCAGGAACCCGTGGGGTCAAGTGGAGTGGAACGGCCCCTGGAGTGACAAGTAGCCATCTTTCCTCTTCATATCAGTTGCATAGTTGCCGTATGTCTGATGAAGGTTTACTGTCACTCCCAAAGTGATTCTGGCTTCAGATCCCTTTATTCTAATGACAATCACACACATTCATGTATCTGTATTTTGTCAAGCCATATGTCTTATGAGATATCCCAAATATCTGATACCCAGAGCCCAACATTTGAGTCGGCATCCGCGTTAGACGCGTGCGTGTCATCATCTCTCCTTCCAACAGTTCCAAGGAGTGGGCCAATCTCTCTGCGGCGGAAAAGGAGAAGCTGCAGCACCAGAGTGCCGAGGATGGAGAGTTCTGGTGAGTCTCATGTTTCTACCCTTCAGGAAGGTCTCTGAAGGTCTTTGGTTGGTATTTGGAGTCAGTAACTGCGCTGGGCTGAACGCTGAGGTCAGATATGAGTGTCGTCATCTTCTCCAGGATGTCGTTCGAGGACTTTAAGAAGAACTACACCAAGATCGAGATCTGTAACCTCACCCCCGACGCCCTGGAGGACGACAAGATCCACAAGTGGACGGTTTCTGTGAACGAGGGTCGCTGGGTGAAGGGCTGCTCCGCGGGGGGCTGCAGGAACTACCCAGGTACCTCGGCGTACACGACAAGTACCGTCTAGCGCGTCAAAGAACAAGGCTGGAAAACGCTCATTCAAAACGAAATGAAATGTCCCGCAGACACCTTCTGGACCAACCCGCAGTACCGCCTTCGTTTGCTGGAGGAGGACGACGATCCCGAGGACAACGAGGTGGGCTGCACCTTCGTGGTGGCTCTGATGCAGAAGAACCGGCGGAAAGAGCGCAAGATGGGCGCCAACCTCTTCACCATCGGATTCGCCATTTACGAGGTGGCCCGAAGAAGAGATTGTGTGACAGACTTTGAGTGTGCTCCTTGTAGACCTTTTCTTACATAAAGTTTTGATATAATTAAGTCTCTTAAGTGTCTTTTTTAACACTTTAACACGGATGTTTCCTTCATTTCTCTGCAGGTGCCAAAGGAGGTAAGAAAGGCGTAAACTCACAGCGGAGCAGCAGTTTGCAAGTTATTACACGCTACTTTTCTGTGGTCCGAAACTGTGAGGTAATTCTTTCCTTTTTTAGTTTCTATTCTTCCTCTCATACCAGTGTTGCCCCCCCCCTCCAGATGCACGGGAACAAGCAGCACATGCAGAAGGACTTCTTCGTCTTCAGCTCCTCCAAAGCTCGCTGCAAGTCCTACATCAACCTGCGCGAGGTGACGCAGCGCTTCCGCCTGAGCCCCGGCGAGTACGTCATCGTGCCCTCCACCTACGAGCCGCACCAGGAGGGCGAGTTCATCCTGCGGGTCTTCTCTGAGAAGAAGAACACCTCAGAGTGAGTGGGCCTGGGCGAACGGGGGGGGAGGGGGGGGATCTCTTGTTAGAATAAGACGTTTACAGGCAGATGTGTTTGTGGGATCATTTCACTCCTTTTGATGCTGATGTTTCCCGGTAGGGCTGGGTATTTAAATACATCCAAACCATATTGGCTAGAAGAGTATTTAATGGAAGATATTCAGAGGTATTCAAAAGTGTATCAAGAGGTTGTTTAGAATTTTGAAATAAATATGATTTTTGTTTTATTTTCTGCCTCACAAAGAGTTGCAGCACCAGTTAGGGCCGATGATTTTCATTATCGACCATCTTCAAGGTGAGATCAATTGAACCAGCAAACCGTTGGCATTTCTTGTTTAATTGACTAATTGTTTCAGTCACAACACTGTTAAATGCTCCTAAAACACATTCATATATATATATTTCAAAAGAACATTTCAAACCCAAATAGTCTCATCAGGTGTAGAATACATGACAAGCTAGTGCGACTGATGGACAGTCAGTGCACTTGTTTCATGAGAGATGACTGTGATTTAAAAACATCCTTTCTTTAGCACAAGTATCCCAAAAGCAGAAATATTGAACCCGACAAAAAGGTCAAATTCAGCCAAATGTCCAACAGTACCCAGCCCTACTTGTTGATGTTCACATTAACAGCAGGATGGATTTTATTTGTTCAGTGAGGGTTTGTGTGTTTTTTTATTGAGGGAGGGGGGGGGACACAAACCACCAAGAGCAAACAATTTTAACGGCGATTTGATTTGTAGAACTGGAAGAAATCGGCCCCAGTTCGAAGCTGTTATGGAATCTTTTTTAAGACAAGCGACTTCAGATATGAGCACGATCCGGTAAACTTTCCAAAATATTCAATTCTGCATATTCGAGCCAATCGACAAACAGCAGCCGTGGAGGACGGACAGCAGGCGGCCCTGAAGGACCGGCGGGACGGATGTGCACCACAAACACGGCTGTAGATTGAAGATGTTTTGTAAAACCAGCATGAGCCCCTGAAGGGTGCAGGTCATCACGTAGTCATTCATCCGCAAACGTACTTCAACCACATCAAATTCAAAAGTCAAGAAGAGGACACCCTGACTGGACGAAGAAGCATCAGGTGGTACTGAACTAACACGTTTCCCTTCACAGCGGCATTGAGTGTTCGTGGATTCACGTGTGACCTTTCGGTCCCGCGTGAGAATCTGACTCCCGACGAGTCGCTCAGGATTTCCCTCCTCGATAACGTGATTGTAGTATGAGTGGTCCGGATGAGATGTTGTTGTCTCCATGGTGACTGCTGTTTGTTCGTCTTCACCCAGGGAGATAGAGAACAGGATCGAGGCCGACCATCCCGTGGTGAGTGTCCTTCAGTTCTGCTCATGACTCGGAGGAGCTTTGTCTTTGTCTCATGGGGGGAAGTTTTCATTTCCTCCCTATTTATTCTATGAGTTGGCAGTTCTTCACCGAATAAACAGAGCTATTTTTCCCCTTCACATCTTCTCCCACATGTCTTCATCTCTTTCTACTTTGTGGCGCCTCAGCCGGCGCCGGCCTCAGTGGGGGAAGAGAGCGAAGAGGACCAGCAGTTCAGGACTATTTTTCAGGAGATAGCCGGTGATGTGAGTAGAAGAAGTACAGTGAGACGTACACAGACCACCTGCTTCCCTTACCAAAAGATCCTGATTGATGACGTAGCCACATTTAGCTCCTACGGCTAATCGCTGGCGGCACTGAATTGCCGGCTTGTGGTGCGATCATGACATTTGAACTTCTCCCGTTTCCTCCTTCGCTCCGGTCGCTCTCGCAGGACATGGAGATCACAGCCAACGAGCTGAAGAACGTCCTCAACAGAGTGATCACCAAACGTGAGTCGGCGCTTCATGCTTTGTGTTCGCTCTCGGTTTGACCTACTTCACGCGTTAACATCACATCACAGTGCTTCCCCAGATCTTAAATACATACAGTAAAGTATAAGAAAGGAAAACAACAATAAATGTGCTACAGGGTGTTAAATATCTCTGTTTTGGTTTCTGTTGACCTCTGAATCTAAATCTGACCTCCAGATAAGGAACTGAACACCAAGGGCTTCAGCCTGGAGAGCTGCAGGAGCATGATAGCGCTGATGGACGTATCCTTTGTATCGAGTGCATCGGGCTGGCCGTGTCGTCTGCAGGAGGCACAACCTGCCGAGGCCCCTGAGGGGGCCTGTGAGGGACGCCCACGGGGGCCTGCGAGGGACGCCCACGGGGCCTGTGAGGGACGCCCTCGGGGGCCTGTGAGGGACGCCCACGGGGCCTGTGAGGGACGCCCTCGGGGGCCTGCGGGGGACGCCCTCGGGGGCCTGCGAGGGACGCCCACGGGGGCCTGCGAGGGACGCCCACGGGGGCCTGCGAGGGACGCCCACGGGGCCTGCGAGGGACGCCCTCGGGGGCCTGTGAGGGACGCCCTCGGGGGCCTGTGAGGGACGCCCTCGGGGGCCTGTGAGGCCTCAAGTCACCACGCTCACCCACTTAAGGGGAAACGCCTTCACGTTCGTTATTACGCAACATGCTTTTGACGCTAGATGGAAGAAGTATTCCGATTCCTTCCTTAGGAAAAATGCACACTGTGAAAATACTCCAGTACAAGTACACATGCTGCCTTACTTAAATATAGTGTAATATCAGCAGAACATACTTACATGCGAAGCCATTGTCCTTGAGAAGTAGCGGGGCAGCTGCATACCATACAAGTACTCGTAGAAAGTAAAAGTACTTGTACTTGAAAGCATATGATCCCTTCGCGGGGCAGCCAGTGTGGGACCCCGGAGGGACGTTCCTCACTGAGGCGTCCCGGGGAGGAAGTGGTCTGTTGTTCTTTTAACTGCTGCCGTGTAGATGGATGGGACGGGTAGACTCAACCTCCAGGAGTTCAGACACCTGTGGAATAAGATCAAGCAGTGGCAGGTGGGGATGCAGCTTCACAGCTAAAGTCATTCTGTGAAGATGAATCTACAACCAAGTTCCCTCTTTCCTCTTGCAGGGAATCTTCAAGCACTACAACGCCGATCAGTCCGGTAGCATCAACAGCTACGAGATGAGGAACGCTGTCAATGATGCAGGTACGGACTCTTCTCCTTCTGTTATATCTGTAGAGGAATGCTTGGAATCACAACCCACTGTGTTTAGCACTTCTCCCATCAATGAGCAGTAGATGTTTATCACTCATGGACTCCTGAGGCGGCATCTTCAGACCGTGACGTTGAATCAGACGTTTGTTCCTGTGGGAGTTTTCTGTGCAGCGGACGAACCTCCAGCTTGAACTCACCCTCTGAATGTTCTCTTCACTGTACAGTCATGTGTCTTGTGTCCCACTCAGGCTTCCGTCTCAACAACCAGCTGTATGACATCATCACCATGCGCTACGCCAACGAGGGCATGAACATCGACTTCGACAGCTTCATCAGCTGCCTGGTTCGGCTCGAGGCCATGTTCAGTGAGTCGGGGATTATCCTGTGGATAAATCCGCATTCTAGAATTGAAGAATGTACAAATGTGAAGCGACCGGTAGTTTGGCATTTTGGGATGAAGTGGATCACGCTGGTGTTGCTTTCTTCCCTCCAGGAGCGTTCCAGGCCTTCGATCAGGACGGAGACGGAACGATCCGACTCAGCGTCCTGGAGGTGAGAGCTGTGAGCTGACATATTCCACTGCATCGCAAAGACGCACCGACCTCCAGCAGAACGGACCTTATTCCAAGGAAGCGTTTTCAAAGAAAAAATGTCGTTAGAAATAGAGTCGAAAAATATCTTGCTAAATAATTTCTAATAACAAGTAAGGTCAATTGAAATGGCGCATCGACCACGGCAGTCGTGCATCTGAGTGGAACTCGTTTAACTCCTTGAATCTTTCCCGTCCTCAGTGGCTCCAGTTGACCATGTACGCCTAGACGTCTTCCTCCAGGTGAGCTCCACACGAGGACCAGACCTTCCAGCCGTTACCTCAATATTCAGTGTGCCCGATTGTCGTTGGCTCTCATCAACTTCTCCTCTGGCCTGCCCCCCCCCCCCCCCCACCTCACACCCCTCAGCTCTGCTCTTTATACTCCCCAACGCTCCATTTCATCTTTCCTTCAGTCCCCTGTATCTCGGCATTTCTCTCTGCTCTCGTCCTTCCATCGAAACATCAGTCTCTCCTTTCAGCCGTTAGCCTTTTTAAAATTTAACACTTGTTCCGTACTTCTCTCAGGCATCAAACACACACAACCTCTTTTTTTGTTACAATACCTCACAGAGCTCCTTCTACATGACCCCCCCCCCCACGTTATCTTCTTCAGTGAATAAACTCGTGAATCACTCCTCCAGCGTTAGATATTTCTGACGCTACGAGAGTTTCTTTACATCCCGCTGCTTCCCCATCCTGTTTTTTGATCACTTATTTTTGGGAAGTAAACCATGCCGGTGGACTTCATGACGTCACATTGACGGAGCTGGATACGGGTCCTCTAGCGCTGCCTGGTGGACGAATTCAGGCGTCTTTTGTTCGTCTCAGCTCCAGCCGACAGGAACCTCCCCCACTCCCCCACTCCCAACACACACCTGTCCACTCTTTCCCTTCATGTCGATGGATGAGATTAAAGAACAAAACTGTGGAGCTGACGAGTTTTTGTTAAAGGGTCAAATCTGGATTTGACAGAATATCGGTTGGACTGCAGCATTTATTGTGATTTTTTTCTCTTCCTTTTAAGGCTTTGGTCAAATGAGTGTACTGAGTTTTTAACCAAATAAATGTGTAGTTGCTGGTTTGACTGCGTCCCCAGTAGACTTGAAGTGGAGTTGTGGTATTTACTACTTTTAAAATCTAAAAGAAAACCCGACACAGTTGTTTTATGATGTTGCACCATTTTATTTTTGTTATTAACATGTCTAAGATTGCACTTGCTTAAAAAATATCTCTTCACAACAACTTGAAGAAACTCAGGGCTGCCAGGTAAGAGACGGACTGCCCGGGAGAAACGAAAGTGAGTTTGGAAGATGTGAGAAACGTCGGGTCAACACAGCTGGAAACGAACCCATCCAGATGTGACCCTGTGTTGCCGACTTGTCTGTTTTTAGGGGGTGAAGTATGGCATGGGAGATGAATCCTAATCCTTCCCTTCAAGCTCCTCCATCTACACCACCTCCAGACATCCTTCGCCTCCACACTTCATGAGAAAACCATCTCCAACGCTCCGATTCTAAAATAAATTAACTCTAAGAAGCAAACAGTCCGTCACACTAAGGACAAACCCACACAGAATAAAGGGGACACACACACCTTAGCACCCCCACGTCTATGCTCCGATTCCACTGCAAATGTTCAACCCTCGATGCCTTAATATCACTGAGCAACGTCAAAAATAGAAATGTTAAAATTGAACTGCTAAAAAAAAATAAAAGCTGTTTTCTGAAAAATGTTTTTGTGTCACTTCAATAGAACTCCAACACAAATGATCGGACTGAAGTGTAACTGATCTGCCGTTAACAAGGTTAATGTGAGCGCGCGACGTCAACTTAAAAGAACAATAACAGGCTGCTCCACATCACAACTGCACTACAACAATACAAACATCTGAGCCCATGCCATATCGTAGCCAACCGAGCCGGAGAAACGCCACCGGGTTTCTGCAGGAAAGCACGACAGTTCCCTCGGATACCGGCAACGCTGAAGTTTCTTCAATAAATAAAAGTCAAGTCAAGTTTCTTTTCTTACTTTGGTCGGTGCAAAAAGAAACTGCAGTGGTCAGAGAGAGGCGTGTTTTTGTACACCGTAAAAAAAACTAACGGCACCGCCAACCCTCCTCTCGCCATAGTGTTATTGGTTGGATTCCAACACCGAACATAAAGGATGGAGTCGTCCAACGCCACTCGTCTGCTTCGACGGGAGCGACGTCCAGTGGGTCCCAAAGACATCCGCCCCCCCAATATGGGAGGTTAAACAAAGCAGGGGCACTTCAAGGCTCCAGTTGCGTCTCCTCCTCGGCATGTTTCTGCATGTGCACCAGCATCTCCTGCATCGAAGAAACACCCTCTGAATTAAGGCCTCGGACCAAAACACCCTCCTCCAAAAAGGTGCTCTTTTGGTTTTTAAATACCTGCTTAGAGCGGTTGCGCGGACAGAAAAACTCCTCACAGTTTTTCCAGCGGCATTTGAGCAGCTGGGAGTTTGCGCCGGCGTGCTGGCCGACCACGTGGTGCTGCAGGTGCTCCATCATCCCGAACACCAGCGAGCAGCCGAGCCACTGTCAACACAAGGCGAGTCACTTTCATTATATTTCTTTAAATACAAACAGGATGACACTACTTTGTTGTCATCAAAATAGGTTGTACTATGTAAACAGCCGCTTCGTAGATCCCGGACTATGACATCATCTGACTATCATCATCCCCGGCCCTCCGCTCACCCGGCAGCGGTAGTTCTGCATCAGGTTCAGCTTGACTGCCTGCACGCTGCCGTCATAGCAACCGCTGTAGATCTAAAATAAAAACATAAAACACGATTTAGAAAAACATTTATACATTCAGTTGTTGCACTTTATAACAATTTGTTATATATAACAATTTGTTATATATAACAATTTGTTATAAAGTGCAACAACACGTGGTTTCATGCCGTTAAAACTGACGACGTCCTTTCATATTTCCTTGTGTAATCTCACATTCTTCCAAGCACGCAGCTCTGGGACAAGTAGGTGTCTCACCATGTTCTTGTGAACAGCCATACACATCACCATGTCCTTGTGTCCACCGTAGACCTGCAGCTGGCTGTGAGACTGCGGAGACAACGACAGGCTCAGATCTGATCCTCATGATTACAGTATAAACTGATCCTACGAGCGAGACGCAGATGATTCGGACCTGGAGGTCGAACACGCGGACCAGTTTGTCCAGACAAGCCGTGACCATCACCTTCCCCAGGATGGACACCACCGTGACGGCGTGACTGTGGCCCTTGTAGACGCGCACCAGCTCTCCGGTCTGCATAGAACGTCGTATTAACTCGTGGCTCTGACGTTGAAATCACAAACGTGTAACAGATGAGACGAAAGGGAGCGACTCACGTGGATGTTGTGTGCGTACACACATTGGTCACTGGAGCCGCTGAACACCAGGTCGTTGGCCACCTGAGAGAAAGAAAGAGACATTAAACTCTAAAAGAAGGGGAGGTGATCATTCAATTAGTATCACAGATAATGTAATGTACACTTATTTTGAATTAAAGGATGGATACAAGGCAGCAAAACTCTCACTGACATAAACTTTTAAATATTTAAACACAACACACACACTGTGTTCCGCAGCCCTCGCGGGTCTTCAGTGAGAGGAGGGGGGGGGTTACCTTCATGCACAGCACCGTCTTGGTGTGGCCCTGCAGCGTGCGCAGCAGCAGGCCGCTCTTGGCGTCCCTCACGCTGATGGTGCTGTCGTAGGAGCCGACCAGCAGGATCTTGCGCGCCCCCTCCTGCGACGAGGCCAGACAGCTCACGGCTCGCGGGCCGTGGCAATCGAACACTTCCGCCTCCTTGTTGGTCTGAACAAAGGAGGACGACATAAAAATCGGAGCTAAATAACGGTTTTCTGCTCATTAGATGCAGATACAACAAATACTTCAGCAGAGAATTAACGGCTGAAGTGAGAATTGAGACATGGGCATAAGACAAAGTAAAGCAGCATGCACTGCATGCCTCACCTTGAGGTTAAAGGTCACCACCATGCCGTTGGCCAGTCCAGCGTACAAGATCTTCCATCGGCTGTGGAGGCAGAGGACTCGGTCCGACAGAGTGAACTGCTGCTCCAGTTCTTGTGTCTGTGGACGTGAAACAAAAATATATATCTCCTTAAAAAGAAGTACGCAAACGACTGACAAACACAACATGACAACAGTTATCAAAGGGATTGGACCTTGAGATTGTAGCAGCGGATGGTCTGGTCGCTGGAACCGGAGTAGAGGCGGTGATGCAGGCTGACGGCCGCGGACACCAGCAGGCAGCTCACCTTGGAGCTGTGGCCCTCGAACACGCCGACGCATTTGTGACTCTGCGACGGCAAGGACACACGAGGCGGTTTGAGGTATTTGCATTCACGGATACAACCCTGACCCTTGACCCCCCCCCCACCCTCCCTGACCACACCCACCACCAGGTCGAAGGCTTTGATGGTGCGGTCTCCGGAGCACGTGTACAGCAGCCCGTTGTGGACCTGCATGGCGTTCACCGCCTCCTGGTGGCCCTCGAACACGCCCTCAGTGAGCATATCGTCCACGCCGTGGTCAGAGGACGCGTCTGAAGCGCACGCACGCACACACACACACACACACACACACAAGCATGAAGATGAAGAGCACGTTATACTTTTTATCTTCACTGTTGATTTATCTAGTCGTCATTTTGCTCTTCATAGCAGAGTCAACGGAAATCCTCTATTACATTAAATTTAACAGTGCCGGTTTGGATGTTTTTCTCTGGATAAGCATTTGAATGAGGGGGTGCGGGTGTGCGGGGGGGTCAGCATCAGTGTGCCTCGGCATAAATAAGCACATCATCAGAAGCTTCCTTACAGTCACTGAAAGTCAAACAACACCTCTAGGAATATCTTTGCCCATAAAAAGTAATTTGGGCTCCCAGAGTCTTTTTTTAAACCTGCTCAGATGGTTTCTACTTCAGGCTGGTCGGGGAGGAGGGGAGGGGGGGGGGTTGGTTGTGTATATTCAGCAGGAGTAATGGTGTGACTCCTGCCTCCCTCTCTGTTACTGCTGTGTTTCCTCTCGGTCTCCATTCAGAGTACAACCCAAATCTCGCAGCATGAACTACTTACCCGACGAGATCTTTGACATCTTGGGCAGGTCGCTGTTTGGAGAGAAGAGGCAATGATGAGTGTTTTTAATCCTAAACTATTCTGATATCTCTTCATCCTGGAAAAGTACATCATATATGAGGCTTGGTCTTTCCGTCGATAAAGTGTTACTTTTGTGCTACTTTACAGGAGAAGAGAGTAAGAGGAGCTTGAGTTCCAGCGGGGAAGAAGCAGCCTCACCTCTCGGAGGAGCGGCACACCTCCATGTCACTGGTGGAGGTGACCTCGTTGCAGGCCAGGCTCCGCGGCTCCGGCGTGGAGGAGTCTGGGACTTGAACCGGGGCGGGGGTTGGAACCAGGGCGTCCGCGGCGGGCTGCTCGCAGGCGGCGGTGACCTGCATGCTTTCTTCTGAATCCAGGTACGGCGCGAGTTGAGCGGCGGCCCCCCGGGGACGGGAGTCGAACCTGTCGACTCTCTTGAGTTTGACGGACATAAAGAGCTGCCTGCAGGCCTCCTCAGGCAGCCCCGGCGCCGCGTCGCCCTCTCGGCCTTCTGAAGGCGGGCTGGAGGTGCTGACCACGGAGCTCCCGCTCGGCCTCCTGCGCGGCCGGAGCCACCTCGGCCTCGAGGCGTCGCCGTCCACCTCCGTGTCGCTGCTCTCGGGCTGCTCCGCGCCCAGGGCCTTCTTCAGCACCTTCCTCTTCTTCAGCTTCCTGACGCGCTTTCCGCCCCTCAGTTCGGACGGAGAGGCGGGCGGGTTGAGGGCCGAGTGAGGCGCAAAGGCCTGCGTGGCTGCACAGTCAACAACAGAGCTCGCCTCAGAGCTCCTCCTGCTGGCCGGGGGAAGGTTGAAAGGGGTTTTGGAGGTGACTTTTTCTGTCGCCTTTACCAGATCCGATAAGCTCTCTTTGCAGTCTGCAGGGTCTTTGAAGTTCTCCCATATTTGGTCTGTGTACGTCTGCTTTGTTTCAAGTGATGGATGAAAGTTGGGGGCGGGATCTGCAAGTTTCAGAAGCACACGGATCAAAACATTGTTGATTTAATAGACATGAGTATATATGGAGAAATGTTCTTTTTTTTCCCTCGAGTTACCCAACTGCTCTATACTAAAATGGCGCTCATGAAAAACTGCAAAACACGTCTTTGATCGCTAATGTGCCGAGTGCATCCCCTCCGTCACTTAGGATCAGGACCTGCGTTGTTGCATGACAACACGTGAGAAGCGCTGCACGACGTTACCTGGTGGAGAGGCTGCAGGGCGACCGCGGAGCAGCTCTGGAGTGGTGCTGTGAGCACTGTGGGTCTTATTGTCCACGGGGTCCGGCTCGGAGCCCGCGTGGACAGGAGACTGAGGCTCCTGCTTGATGACTAAAGGCAAGAAGGGGAGGATGGAGAAGGGAGGGGAGGGAGGGGAGGGAGGGGAGGCGGGCTCGGCGGGAGGCCTCCGACTGGGTACGGCGGGCGTGTGGGAGGGCGTGTCGGCGGGCGTGTCGGCGGGCGCGTCGGCGGCCGTGTCAGCGGGCGCGTCGGCGGGCGTGTGAGCGACGGAGGAGAGCGGCACGGAGGACGGCGCAGGAGGTTCAGCTTCTGGTGACTCCATCTCTTCTTCTTTCACTTTGAGCCGAGGGGCTTCCTCCATGTTACCTGGGAAGTAACACGCAGTTAAAAGTTAATTTCTCGGTGTATTTCAGCCTCAGTTTGTTCCCACTAGCAGGAAAAGTTACCGTTTAATAAAATCAGATTTCATGTATTCTATGGTTCTTGCCTTGCATTCCTTTGAGTAACTCAATGCGCTTGTCTCTCAGTGTGCTCATCTCTGTGGTCATCTGGGTGGGACAGAATCACACAATCAAAAAGTAGTTCTTCTTTAACACTACACGCTGATTACCGACATAAAGGAATGAATGCGAACAAACCTATTGACCAAAAGGTGAAGGATTGCTATTGATTTATTGGTATTGGTTTTTACCTGCTGTTTGACCACCATGAGACGCTGCACCTCCATGTAGGCGGCCTCCAGGGCGGCCCGCGCCTGGATCAGGCTGCCGTCCACCGTCTGCAGGCAGCGGCTCAGCTCGTCCTCCCGCAGAGACACCGTCAGCAGCTGGTCGATCTGTAAACGCTCTGCAACAACACGTGCTTCTTTACCGTCAAGATCCAAATGAATCCTCAAAGAACAGCTGAGACAATATGGAGACAACAGAACAACAGGTGCATACCTTTTTTGGATTTGACTTTCCTTCTTTTGTTACTGTGGTTCAAGCAAGATGCTTCCGCACTTGGGGTTTCCTACATGGGAGAAGGAAGTCACATTCAGACGGTTTGTGCTGAAGTAGACACAAATAAAAAAAGTCACAGATATTTAAAAGAAATTGCATTAAACAGCATTAAGGCTGTCGGACAATAAAAACACGTGCTTCATTTACCCACAATGCAACATGACTAGCGGATGTTTGGTGAGATGTTCAGATGTTACACCACATCTTGAGGACATTTACACCTTTTCCTACACTGGTAGGCGTACTCGTCGAGACCCCTCTACCCGCTGGTTCCCATTCAGCGCCGTTTCCTCTGCTCACCTTAGCTGCTCTTCTCCTCTTTCCTGTTCCCTGGCCTTCGCACAGCTCCGTCCCAGAGCTGCTGTCCCCGAGCACCGAGTCGGACCCCCGGAGGGCCCTCGCCGTCGCAGACATCAGCTTGTCCGGCTGCTTCTGTGCTTCAGCCCCCGACTGGTCGAGCGTCCGCTCCACCTCGCGCCTGGTGTCTTTGTTCCCTGGAGCCAACGCGGTGTCGGGAGGAACGGATCGCTGCTTCTCTGAGCTGAGGGCTTCTCTCTGCTCCTCCTGGGCCATGAGGGATGTAAACAGGGAGTGGCTGGAGGCCGGGGTGATGCTGCTCTCCGATAAGGAGCGTTTTCGGGAGGTGGGCGTGGCCACCAGCGACTCCCACTCGAAACCCTCAAGCAGGGGAATGTGGCATCCGTCCTGGCTCTGGTCCTCCTGGTCCATCGGGACCATCTCGATGCCAAACCTGGAGGACACAGTGGACATGATGTGAGTAACTGAAAACAAAAGTATTTCAAAAGAATTGCACTAGAGATGTAAAAATCAAACATTCACCTCGGCATGCCTTTGCCCTTGTCCTGCTTCTTCCTGACCTCCTGGTACACCTGGTCCCAGTTCACGTTGCGTCGAGACCCGGAGGCGCTGAGGAGCTGCCGCACGGTCGGCTTGAGCCCGGAGTCCTTCTCCGTGTCGCTCCTCCGCGACTCGCTCAGGTTCCTCACCCGCCTGGCGATGTTCAGGTTGGGCTCGTGGGACCCGGCTTTGCTCTTGCAGCCGATGTGTTTGGTCAGGTCGCGTTTCAGGACGGGAGGCAGGTCGAGTCTCGGCTCCTCCGCTGCTTCTCTGCTGTCCGTCTGAGCTTCTCCGCTCCTGGAGGCGTCGCTCTCCGAGCTCGGTCCGCCGCCGGCCGGCGAGGCTTCATCCGTTTCCATCTCCGCCCTCCTCCTCCTCCTTTCCTCCTCCGCCTCCTCTCCACCATCCCGGCTGGACGATGCAGGCTCCGAACTCTCCATGGTAGAGGTGCTGACTTGCAGCGATTGGAGGAACTGGCTGCTGTCTGAAGACTGCAATGCGGGCTTCTCGGGCCTGACCAAGTCTGGCAGACTCGGCTTAGCTGCATTCTGCCTGTTTGATTTGTTCGCTCCTGTCGGACTCTGCTGGTCCTCCGCAATGTGCAGCGTCACTTCTGTCCTGTGGTTTCGAGCCCTGTTTTCGGACACGGTCTTTTTGGCTTTCTTCAGCGTTTCCGGGAGCTGCCGCTCTGGCCTGGACTGAAGGGGCCCCGCGAGCGGAGCCCGAGAGCCGCTCGGCTCGGCCGGCGGGTTTGATTGTGCGCTGGCGACGCTCGAGGCCTTGCTCGTCTGTGCTACGCTGTCGAGCGAAGGAAGTGAGGGCGCCTTCTTATCTTTACGCGGCGCTGGTTGCTTTGCCTTCTGACTGGAAGGACCAGATGTGCCGTTCTGGTTGCCATCTTTCTGAGCACTACTGCCGCTGCTGTTGCTGCTGCTGCTATCCCTGGATTTGGTTTTAGGGTTTGTTTTCTTTTTTCCTTTCTCTTCCGCTTGTCCACTCGAGGAGAACTGCTCCAGTTTCTGTTCGGGTCGGGATTGTCTGTTAACGGCGCTGGTTTCCAGGGCCTTGTCTTGAGTCTGGGGCTTGGGGACTTTGGCGTACTGCTCTGATGAGTTTGGGTTTGTGTCCTTTTGGAGTGCGGATTCAAAGCCCTTTGGGACCGGATAGGGTGACCAGCGACAGGCTTTATCCAGCTTTGGATTGCTACCAAATGTCTTGGAGCTCTTAGTGTTGCTGTGGTCCGGTTCCTCCGTTTGGCCCCGACCATTCAGAGACTCGTCTCCCTGCTGATTGCCGGTCTTTGGCAAAAACTGGTCAGCCTGGGCCAAGAAATTGGGCGGCGCTGCAGTCGCGGTAAATGGCCCGAGAAAGTTGAGATGACGGCTCCTCTGTGGGCTCTGGGAAATGTTGTTTCGACCGTAGACACCGTTGCTGCTGCCTCCGTTACTGAGCCACGGCAGCCGGCTGCGCTGGTTCCCAAAAACTGAACCCTGATCGCACTGCTTTTTGCGAAAATCTTCTTGGCAAGGCGAGCTCGCACCAGCAAACTCTGTCGGGGCCCACCTCTGAAAGTTGGGGGGCTCCCGGGCGTGCCAGGTGGCGCTCTTCCGCTGCGTGCCGTGCTGCCAGGATGGTGCGGCCCCCGCGTAGCCATTGTATTGGTTGCCGCCGTACCAGGTTCTGTGACCGGATCCGCTGAAGCCCTGTGACTGCTGCTTCCAGGCCCGCTCCAGTCGGTAGCGCTCCTTAGTTTCTTTGAGCCGCTGCTGAAACTCCTCCTTTCTCCTTCGGTCTTCTTCTTCTTTTGCCAGTTTTGCAGCGGCGGCATTTTTTTCTTTTCTAAAAAAACACAAAGACAGATTTCAATGTGTATTTACATCTTTCATTGCATTTTTTCTTGTTTTCACGTCCATAACTTTAGTTTCCAGCCACAACATGGACAGAAAAAATGAGTTTAACTTTTCTTCTCCTGCCGGTAAGTAGCACGAAATTCAAGACCCCTGTTGCATTTCAGACACCCGAATCTGTTGAACAATCTGTGGCAACCGCGTCCCGTGGCCTGCTGCTGTCAGGTGTGACGGCTCACAGTGTGAGTCCCCGCACTCACCAGCAGAGCTGACGGCTGATTGCCGCCTTTATCAGTTTCAACGCAGAACCACATCGGCACAAAGGCATCCAGAGAGTTCTGCTAAGTGTTCTATAGAGGCATTGAGGTCAATTACACCACGATTGTGAGTTTTCGAGCCCTGAAACCACAAAGGAACAAATGGAAATGTAATTGATTCCATTTCAGAGCAGCACGTGTTTTTAGTTGGGTTTTACCATTTGAAGAAGTGCGCTCATGCTTTTATTTTAAGCTGCAGTTCTGACATACGACTCCAGCAGCAGCTCAGCGCCGAGCTCCAGCTAAAGAAGGCCTGTGAGCTCCACTGAGCCCCGATGTGACTATACATGGCGCATGTACACAAACCACAAACACGTGAGCCGTCACTCACGTGTGCGGTAACCGCATTAAAAGCATTATTGAATTTCTCACAGCCACAAACAAACTATTTCATTAACAGTTCACTAAAAGCACTGAACAGAACATTCATCAATACACGTATAAATCACTTTTCACAGGTCTTACCTGATCTGTTCTTTCCTCTTCCCGATCAGGTCCACCAAAGCCTGGTCGAAGTACGTTTCGTCGTTCCCGGGATGCATTTTCTCGGCGGCCTCCACGTTCTGCTTGTGCGCGGCACTGGAAATGTGGCTGGCATAGTCGGTCAGGCTCACCACCGTTAACTTGCACACTCTGCACCCGTGTCCGCAGTCCCTGGGGAGGGAAGGCGAGAGCGGGCGTTCAATCGTACCTTCGGGCATTGTTCTGATCTGCTCTTTGTTCTGTTACTTGTGAGTCAAAATAAAATCAGGAGAGGAGAATACTCAACAATCCTTAAAAAAGATAAACTTGTCCGAATTCTCTATCTGTCACGGATCAGGAGGTAGCTAACTTGTAATTTTCTCTTGTTCAAAAAAATCTTCCTGATCTTCTTTTTGCCTTTCTTCAGCAGGCCAGAGCGAGGGTGGGAGGAGCAGCCGGGCTGGACCGGGCGGCGTGGAAGGGAGGCACAGCGCCCTCAGCCTACTGCTCTTTCATGATGGTGTCCGCTGCGCTCTGAGACCCTGGAGGAGGCGATGTCTGTATTCGATCCTCACACTCCTCCTTGACAGCCGAGACCACCCCCCCGCCTCCTCCTCCTCCCACACAGGCATGTGTTATTAGAACACGCCTGAGCATCCCGCTGACCAATGCCGAGCAAAGCCTGCGTAACTGGAGCCTCGTGCAGCTGCTCATATAACGTCCGCTTCAGATCCTCTCCCAGAATGCCCCCCGTGACTCCGACAGCGACTCTGCTGGCTCCTTCTCAATTCGCTTTTTCAGATCTGTGTCATGGCAGGATGCCATTTTTTGACCTCTTGTACAGTTGGCAAAGTCCCATTCAGTGAGATAGTGTTTATTTCACAAGGTCTGCCTCAGCTGCAGTGCTGGGGGAGATGCAACCCGACAGGATGAATTCCCCGACTGGAATTGCAGTTTGTAAGTCGGCATCGAGCTCGCTGTGGCTGAAGTTAAGCCTCAGCGATCCCAGTCCTGCACCGACAGGTCTCTCAATCGCCATGAACTCTCGTTAGACTACACCTTCTCTTTCATAACTATCTGTACCTGCTGCATGCTTTTTGAATCATTCCCTTTCCTTCAAATTTACCTGGCAATCACGTTTAACAAAGTGCCCTCTTTGCACATCGATGTTTGTTTGAGATACCCGTAACTTAGCAACGACTCCGTCCCTCGATCAAGTATTTGCTCCGATGCCTCAAAGCGACGGGCCACATGCTTTTACTAATCTACACGAGGGTCACAAGACAGCCAGATGCCTTCTATCGGTCACGCCTGTTGTTCCGGAGAGATTGTGTCTAAATATATTTTCCACGGTTGAGACAGCTGCCCGCGTATCCACTCACCGGATAACTGTGATCGACACGTGCATGTGTGCACACGAGCCTCATGACCCAAATACATTTGTACAGAACTCTTCCATCAGTTGCCATTGACATGACAAACATGTTTAATAATTAGGTTATTGAATAAGATGCAATCATTATAGTAAACCTTCTCCTGAAAGTTTGAGTTGTGATCTGTAACTACATGATATCTGTGCATGTTGTTTATTTTTGGGAAAACAACTCACCGGCCTTTGAGCTTCTCCAGCTCACGGTGGTGCAGCATGCTTCTCATGTGCTCATCCATCTCCTGCAGATTGGAAAAATATTTGGAAAAGTCTTAATTCAGCCATTTATTGGATTTGGTGACAGACATATTTTCAGATTTTTCAAAATAAACTGACGGATGAAATATTCCTTTACAGGAAAATTGGATTGAGCAAAAAAAAAACATTGAAAGACCAAATTAGCTGAAAACGTAGTATTTATCACAAGATAAAAACAAGACTTGTTGTCTTCGGACTCATTTGTGCAAAATACATTTCAAATGGTATAATGAACCTGCTTTAAAGTACATGAACACAAACAGTCCCAACAAGATGTATGCAGAATAATGCTGAATTACTATTTGTTAAACTCCTTCATAAAAAACGTGTAAAAGTGCATTTACACATTCAAAGTGAATATCTGGGTGTGAGGGGAATTACCTGCTTGGTGGAGTAAACTGTTTCACAGAGGATGCATTCTCTGTTTCTCGCCATCTTAAACACAAGAAGAAATAAGTGAATTGTTAGTGTCAATGCAGTGAATTGAATAAAAAGGTCATCAAAGCTCTTGTAGGGACAAAGCAACAAACCACCCTGAATTATGATGTGGTGAGTGTGGCTTGACCGTAGTTGGATATTGTGAGCATTCAGCGATCCGCAACAACCCGGACGCATCAAAGGGAGCTCAGGGCCCAACTTCCCTGCACAGCCGCACCAAAGTATTCAACGGCGTGCCTCGGACCCACAGTCCAAATGTCAGCGCGGCGTTCAACCTGGACGCCGGTCTAATTGCAGCCTGCTGACAGAGCAGCTCTGTGGCCCGGCGGCACCGTCGATGACGCGTCTGAACTTGTTGAATGTTCACCAACAGGGATAGAAACTAACGCCACCCACGGGTCAGAGGCTGGCGACGACACGCCGGTGTCTTTTTAACCTTCCCCTCGTAAGAAGAAGCAACTGACCACGTAGACTGTGGGATGAATATGTTGCCTTTACAACCACTTCAGTACCATATAAAACAAAAACAACAAAGAAAACATCCCGCCGTTGCTATTGTTGAGGTTTTGGGCTGTAAAATACTAAGCTAGAAAATACACATTGAGAGTAGTCAGCAGATTGGGGAATTTATAAAACATTTCATGAGGGAGAATCTCTGCACAGTGAAAGTGGCTCCATTGGTTTATTCAACTAGTAACGGCTACACAGATGTTTTTACAATTTACGAGAGTTTAAGAAAATGATGATTTAATTATGCCTTTTCCGTATTGAAATTATTCGGTTGGCAAAACAAATATATAATATGTATCCCAGAAGACTCTCATCAGCCTGCTCTGATGGAGATGGTTGGAAGTACAAATCCAGATCGTATTTGCTATTGCAAGGGGGGAAAAACTATAACTCAAAAAAGCAAATTGAACCAAATAATGTACAATTAATCCTGGATTTTGTCTGTCTTTGACCTATGCAAACATATTATGCATTAGAAATACTACTTACTTCTACACGGAACTTTCTCCTTACGTTTATTATAGAGTGCCTACTGTCTGCAAGGTCCCACAATCCTCCATTAGTAAGACCTATATTCTGTCTGCATTATGACATGTCTCTCAATACGTCCATCACAAGTCCTCTGCACTCTCCAAAGCACCAGAGAGCAGATATTAATAAAACCAGTGTGATATTTCCTCTCAGTCACTGACTTGCTGCAGGACAGTGAGACACCAAATGAATCAGATGCACCTGAGGTTTGCGAACATACACAGTGAGAGGAAGATGTTTCATGGGGGAATCTTTCACCACAGAGCCTTTTCTTTTGCAGACAGCGTGCAAAGGCTTCCACCGAAAAGGTTGTAAGGTTGAAAGGCTCTAAACCAGCTAGTTAGCAAATGCAAACAGTTAAACCAAGTCTGCCCGAACCAGTTCAACAACAATGGATTGATCAAAACTAGCTGCGGGCTAACTTTGTGAAGAGGTTTATCATCTGAAGTTTACGTCACACGACTGCGGTTAAAACGCAACCACAGATAACTGATACCTTGCGGTTGTGTAACGGTTTAAAAAAAGAAACGTTTGCGACTAACTTCAGCTAGCGAGCTAACGGTTGATTTGTTGTTAGCCTAACTTAGCTGTAGCTAGCCGTTACCAAGAGTTCAGATAGTCGTGTGTCCTTATACAACCCGTCGAAAGGCGAACGACACGCAGCATCCGTTCTACTGGTGTATTGTAAAAAAAAAAAAATGAAACGTAAGAATGAAGTAAGATAGTTAGCAAGTTAGCAACAGCATGCTAGCCAGCGAAAGACGTTAGTCCTTGGTTAGCGACACGTAACGTAAACTGACTAACGTTACATTGTAAAAGTGTGACGAAGTACAGCTGCGATACATTGTGTTTATACATCGTAAATTCTGAAACGTTGCTGTTGACTACCTTTATAACGCCAAAATGTGTGTGGGGCTACTTCATGTTCTCATCCACCGGTGAAGCTAAAAACAACTCCTTCCTGCTCGCCCCCAAACTACAACCCGTGAGGCGTTCAAGAACAACTCTGTTAAGAAACGCCGGAAACCGTTATTGGTGTTGTGGAAAAGCTTCGTAGCGCAGGTTTGAGTTTTTTCACAGGTAACTCTGTTCACCAGAAAGTATTACGGCTCAGAGCCGTTTTAGTTTGGGCTCACTTGCAAGAAAGACGTCCCCAACATTTAATAACGTTACTGCTATTCCGTGGCGGAAGAAGTCGCGTTGCGTTCAAGGACATTTATAACTTACAACTCCCAAACGTTCCAAGAGCAGGACGACAGAGTTGATTGATGATGACAGTAAAAAACACGTTTATTCACGCTGAGAATTGTAGATCGCGGAGAGCCCACATTATTTTATTAACTATACTTTGACAAATTGGGAAGCTTCAAGCAACATGTGCGTTCTTCAAAAATCCAGTTATAGGGTTGTTATTCACCACAAACTTCAGACATAAATATTACATTATATTTTCCAAAATTCCACCATATTGTGTGCAAGATAGAATCTTAAAAAAAGCACAATCAAGACGTTAATTAAAGTAAACGAAAATAAATAGATTTCTTCTATTCTTACCTATATGACTTTGAAATCCAGCAACATTTCCACCAAAGCTCCCATATTTGGGAGTTGACTCATCTCACCCGCTGATCTGACAACCAACACAACCAAGTAGGGTGCTGATGACTTCAAGGTCCTTTGTCCTTCCTGATAAGCTTAGACCAACCCTTACCTTTTGTTTAACTGTTATCTCCTGAAACCCTGTATACAATCATGGCCGAAAGTCACTGCGGTCAGAGAGAATTCTGCAGCCTTGTTGTGAACTAAAGTCTTTCTTCAACAATAGCATGGCTTTTTGTGCGTCTTCCACAATAACCATTTCTATTGAGACGTGGTTACAAAATACTTTCACATAATGTGTCTTTTTTACAAAAGAAACCATTGTGGGGTTCAGAGTGCTCTTTATGTGGCACCGCATCAGTCGTGTAGCGAGGTGGCTCAGGCCGATGGCGGTCAGGGTGACCCTCCCCTCCTCAGCAGCTCACGCAGGAATGGTAGTTGGGGATTATGACCTTGATGGCTTTGAATGCGTCCTTTCCTCCACGCTGCTCCAAAATCTGCAGAGTCTCCTCCACCAGCTCACCGAGCGACGGTTTCTTCGGGCCGTAGACGGTGGCGTGGGGGGTGTCTGGTGTCCCGAGGAAACAGAGTCAGGCACACAGCATGAGAAAAACAAATACTAAGATACCGTAAGCCTATCAAAGAGACAAAAGATCCGTGGATGTTGATTAGGAGGCCAAAGCGCAGTGTTTTCTCCTGTCAAACCCTCAGTTTGAATGACTGATTCTCACACGGCCCTCAGCCACGTGGAACTCACATGTCTTGCACCGGAACTCGCAGAAAACCCGCAGGAAGTGTTTGAAGTGCGGCACCAGGGCCTCTCCCACTCCGTCGGCCGACTTCACCAGGTGCTGCAGGACCTTCATGGTGGAGCACATCACGTCGTTGTTCCTCGTGTCCAAGGCTTCTGCAGAGCAGGACAGAGGGCCACGGTCGGTCAGAAGACCAGGGCCACCGGGTGCAACTGTCAGTGAGAGTAGACCCCCCCCCCGCACCCCTCGGCCAGACCTACTCCTAATGGGGGCGATCAGCTGGGGGACGACGGGCAGGATCTTGGGACCCCCGTGGTCCAACATTTCGTGGATTCCTTGGACAGCGATGAAGTTGTACGGCGAGAGGCTTTCGGCGAGGCCATCGAAAAACAGAGGCAGGAAGTGGTGGTAGTCCAGCACGTCTAACGCCACCTGAGGGTCAGAGGGGATTATTTATATCACACGCATCACCAGCGGCTTCTTTTATCCAGAGAGACATGCAAAGACAGAGGAGGGGAAGGGTTCCTCTCCTGTGAATGTCAAGGACATTTGTGGGAACATCTGGCATCTAGCCCTGGCTTTCAGCTCACCATTCATATGTTTATTTACCAAAGTCTCTTTCTTTTTTCTTAGTTTCCTCTAAAATCTCCGCAGGGCAACAGCCCACTTAGACCTGCGCTTACGTGAGATACATGAAATACCATTATCGCCTTCAGCTTAGCTGGTGATGATGACGACGAATGGTGTTCGCACTTCACCTATCGCCTTTTTTTTTATTTCCCCCAAAAGCGAGTCGCCGATGTGCATCCATCTAAAAAGGGGGCAGCCGTCCGATACCTTCCAGCGCACGCTCCTCCGTCTCCCCCGACTGTCATTTTGAATCGGCATGTCCCCGCGCTCGTAAAACCTTCGGAAGACGGTTGGTCTACAGGGGCCTTCGCTGAAAACCGCTGCAGACGAGGGACACGCCGCCTGCTCAGACACAGAGGGGACAGCGAGGGGATATTCACCTTTATTCAAGGTATTGACCCTTTAAGAGGTATAGAGAGCGACGCTAGGCTTTGTGCGTGTTTTAATCATCACCACAAGATGTTTCGCTATGTTTAAAAATCTTCAACAACTTCTTTCCGTAAAGCACAAAGACATTTGTAAGACGTTGGCACTCGGGTGACACTTTTTGATGTTTTTACAGCAAGTTTGGTCTCTCGATTGTTCCGGAATCCCCCTTCATACTTCAGGCTAACTATAAAGATTTTAAAAAACGGTGATAACTTGAAATAACTTAACTCACCATGGAGTTCTTCATGGCGGCCTTTGCTTCTGTTTTTGATTCCTTGTTTTCTCCGGACATGTCGGTGATCTCAAAATCACTAGCAAATCTAAACTTACATACTAACGTCAACTAAGTTACTTCAACCAAAATTAACAGCTGAATTAAACTTTTCCGAGTTTTCAAAACAAAAGAGTTGTTTTTTTTGTTGCAGCGGTTGCTAGGCAACTTCCAAGGACGCGTTTCAAAAGCAGCCGACCTGATGACCTCACCACCTCAGCTGGTCCTGCCTGTGAGTTTAATTAAATTAAAATTAGAATCGGTGTAGCAGAGTAAAGTTCAAAGGACAGATATCCCACAGGTCGATGTCACATAGAACTGAATGTGTGACCAGTGAAACCAGTGAACCCACTGGGCCCCACAGTGTTACCCGCCCACATGTCGCACATCGACTTGACACCAAGTTAATAACGATGTAATATATAAAAGACGGGGGGTGAAAAAGCGCTTATTGGACACCTACCACCTACTTATTCTTCCACTCGTGTCCTCGCTGAGCCAGAAGACGACGGACATTTAACGTGACGTAAAAAGTTGAGGTTTCCAACATTAAGACGCCCAAAACGTTATTGGTTAATGACAATGAAAACATAGTTTGTTTACGCTGACATGTATAGTTCAGAGAGAGTCCACACTATTTTATTACTTATAATTTGACGAATTGAGAAGCCACAAAATTCACACATAAACATTACATTCCATTTTTCAAAATGTCAACAACATTGCGTGGGGGATAAAATCTTGAAAAAACCCACCATTAAGATGAATTCATCCACAACAATTAAAATAGACTCAAATAAAAAAAAAAACATTGTTAGTTTTGCACTTGCAGCAGACAAACATTAAAGCATCATTAAAAAGCTCTCAAACCCTCGAACATCTTTTGGTCCTCAGTTTTCAGCAGCAATTTACAGGCCTACAAAACATTTATGAAATAACGCTTGTTTTGAAATACAACAATTTACAGAATTTTGGTAAAACTGGCTCATTTTTAGGAAATGATTGACCCATCAGTAGTATTCAGCTAGAGCGTTCACCTGCATTGTTGACAACAAGGTTATTAAGTATTGTCCTAAAATGTGAAAATAAAAACCCAGTTGGATCATCTGGGATCTTGTGTTTTTCTGCAAAACGTCTCATTGGATTTGGTTCAGTTCCCGCGTTTTGTTCCTCAGATGCCTCTTTCGCATTTTTATTGTCCACTGAATCGTGAGTTTGGCAAAATTCGCCGCCTTGAAGAGAGCCATGAAGACGCCACACAGAATGGCGACAGAGTTCCAGGGATTTGCCGTGACGATCTAATTGGAAGAAGGCAAAGTCGTATCACCGACGTACGCAGACAGCTACAATGAGAATAAACACGTTCACGAGGACTCACCAGTCGGATTTCTTGCATGTACGGATCCCGCCATTCAAAGACGGCGAAGAAGAGCTGATTGGTTCTCTCCGATTCGGGCCTTTTGTCGTTGAACTTCACCACCGCCGTCTGGAAGACAAACCGGAGAGGATGAAACGGACGCCTCCAGAACCTCCGCGCGTGTTAGAACGAGTGAACTGGCAGTGACGTAAAACACCTCTTGCCGAAACTCCACGGCTTCGTTGTTCTTCCCGGACGTCCTCACCAAAGACATCTTGACCCAGGTCCTGAACCCGCCGGAGAAAGTCCACATGGAGTAGTTCCTCTCGCAGTCCCTCATGAACTCCGACTTATTCGCACTAGAGAGTCGGAGAACACGAGCGTCACTGAGGAAAAACGTTTGCTATCAGGCTCTTCATTATTTTCCTCACGAAACAAACAGGAAAAACACAACACGACCGGTCAGTCATCGGCAGTTACCTGTCAATCAAGTCACTGAAATTAGCGAAAAGCATGTAAGTGATGGCGCTGAAGTCCTCTTCTGTTTCATTGTGGCTGAACTGCATGAAGATCACCTCTTTGTTTCTGACGTCTTGTTGGCCGCGGACCACCACGGCTCGTTTCTGTGGGAACCAGTGCGACAGTGAGGTTTCTTTTCATTGATCCCTTTGTCTGAACACAATGTGCAAAGAGGTCAGGTGACCGTGGGCATAGCTTATCACTAAAGTCATCATCGCCCACCATCCTTTGTTCGGCGAAGGGACCGACGTAAGTGACGTCCTCCATCACGCAGTCTCCTTCCTGAGGCGTCCCCGGGTCCACTAAAGGCGGGATGTAGTCGTGGTAGTGATGCCTGCAGCTCAGCAGACGAGCTTTGCCGGGATACAGAGCGATGCCTGCACGAAGGCACGCGCCTTTTATTAATGAGGTACTAAGATGCGAAGGCACCAGCGAGCTCTCAGACATCGTTGTCACACTTTGGACTCACGGGATTCTCGTTCTCGACTCAAACTTCCATTTTCCACCGGAAAACCTTCGAGAGGCCGGCTTTGGAATGATGGTTCGGACGGCAGCAAATAAGCTGCTTTGTGTCCGCTAATTACAAGAAACGCACCTCTTTTCAGTGTTTGTAATTTCTAATCCATCGCATTTACGAGATCAGAGTTATTACTTACATGATCATCATGTTTGAGCAAAGAATCCTCCGCTAAGTTGAATGAATATAAAAACGGCCACACACCATCGCAGCGATTTGACCTCCGCGTGCGTCGCCTCGTCGTACCTGGTGGCGAGAAGGAGTCGACCTCTTTGTAGGTGACGGACATGACGGGGTGGTTGAGTTTCTCCAGGAAGTCCGAGATGGTCTGGTAGGCCAGGAAGACGGCGACGCCGGTCAGCAGCAGGTAGATGAAGATGAGCACCACCGTGAAGAAGTTCCTCAGGCAGGTTTTGCTGAATCTCATCGGCGGGCCGCTCCCCCGGCTGTCGTCCGCTGTAACGAGAGGGACGTCAAACGCCGCTTTCTGAGGGGTCGAACTGGGAGACTGAAAGCCCGGTCGCGGAAGGTCGTCGTCACCTTGTGAGGTTCCCTTGCTGGACTCCTTGCTGGGCTCCTCGCTCTCGCGGTCTTCAGCGGCATCGTCGAAGAAGCCTCGAGGCGGCCTGTCCCCTTCCTCCTCCTCCTCCTCCTCCTCATCTTTATCAACAAACTGTGAAGTCGCACCAAAGAAAGAAAAGCTTAGTCGGTTACAGATAACAGAAGAGAAACGCACAGCGACACCGTATTACTGAGGGAGATAGTGTTCTCTCACTACTCATGAGTACTACACAGTACTTTATGTTTATGTTGTTTCCCTTAAATAAAATGACTTATATTTGTGACTCCGTATAAATACTCTGTTAATTCTACAAAGTAAATATTCCCCAATAAAAAAGTAAACAAAACAGCATTTACCACTGACACGTGGAGTATAAATATAAAGTAGCATTAAATGGAGCTACTAAAGTATAATACCACAAGATACTTTTAAAGTAAGTGTAGAAGTTAAGTCCAGTATCTGAGTACTTCCTCCAGCAGCAGTATAATAACCTATATTCGTGGTTATTTAACGTTGTGTTAGTCCCCGGTGACGCGTTGACCCGGATCTATATCGCTACGCAGACGTGATGTTTGCCTTCTGAAGAACAGGGAGGAACCTCCTCTGCGATCAGCAGACTCACGCAAACCACCGAGTCAGCTGTTTTCGCGCTTCGAAAACAGCAGCCGGTCAGCTGCGCGGTCACGTGACGCGGTCACGGATCGATCCCGCCGCCTCCTGATCGTAACTTGGGACAAAACGTTTGATAAAAACGGGGGCGAGTGGAAAAAAAAAAAAAAACGCGAGGGCAGTCGACTCACCTCGCGGTACGATCGGGACCTTTCTGTCCTCAGCATTCCTCCGCACTTCCTTCACCTGCAAAACGGCCCCCGCTGCTCGAGGGGAACCGTCCCACTATTTGTGGAAAGTCCCGACAGTTACTTGAACAAACAACGGATGCATGTTGCAAGTTTCCCGTGTTTTTGGTCCCTTTTTCCCGCTTTACAGACACACACACACACACACGCACGCGAGCATAGGTCGTATGGCCCGTCCCGTCCGAGGCACCTTCGGCCCGCGCTCCAATAGTAAACCCTGCGTCCTCAACGTTTCCTCGTTTCATTTCCCTCCCCTCCTTGGATTAAAACCTTGTGCTGCGTTTAATGTGCACATTGTAAAAGTCCAATTCCAAAACGCCGAGGGCACAAATGAGCTGAAAAGTGACATTTACATTGGATTAACATTTCATTATTCATACATCTATGTTGGTTTAAATAAAAGTACATACGTAAACTCACCAGGCACTATGGGCTATTAACAGTGTATTATAATTACTGATTATTGAATGTGTAAGTGCCACTAATGGTGCTGAGTATCCCAGTGCACAAATACATCGTTATTCATTTGTTTATTTATTTTATGTATTATTCATCTGAATCTGCAATTAAATTGGTAATGTTGGCAAATGAATGTAGCAAAAAGTACAATATTTCTTTCCAAATATAGACATGAAGTGTCGGCTTCATTATAACGACAAATAACGGTTTGCAAAGACTCCCTGCACTCAAATGTTGCCCATTTATGCTTCTCAGTCTCAATCTCTTACTTGCAGTATGTTGAACATTAACTTAATCTGAAGATATTGTACCTGTCTTCATATCTGACAATTTGAGTGGAAATCGAGCCAATACATTGACGTGTGTCATTCATGTATCTCTGAGCTACAAGTTGTTAGTTATTTACACACGACCAAAATGGAATGAGTGTTTGTTAATTTGTATGTATGTATTGTATGTGTGTGTGTGCGTGTGTGTGTGTGTGTGTGTGTGTGTGTGTGTGTGTGTGTGTGTGTGTGTGTGTTCAGAATCACGTACCATTACATTTCCCGACGCTCTCAGTGGACTCTGTAATTTCCCGGCGGCAGTAAACGCAGCACCGCCGCCTCACCGGGAAGTGGATGACAAAGTGTCCGGGACGCAATTGCGCACCAAACTCCTGCAAACAACGCTCTCGCCATGGCAACGGCGCGAATCTGTGTCCTGCTCGTCGTCGTCCTCTCCGCGACTTTAGCAGAAGACTTTAAACTAAAACACAAACCCTCCACGGAAGCGGTGCGGCTGTTCACCGAGGAGGAGCTGAGGAGACACGACGGAAGCGCGGTGATCTTCATCCATCGATCCATCAGTCTCAGCACGTGCGTCCGCGCGTCCACGATAACAATGTGTCTCTCCTCTGTGTCTCCCTGTTTCAGGAGGGACACCCCATCTACATGGCGGTAAAAGGGGTAGTGTTTGACGTCACCAAGGGAAAAGGTGCATAAACCGCCATGGAAATAATAAGGATTCACAAGATGAAGAAAACTTTATTAAGTCAAATGAACCACTTGAGACCAGACATTTGTCAGATGTTTTGAACCGACGTCTCATTTCACACACTGCAGAGTTTTATGGACGCGGTGCCCCGTACAACGCCCTGGCGGGTAAGGACGCCACGCGAGCCGTGGCCAAGATGTCCCTGGACCCAGCAGACCTGACCGCCGACCCTGTAGGTCCAGTGCTGTTGTCCTGAGGGTCAACGGGGTCACACGGCATTGCGATCCTGGCCCACGGTGCTAATCAAAGTTGTGTTGTTTTTTCCAGACGGGCCTCACCGAGGAGCAGCTGGAGTCCCTTGACAGAGTCTTCGAGGAGACGTACAAAAGGAAGTATCCCATCGTGGGTTACACGGCGGCACGCGTCCTCTCCGACGATGGCCGTCCCAACGCGGCCTTCAGGCCGGAGGACCAGCCTCAGTTCCAAATCAAAGATGAGTTTTAATCTCATTTGAGTGTTCAGGTCACTGCTGGAAAAGACTTTCATGGGGATTTAGTTTTTAAAAATATTTTCCCTTTACTTGATTGGAATCACAGCGTAAAATGCGTACAAGACACGGACAAAACAAGAATGGTATAAACACTTTTATTCATATGTTTATAAGTATTAAAAATATCAGAAAATTGTCAAGTATTTAAAACAAACTAAGTTTTTGAAGCAGGAAATTGTCCCATTGGAAGCTGCAGAAACAACGATGAAGGATTGTTCTGATTCACTGAATGTAGATTGACTCGTTTCAGTACAAATGCTGTCATTAACTGCATTGACCCTCTGAATATCAATGAAACTCAACAAACACAGAATCCGCTTCTCTCTGAATTTGTCCCACTTTACATCCTCTTTGTACAGTCGCCATTAAAGAAAAACGTTCCAGGCGTTTGCGCTTCAATCACTCGCTGGCGTCGACGCGTTATCTCGATGGGATCCGGCTGTATAACAGCTCATGACTCACTCGTGCCACCTCCAAACGGGGCAACTTAAATAGTACGTCCTGGCGTTATGCAGCGTCGACCAAAGGTCACCAGTTCCGGTGGTGAGACAGGTGATCGACTTCAGGTAGGAGCCGCGCGCGTCTCGCCCTCCCTTCCCTCCCTCCCTCCCTTCGCTGGTCGCCAAAGTCGAAACCTCCCACACGCCGCTTTGAGCGACCTGCAGCCCACGAGGTTCAAAGGACACCGAGCCCTGCCCTTCAGCGTGCCGGCGAGCGAGCGGAGCGGCGTTCTTTATCAGCCGGAGGTCCTGCCGGGAGTCGTCCACTGCAGCCCCGCTCAGCCCGGGAGACACTTTGTTCACTTTCCTCTGCTGGAGCTCGTCCACCGACCGGAGCCAAGATGCCCAGAACAGTAAGACTCGCACTCGCCTTTCTGTACAAGAGATTGAATGCGTCACTGAAGAGTGTCTCTTCCTGGTTTGGGTCTGAAGGGGGGGTTGTACATTCATCTTTGAGCATAAAACAAATCTGAACCGTATTTCATGTTACTCACAGTTTCAATCACGGGATCTTCCGTGTGAGTTATTTCTAAGGGGAGCCTTTTCTTCTTGGCATTTACTCATTAACCGAATGTAGAGTTTGACCCACGCTGCTCACATTCCTGCCTCAAACAAGGCTCCACAAACGCTGCTTCAGGGCCAGAACGCCGGCGTATTTCATCCGTGTGCTCGTGCGGAACGACCAGGGGGGGGGGGGCTCTGTGAATGTCGAACTTTCACCAGCAACTCATGACTTTAGGCTTCGACCGCTTGTTGCCTCCCCTCCTCCCTCCCTCATCATGGGAGACAGTCACCCAAAACAGCAGAACCCCTTTTTTGCATTTTATTCACGCTCCCTGTTAGATCCGCTTCAGCTTTCGGCATCCGTCTGTGGGTGAACTGATAAGAAAAGACCGGATTGTGCGTTGACTCCCCAAGGAGAAAGCCTCTCTCGGGAGGTCACGCTGACGTTAAACCCACTCCAGACGTCACCGGTCGCGCGGTGGAACGTTTCGCCTGTGCTGCTCTGGGAAATGCCTGAGGACGCTATCCAATGTTTGGCTTAGCTTTAAACCGTTAACCAGCAAAGTAAAGGTTGTGTAGATATCAGAAACAAGTCCAAACTAAACACACAAAGCTGGGATCTCAAAGCGGACGGAACGCATGTCGACCGGGGCAAACGGAAACAGTCGGGGAGCAAGATTTCATAAATGGATGCCCCAGTTTTTGTTGCCTAAGTTTCAGAGGGTTTATCTTTACGACACCTTGGGTGTGCTCTCGCACAGCTTCATAAAATCATTGTGTAACTGCTGCCAACCAGACCGGGGCCGCAGTCCAGGGTCTTGCAGTTAGTCTTATATATTGAGATGGTGCTTATCTTCTTGTAAATACGTTTTAAAAACACACACAGAAGTCAGAGATGTGCGCCCCTTCAGCTGGTCTCACTAACAATGGCGAAGTCTGGAGGCAACTGGAGGAGTATTTTGGTATTTTAGTCTCCGCAGGTTCACCCTCGTGGCACGACGCAAGCAAGTAGTCCAAAGTCTAATGAGATAGTGAGCAATTATGGTTTATGGACAATCCTTTTCACAACTCCACACAGCTGACTATGATTTAACTTTTTAACCCCAACAAAAGGTTGTTTCATGAAGTTACCGTCAAATGCAAATGCAGCCGCAATAAAAGTCGACAAATAAGCTAAACTTTGCATGCTGAACAGAACAGGAAATGCAGGACTGATGGATTCCATAAGGTACATGTAGGTAGAAACATTCAAAGAAAAAAACTAAATGCTGAACTGACACAGGACTCGATAATGTCTTTTTTTGCCACAGGTCAACGTTCGCGTCACCTCCATGGACGCAGAGCTGGAGTTCTCCTTCCAACCAAACACCACAGGGAAGCAGCTCTTTGACCAGGTGTGTCTGCGTGAAAAGCACCAGGACGCCGACTCACACCGTCAGTCTCAGTTGGGAACCTCAGCTCGTTGGTTTCAGTTCTCTTGAAAAAAAATCAGTCAACTGTAACGTGTTCAAAATAAAAGTATTTGTTAGGCAGCAGATGACTATAATCAGCGTACTGTTTTGATATTAATGGACATTATCATTACTTAGTAGCTTAATGCTGTTGGTTACTAATCCAATACAGTGTGCGTTACGTTTCAAATGTAAGCAGTAAGTAACTAAAGCCGTCAGACGAATGCAGTAAAAAGCACATTGAACCTAAAACCGAAGGTGGATTCTTCCTGAGCAGAACTTGGTAAGCGTGAAGAATGAAAAATAATAAAACAATAAAACTTGTCCATCCCCCTCTCTGTGTGTCCAAGGTGGCCAGGACCATCGGACTGCGTGAGATTTGGTACTTTGGGCTTCAGTTTGTCGACTCTAAAGGATTCATCACCTGGCTGAACTCTGAAAAGAAGGTAAGTCTGTGTTTTCACTTTCATCATGACAGTATCATACATTCAAATGAAATATTTCAGTTACTTCTCCAGCCTCATTTCTATCCTGGAATAAGCTGATAAAACATATAGAAAGTAGCAGATTTTTTAAACCTGAACTCTATTCTCCGATTTTTCCCCTCACCTCCCTCCTCCCTCCTCTCCTTCACTCCGTTACCTCTCCAGGTGATGGTGCAGGATGTGAGGAAGGAGACTCCCCTGCAGTTCAAGCTGAAGGCCAAGTTCTACCCGGAGGACGTGGCCGAGGAGCTGATCCAGGACGTCACCCGCAGGCTTTTCTTCCTGCAGGTGAAGGAGGACATCCTGGGGGAGGAGATCTACTGCCCGCCAGAGACCGCCGTGCTGCTGGGCTCCTACGCCGTCCAGGCCAAGTACGGAGAGCAGGAGAAGTCGGCGCTGGAGCCGGGATACCTGTCCTCCGAGCGCCTGCTGCCCAAGAGGTGAGCGCGAGAAACCATGTTCTCCTCACGCGAAAAGACGGATAACGTACTGTGTGGAAAACAGGCCTGACAAACTAATAGAGGAGGCGGATACTGTTAAGTCTCCTTTTATAAATGGTTGCTCATATATTAAACAGCACACCATATTTGACATATTCGATAGCGAATGAAGGAGTATGCGTCCAGTAATAAAGTTGATGAACTGACTGAGAAGCAGCTTGTTTGAAGCATCTAAATGTGTGCTTTGATTTCTGCGGGCAAAGGATGGTAAATGTAACAATTTAAAAAATAACTCAAACGTGAAGCTGCGACCGCCAACGAGACGATGCGTTTGATTTGTCTCCGTCGGCACACACAGACTGTTTACATTTTCCCCAGTGGGTTTGCTGATAACTCGTCTCCCCCCTCAGAGTGCTGGAACAACACAAGCTGTCCAAGGAGCAGTGGGAGGAGAGGATCCAGGTCTGGCACGAGGAGCACAGATCAATGCTGAAGTAAGTCATTAATGCTCTCGAACTGTGTTTGTCTTCTTCTTTTTAAAAGCGAGACCGTATCACCTTTCAAAGAAGAAATAACACAGTTTCCTCCTTTCAAAATGAAAGGAGGACTCAGCATAATAAACAAGTAGAAGCATTCCATGGACTCAAATAGACTTTGTTTGCGGGGCTCTTTGGATAAGGATTTCTAAAGCAAATACTGGGAAAAACTCTCTTTCGACCGAGCTTCTTTTGTCCCGGCACGGCTGTGTTGGACCTGCAATCAGGCTCTGACGGGTTTTTGGCATCAGGGCTTCATCGGGGAGTCAAATCTCGTGGTTTGAAGTGTCGCACCAACTCAAGATCCCAGGAGATGGCGTCCTGTGGTGCACAGCGTTCATCATGGCTGAAGTAACGAGCTGCACAGCAAAGACAAACAACGTTCCCAAGAAAAAATCAATCATGACAAAAAAGCAGTAAAATCCTCTCCCTGATTTCATTTTTTAGATCACAGCCACCAGCCGGTAGTCGCGTTAGCTCACTTTCCGACGGGTGTCGCTTTTTAACATCACCGAGTCACGTTTTCCTCTGCAGTCTCTGATCAGATAGACGCAACAATAACTTGTTACAATATGTCGTATCGTTCATTCAATTCTTAACTGTTCCCCCCAAACAGGGAAGAGGCCATGATCGAGTACCTGAAGATCGCCCAGGACCTGGAAATGTACGGCGTCAACTACTTTGAGATCAAGAACAAGAAGGGCTCGGACCTGTGGCTCGGCGTCGACGCTCTGGGGGTGAACATCTACGAGAAGAACGACAAGTGAGCAAACGAGCCAGCGACTCAAATCGACTCGCCAAGTGTAGCGTTTATTGATTCGATGACACACAGTCGTAGACGGGAGGGCAACGCACAAGCAGTCACCGACCTCTGACCCCTTCGCTTTCCAGCCGGTCGAGTTTTAAATAGCACGGCTGTTTTTCAGGGCTTTGACCCAATTTTCTTGATTCTACTACAAAATGAACAACGTTGCCTGCATGTTACGTGAGAAAGGTTTGGAATATTCAGTGAGGGCAAACCAGCTTTTTAAACGTCTTGTCTGATTTTTTTCTACAACCTCCAGGCTTTCTCCGAAGATCGGATTCCCCTGGAGTGAAATAAGGAACATTTCTTTCAACGATAAAAAATTCATCATCAAGCCCATTGATAAGAAAGCTCCTGTGAGTATTAAACACAAGGTCCTCAGTAGAATATCAAGTGTGATGCAGAGATAAATTTGATGCAGATTTGTCGCCTTGAAGAACATTTTTAATTAAACTAACTTGCATGTACTTTTTTAGGTATCAATGCAAAGTCAACGGAATCTGGCATACTTATGGCTCAGTGAAACAATGCTAACAAAAGCTTTTTACCGTTTCCTTTCATGATTACATCCTCTAAATGAAGCAAATTACACCTGGAGGAAGTTCATTTATCAAATAAGCTGTACAAAAAACGTTTTGATCTACACACACGGACCTTGACGCTTTGTCCGTGTTCTCAAGGATTTTATTTTCTACGCTCCACGGCTGCGAGTCAACAAGCGCATCCTGCAGCTGTGCATGGGCAACCACGAGCTGTTCATGCGCCGCCGCAAGGCCGACACCATCGAGGTCCAGCAGATGAAGGCTCAGGCCAAAGAGGAGAGGCTGCAGAAGAAGATGGAGAGGTGAGAGGGGAGGGTTTTTAAAGGTCTAAGGAGTCACACCCGCCACGGGGACGCGTGGTGAACGTCTTTGGTTCTCGTGGTTCGCCGCAGGGATCAGCTGGACGGCGAGAAGAAGAAGAGGGAGGCCATGGAGAAGGAGAAGGAGCAGATGGAGAGAGAGAAGCGGGAGCTGATGATGAAGCTCTCCCAGTTCGAGGAGACGACCAAGAGAGCAGAGAGAGGTGAGGCGTTTATGTCACGCTGCAAAAAGAGGAAAAACAGGTAGAGTTCTTGCAGCAGTAGGATCTTTTTTTTACTTAAATACAAAGCGTGGCTTTACCGCCCTCTTCTGTTGATTTGCTTGAAATACATCTTTACATTAAAAAGGTTAACGGTGAAGGGAATATTTAGGGGATTAAGTCATAGAAAAAGCCGGTGGATGAAATATCCACAAACAATTAATAATGTAGAAATTAAATACAAAGAAAAATAACAAAATAAACATAATAAATAAGCAATACTAAGTTAATTATAAACACTAATATTCCTCAGCAAATACATAAGAAACTACCAAAATACTGCAAAAGCCAAAAAGGTCAGGAACTATCGCCTTAAGTAAAACAAATTAGTCATAAATGCATCCCAACGCGCACAAAAATCCCCAAATCTGAGATCCCCCCCCAGTAGGATAATTCCCCTGACTTTGTCCCGCAGAGCTTCAGGAGCAGCTGGACAGGGCCATGAGGCTGGAGGAGGAGAGGAGGAGGGTGGAGCAGGAGGCGGCCCGGCTGGAGGCTGAGAGGATGGAGGCCATAATAGCCAAGGAGGAGCTGGCCAGGCAAGCTGAGGACCAGATAAGGAGCCAGGAGCAGCTGGTGAGTACACGGTGCAAGAAGCACTCGAATCCTTCACGTGAGAAGAAGTCGTCATGCAGAGCTGCGACGTCCAGGACGAACACTTATTGGCTGTTTTCACTGCAGTTTGAACTTGTGGTTTTTTTCGTGTTTTGGGGGGTTATTCTGGGCTTTGGTTTCCCTCGCACCGTGAGAAAATCCACTGAGAGTCTATTTCCACTTCAAATCTCCTGAGAAAATGTCCTTTATTCATGAGGTCACTTAGCAAAACAAAAGCTGCTGTTTTGTTTTCACGACATTGCCAGAGCTTATTGGATTTGACAAGTCTGAATTTTTGTTTATCCATTGGTAAAATGACGTCGTGTTGAGACGGCCTGAGGTAATCGGGGGTCTATTGTCTGCCCCCCCCCCCAGACACTGGAACTGGCCGATTACAGCGCCAAGATCACTCTGCTGGAGGAGATCAAGAGAGAGAAGGAGGAGGAGGCCGAGTCATGGCACATCAAGGTGACATTTAGTTAGTTTTTTGTGTTTTGTTGCTTACGTTTGGAGAAAAAAAGATTCATTTGTATTTGGTTACTTTTAAATTACTGATACTTAACACATGCCGTTGCTTAATATCCTGTAGGTTTGTATCCATTATAAACGATTCTCTTTTTGAGCACTTTGTTTTTATATGTATCTTTGATATTTTCTGGTGAAAAAGGGCCTTCAGACTAACTCTGGCCCATTAATGCTGTTTTATCCAATATACTAAAATCCTCTTTGTCGCAGGCGAAGGAAGTGGAGGAGAATCTGATCAAGACGAAGGAAGAGCTGCACAGCGTGAGGAGCTCTAGCAACTTAATTCCTGTTAAAGCTCCTGCTTCCTCCTCCTCCTCCTCTTCTTCCTCCTCCTCGGACAACGAGGACAACGAGGGGAGCGACCACGAGAGCGAAGAGAACAACACCTACAGCGCCGAGCTGCAGACGCAGGAAGTCAACAACCACCACGAAGAGGAGGAGCGGCTCACCGAGGCCGAGAAGAACCAGCGCCTGCAGGAACAGCTGATGGTGAGTTCAGGGTCCCGGGATACAGCCCGCCTACAGCAAGCTACTTTCACTAGCATAAAAATGCCTTTTTAACCAGAATTCAAGTGGATATTTGTATTTACTGGGTTTTTCAAATGGAACGCGCCACGTAATCGTTGCTAGATAGAAACGGTTGGATGAAGCAGTTGGATCCTGTTTAGGTCTGAGCTCGTTTGGTGGTTTATTCAGTGAAATGTCCTCCGTCCACAGGCTCTGAGCTCAGAGCTGTCAGAAGCCCGACACGACGACAAGAAGACCGCCAACGACGTGCTCCACGCCGAGAACGTCCGGGTCGGCCGCGACAAGTACAAGACCCTGCGTCAGATCCGCATGGGCAACACCAAGCAGAGGGTCGACGAGTTCGAGGCCTTGTAAAAAAACCTCAGAGACGTGAAGATCTCTTAAAAATCCTAAAAATCTCCTGTGTGCTGTTCATTCAAACATTAAACATTAAAAACATCAGTAAGCTGGTGTGTTGTGTTATTGCACCAAATGCAAGGAGTAGAATTCCGATTAAGTCAATACATTTCCAATCAGGATTTTAATCAGCAATTACAGCAATTTTACACATTGATTATTTTTACGTTGTTTTTACGTCTTGTTGCGTCGTGTTGCTTGTGTGTCCAAAAGACAATTAAAACCCCCAAACACTTTCAAGCAGCAAATCCTCATATTCAAAATGCCAAATTACCTTTTTGCTCCATAAATGACTAAAACATTTTTTTTGGTAGCCACTTTATCCATTAATATTAGTAGTAGTATTTACTCTTCATGCACATGTTTTCATTGTGTAGTGTCCAAATAACAAATAGCAATTTATTTAACTAGTTCTGATACACTTTTCATCTATAGGGTTTTATGATGTTTAATCAGAAATAGACTGAAACAGGAACATCTGATGTATTTTTAATGTATTTTTGGTGTTATTTAAACAACGTTCTGCTTTCATAGTTCCAGTACACACATGTCAAATCTAGTAATTTGATCTAATTATAAAGAAGGTGTTATTCTTAGATTTTAAGAGCGAGACACTTCCTCTGGCAGACGCCTACATTTCCCATAATGCAAATCAACAACGTCCGATCACGTGAGCTGGACTTTTCTTAAATGAAACCCTGATTACAGCTATTATCCATTAAACCAGCGTTAATACTTCCAGGAAGGAGCCGAACTCTGCCACATACAACTTTATGAAGACACCTCATCCATATTTCCCACTTTCATGCCACAACACGACAAAACGATGCATCGTCCCTCCTTCTTTCCTTGAAACAATCCTTCATCGCGTGACATAAGTTTGAGATGAAGATTCCTGCAGCAGGGGACACGAGGATGCGGCTTTGAAATATTTGCTCACGGATAAACGATGGTTATCGTCGGGGTTGCTAGACAACTTATGGAGCCAGCAGAGCCTCTCTGTTTAAATAGCGACTGGGCAAATATTCACACACACGCACACACACGCACGCACGCACGCACGCACGCACGCACGCACACACACCAGGCCACAGCTATCGACGTAAGCAGGTCGTTGCTGGAGCTTCTGCTCAGGAGTCAGCGTGTTTATTTTGGCCTCAGGTAAAGAACGAGTTGTGCTGCTTTATGTGTGTGTGTGTGTGTGTGTGTGTGTGTGTGTGTGTGTGTGTGTGTGTGTGTGCGTGTGTCGGTTGATTAGAGCCACCACCTCTCTGAAAGCGTGGGATTGCCCCCTCGTGTGTTTCTTTTCTGCACAATCTAAATATAAGCCGGTGACAAATAGTCCAAATACAGTATCAGCCCAACTGTGACGTGGGGGTGGTGCTGAGAGAACAGCTCCGTCTCCAAAGAGCCCCCCCCCGGCCTCCCCCCTCCTCCCCTCCACGACCGATTCTGTTGGATCCGGAGTCCGTCAGGAGCAGGTCGCAGGAGAGTCTCAGCTCCCTCCCCCTCCTCCTCCTCCACCTCCTCCTCCACACACACACACACACACACACACGCACGCACACATGCACGCACACGCGCACCCCCCGCTCGCGCACTCACACACAGCCTCCTACCTGCAGCTCTTTCGGTAGCCATGAAGAGACAGAACGCCCGGACCCTCGCGCTCATCATCAGCATCCTCACCTACCTGGTGGTGGGCGCGGCCGTCTTCGAGACCCTGGAGTCCAAGCAGGAGAAGACTCACAAGAGGAGGCTCGACTCCAGGCGGCACGAGCTCATGCGCAAGTACAACTTGACCAAAGAGAACTTCGAGGAGCTGGACCACGTCGTCCTGCAGCTCAAGCCGCACAAGGCGGGCGTCCAGTGGAAATTCGCCGGGTCTTTTTACTTCGCCATCACTGTGATAACGACCATAGGTGAGCTGGAAGTTTTCTTCATTCACAAATTAAAAGCACAGAAGTTCACAGCGGGGAACCGAAGTCTCCACCGTTTGAATGAATGAATGAGGTTATATTATGATACGTTCGTGGGTTGTTTTAAAGCAAGAATCTACGCCGTTTCTATAAGGAACTTTTTCACAGGACAGGATTTTAGAGAAGAAGAGTTTTTTTATTTTGTGAAATATTAGTTTTAATCTGCTTTATCTGTAACTGATTATTTCAGCCTTCGTTTTTACAAAGAAAATGTCTTAAAAAACATTACAATAATTGTAACTGTCCTTGTTAAAAAATTGGGTAAAATAGGAATCCAAGTTTAGAGAACGCATTGTTCTATAATATATGTAACTCAAAAGAAAACCACTGTGTATTTACTAGTGTTCCTGGCATTTTACTGCATGAGTTTGAATTCTCAATTTTGTGTTAGGAATTCTGCCCCCAACTGGTTGAACCCCCAGTATTGCATTTCAATTCTTCTGTTAGCTGACCTGGTGCAGGTGAAGTAGATGTTGGCAGCTTTCGTACTAAACCAATTTAATTAGTGTGTGCAGATCCTGTGGAACTAAGTAAATGCGAAACAACCGTTTTAGCCAATTACCTTGAGCTCAAACTGCCGCTCAACTAATAGCATCTGAGGTGTAAAAGTGTGACGCGTGCTCCCTCAGGTTACGGCCACGCCGCGCCCAGCACCGACTCAGGGAAAGTGTTCTGCATGTTCTACGCCCTCCTGGGGATCCCGCTCACGCTGGTCATGTTCCAGAGCCTGGGCGAGCGGATCAACACCTTCGTCAGGTACCTGCTGCACCAGGCCAAGAAGTGCCTGGCGATGCGTCACACCGAGGTGTCCATGGCCAACATGGTGACCGTGGGCTTCTTCTCCTGCATGAGCACGCTGTGCGTGGGGGCCGCGGCGTTCTCCCACTGCGAGGGATGGAGCTTCCTCCACGCCTTCTACTTCTGCTTCATCACGCTCACCACCATCGGCTTCGGAGACTACGTGGCGCTGCAGCGGGACGACGCGCTGCAGAACGACCCCCGCTACGTGGCCTTCTGCTTCGTCTACATCCTGATGGGCCTGACGGTGATCGGAGCGTTCCTCAACCTGGTGGTGCTCCGCTTCCTGACCATGAACACCGAGGACGAGCGCAGGGACGCCAAGCAGAGGGCCCTGATGTCCGTGGGCAAGCCCAGGGGGGAGGTCGCCCGCCTGCTGCCCGTCTCGGCCTCGACCTCTTCGACGGCCGCGGCGGGCGGCTCCGCCAGGGCGAAAGATTTAAAAGGTGTCTACACCGAGGTGCTGCATTTCCAGACTATATGCTCCTGCTTGTGGTACCGCAGCAAGGAGCAGCTGCAGGGCTCCAGGACCACCATGACCCCTCAGGAGCTGACGTTCTCCGATGCCTACATGCGGCAGGGCAGTAACTATCCCCACTGCGTGGAGCCCGGGTCCACGGGCTGCGTCTGCAGTCCGCGCCAGTGCTCCAGCATCAGCTCCATAACGACAGGCCTGCACCTCCTCTCCCCGTTCAGGATGTTCAAGAGACGCAGCTCCGTCTAGCCTTTTTACCGGCGCAGCGAAACAGCTACATGGCGCTAATCTCAGTAAACAGTGGGACACAGGGTGGGGGGGAACGTACAGTACTGTAAACAAGACATCCTAAAATATGTGTTTTAAGGAAAAGGAAATGTTTGGGATTTGAGATCTAATCGCGTAAAGACGTCATCTGAACACGAGGTCGTACACGAGTCGAAGGCGAACCACCGCAATGCAGGTGCTGCTGGGAAGGTGTTTCTGTTAATAGTCCCACAGGTGCTGATTTGAGTCGAGGCGTTATTTCTTAGAGTTTTTCCTTTGACGTGTTTGTGACTGATGCTGCACAATTTCTGGTTTCTCGTTACCCTGAAACCCAAAACAAATCGTGATTGTCAGAACTGTATTAAAGCCGACACACACACACACACACACACACACACACACACACACACACACACACACTGATAACTGATAACTTGACATGACTCATTTTTTCTGTGTAGCTGCCTCTGTTATTGTGAATTTCAGAGGTCTCGGCCCAAACTGCTGGTGCATCAGTCACAAACTCTGCAGAGTTATGTAACGTCACAAGTGGAAAAGTTCAAAAAATCAGGATGACATATCCGTAACGCAGTAAAACCGCATTAACACAAGGACACCCACCGGCAGGTACTGAAACACGCTCAAACACGCTTTTAAAGAAGATCCCTTACTTTGGTGTTACCTTGTTTGCAAGGTAAGAAAAACACTTAACTTCCACCTGTATGTTACGTAAAGTAGAATAGGGAGAACCACTTCGCACTGAGGTGCACGTTCAGCCTTCCAGCTGTGAAAAGGAAATCCTCATCCAAGAACTCCAATTATTTTCAACTAAATTGCATCATATTAACCTACACGCTAATGTCCCCGTTTGCCCTGTATCATGTTTACCAAGAGTTTGAAGCGGGTTCACTCGCTTCACACAACTCCTCTTCTCCCCCTAGAATGCCTCTTGGCAAACAACAGCAATCGCGATGAACTGGAAAAGCGCAACAAACCGTCCTGCTTTGAGAAAACTTCCGTCTCTGCTCTACATACAAAACAACTGTGACATACACAAGGTTACCAGGCTCATTCATAGTCAAGGAGATTGTGCAATGCAGTATGCGGCCCCAAATTCGTGAGAAAAACACAAAAACAAAAGTATATTTGGAGGAGAGCGGAGGATGAATTTAGGCTGCAGAAGCGGCTCTTAAGTCTGGTGGTACGGCAGCTGATGCCTCTGTTGCCACACGGCAGCCGGGTGAACAGGCGGTGCTGCGGTGCGTATTGTCTTTTTATATCCTTTGGGATCCACCCAGTGAAAGCATTTTTTCACTAACGTTGGAGGCGATTGCGAGAGACTTGTGGCGTGAAGTGTTGTAATGTGTCCGCATATATATACATAGTAGTGTGTTGTTTGTTCTTTTAAAACGTATTTGGAAACTCATTTTTTGGTAACTATTACAGACAACTACAACTCTTTTTTTTAATGCTAACTACATAACTTTGTTCCATGTATCTGTTCCTCCTCAAGCCAGTAGCTGGTTAGCTTAGCCTAGCATAAACAATAGAAACAGGGGGAAACAGCTAGCCTGGCTCTGTCCAAACGTAACAAAAATAAACAAAAGTATTTTTCAACCACAAGTTGTTGGTCACCTCGTGGGTGTTTTTGTGGCTTTTTTGCATAACCCTAAATTAGATTTTTTTTTTACCTAAACCTAACTGCATGTAATCATTTTAACACCAACCATGACGTTTCCCTTAAACCTATAAGTAGGTAGTTTGTTGCCTAAACCTTTGTGTTGTAACGTAACAACAGCCCAAAAAGAAAAAATGTATCTGAGCAACGCAAAAAAAAAATGTGTCTCCCTCCAAACAAAACTAATTCATTCCATTTCGTGCAAAGCTAGCTCATCTTTATGCTAAGCTAGGCTAATCTAACTCTGACTCCAGCTCCATATTTAACGCACAGGCGTAATAATCATAATGATAATGATACATTTACTGTTCCAACTCTCGGAAGGAAAACAAAGGAGTGTCTCCCCGAATTGTTAACATATTTTTCAAAGGCCAACACTAACAACCGCGGTTAAAACACAAGCTCAAACATGTTCTGAGTGTGAATCTGCTCGGCTTTTCATCCCTCTCCACCCGGTCCGAATCACATCTGCATCAAACAGCAGATGCAAACTGTTAATTGGAGCAGCCGGGGGTGGCAGATGGGAAGAGGTTGTCCCTGATTGGACAATGGTTGTCAATCACAGATAATTAGGCCAAAATAAACTTGGTCTCTCTAATTGATGGGAGAGAAGAAAGAAGTCCTCGCTCAGATACCATTTCTTGTAGTTCTGTCCTTATTTTTGTGATAAATTAAGAATTTGTTCCTTGAGAGCACACGGTGCGACGTCACGTTATTTTTGTCAATTTCTGCTCAATTGGTGTCCAAATAAATAAGGATATATTATTGAATATAAGGATAGAATACACAGACTTTTACATAAGTGGAAGTAGTCACCATGACAACACACATTGTTTTGTGGACTACTTTTTTAAAGCCGCGAGAAAGAAAAAACACATTGTGAATAGGTTTTATTGAAGGAACTTGAAACTAGAGATCTAATTGGCTCCTATGGGACCAGAGGAGAATGCGAGTTTGAGGCAGTTTCACATTGTCCCAACTTTTTCAGACCTCTGATAAAAAAAAGCTAGAAGCTGAAAATACGATACTTGTACATATACAAGTACCTCAAAATCAAAAAATAATTCACGAGTCAGGATGTCTATAATGTGGAAAGTTTTAAACACCAACGTGTGACACACAATGGGCATAAAAGTGCCAGAAATGACACATAGGTACTTCTTGATTCAGGCCCCGGGCCTATTGAGGACCTGTTGTGATGGAAAGTACCTCATCGATGTGCATAAGTACTGTTTGCATGTGGTTATGGATGACGAACAATAAGTGACCCTGAAATCAACAGCCTTCTGTATGCGTTATGCAAGTACTGTATTAGTTTTAGAGCAACGTCGTGTAGCGCAAACAGACAATGTTTCCACCTTTCTGGGATGTTTCTAAAAATGGAGAATTTACCAGGTGACGTAATGACAGCCTAACACCGTTGAACTATTCCCGTCTTTGACATAGATAGTCAGGTCTGTGGCCAAAGTAGAAAACAGCAGATGGTTCAGCCACGGGGGGTCAATACAGGGACTTGTCAAATGCATGCTCCTTCTGTTCCTTTTCTGTGCACGCCTAATGGCTGAAGGCAGATCCAAAGGCACGAGGCCAGGTCTTGGTTGATCTTGCAGTGACGAGCCGATCATCAGAGTCCTTTTTTCATCTTCAGACGTTTAAAATGATTCCATGTGCTATACACGCGTTGTTTGATTACACTCCGAAGCCAAACTGGTTGTAAACACATTTTCAAAATTACTATTTTCTGCCGTAGGTGTTTCTGCTATTTCGTCCACCTCCTGCTCGCTGTACCACATGACGCTCTACCAAATATACATACTCCCACAAACCATGACATAAGGATACACCGTCATACTTTCGGCTCGTGACTAACCTGCTGTAGTTTGTCCGGAACTGGACCTCAGTCAGAAAGCTGAGGGGTAAACCATCTGGACCAAACAGTCATTTCTATACATTCAGCAGGGTTTTCTCACACGGCACATGGTGAGGAACAGCATGAAGATGGTAAAAATCACATGACTACGTCTTATTCAATAGTTACAGTTAATACAGAAATTCTCAAATCTTCTCTGTAAATTCTGATTTGCTTCAAGGTGGATCAGAACATCCACTAAAACTCGAGGTTTTGGGATAAAAAAACCATTTAATGTTTTATATGGATGTTCATCTCTACACTTGAGAAGAATAGTGCAGTATTGTTTTGAATTAATGACTTAGCTGCAAACATCCCATTGTGACTTCATACTTACATATTTGGGCAAATGGAGTGTAACTTTTTAACTGTCCTTGTGCATTTGTTAATATGCAGTATTTTTATTTTTAAGACACCTCCCCATTGGCTTCCCTCTGCAGAACCACAGCTCGAACAATTGATCGATCACAAAATAAAACTGAATAATACAATACATTTACAAACTTTCTATGTATAATTCAAGGAACGATTAAAAAGGGATCAAACGTTGTGTTGTTTTTTCCCAGTTGACCACCACGTATCGACCCACCGCAGGTCGCAGTGTTCTCCCGGAAGGGGCGGGGTCACATCCAGCTGCTTAACTCCTAAAAGTTAAACGTCAATCGCACACACGTGACCTCCCACGCGCCGTTTCCCCCCGGAGCAGCAGGTGCGCACGTGTACCTGACCGCACGGCGCGCAACGTCTTTTTTTTTAAGTCGCGGTTCCGAGTTCTGAGGTTTTAGGAGTCGCAACCCGTCCAGCATGGAGTCGACCAGGATACTTTCTTTTTCTTCTTCTTCCCTTCTTCTGGGCGCGGCGGCGGCGGCTCTGGGTCTCGTCGGCCTCGGATACAAGTACCTGTGGAAGAAGCCGGAGGAGGTCGTGCGCGTGGGAGTCGTGTCCAAGCTGCTCATCCACCCGCTGAAGTCCGGCAAAGCCGTGTCCGTGGCGCTGGCAGAGTGCCAACCCAAAGGGCTGAAGCTCGGCGACCTGCAGGACCGGTGAGAGCTGCACCTCCTCCTCCATCATCACCAGCACCACCTCCTCCTCCTTCTCCTTCTCCTCCTCGGGCGCCTTCTTCTGCTTTCTCCTCTCGCTCTCATTTGTTTGCACCAAGTTGGGACTTTGTGCTCCGTAGTGAAACAGTCTGCTGTGTCATGAATATTACTTTTGGTACTTTTAGTCCAGCAAACTTTGGATAAACAAAGAATACTATATGGCTCTGCGGTATCTTCCTTTAATACTTTTGTTGAGATGGTTCTTAAACAGCAACCAGGCCATCTAATTAGGGCTGCAACAACGAATCGATAAAATCGATTAAAAGCGTTGGCAACGACTTTCATTATCGTTGTGTCGCGCGATTATTACGTCACTCAATGAGTTGCGGAGATGCGCGCGGAGCAAAAATAAAAATAAAGGTGCCGAGCCGACGTAGAGGAAAGCTCGCTAATAACCGCAGTAAAGCAGTTAGCAAGACTAAGACACGTTTTTATTTACTCGCCTCTTTTGGACCATTCATTTTTCAATGTGTTGTCTGTTATTTTGTGCTTTGTCCCATATCGGTTATTGTTGACAAATATATTTGTGTGTGTGTTGTACTTTTTAATGCTGTCATATATGGTAGTCCAGTGCGCTTGCGCATATACTGTGGGTTATACGGTAGTTGATGTTATGCCTGTAAAGGGAGACACATGGTGATCCATTAAATCAACTAAGAAGCCTCTAATGCATTTATTTACAAATGCCATTTTAAATTCATCTCATAGCACTTGGTTGTTTTTTAGCTGTATGCATTTACATAACTTGCACTACAATGATTTAATTTAATGAATATGCTTCAAGTGAACATGAGGGTGTGTTTGTGAGTGTAGTATAGAGAACTAGTTCTGACAAATTTGAGGTTCTGTTTTAGAATAAACGGTTTGAAATTAAAGCTTTTTAATGCCGTTTTAAAAAAAATCCGATTAATCAAAGAAATAATTGACCGATTAATCGATTATCAAAATAATCGTTAGTTGCAGCCCTACTCTAATGCATTAAAAACTCGCTGTTGCTGTTTTTACTTAAATTATTTTGAAATGTCAACACTTTTCAATATGTTACCATTGTTTATTTGAATGAAATTAAATGTACCAAATATTACATGTTTTACCAGATTAAACTGATACTTATTGTGCCCATATTTAATTTAACTGCCCAAACTTTGATAACATAAGAAGGAAAGTACAAAAGAAAATGCCAGATTTAATGAAACTGTAAGGCTCACTTCTGCCGTCTCTTTTGCAAAAACACTATTTCCTCAGATCTATTTCCTAACCAGTGGATAAAAATACATGTCAATATATATCTGGCATTTACAGATGAGTCGGCGGCACCGGCGTAGCCATGGCAACGTGCAACGTCCCTTTTTCGAAACGCTGCTAGAGTCGCAGCGGGCGCCTCGTTGCTCGAATCGAACCAGCGATGCCAAATGGTGCGCCTGAGGGGAAACCCCCGTCTCTGTTCTGCTTTCTGGTCGCAGTCACTGGCTGGTGGTGACCGAGGACGGCCACATGGTGACGGCCCGACAGCAGCCCCGTCTGGTGCTGGTGTCCCTGACCTGCGAGGGAGGTCGCGTGTGCCTGAACGGGCCCGACATGGAGGAGCTGAGATTCCCCGTCAAACAGGCCGACAACAGAGTGACCGGCTGCAGGTGTCACGCCATGTTTGAGCGCCCATTGTCTCCCACTGAATCCATTGTTTGTTTTACTTGTTTGCTTTGTTTTTCACTATTTGATGATCTACTGCGTGGAGAGACATTTGTCTGCAGTTTGACCAGAAAGAAAAATAGTCAACTTAAAAAAATATTAAAAAGGATACAGAAGATAAACGTATGCTCAAGATTCTATTGATTATTTTCTTGTTAAGCAAGAATTATTTTATCTTTTAAAAAAAAGTCAAATCAGTTGCGTCTTGTAAAAGTACAAAGTCTTTGTTTTGTCTGTCTCCTATGGAAACATGAGACTCAGTGAATATTTGTCTCTTCTTTCTTTGAGATTAAATGATTATAAAAATCTGACTCATTTTGCTTCATCATCATAGATACTTTAGATGTCGGTGACACTTGTTTCAAACCACAGAACTACTCTGTTTCCACACCGCTGTGAATGCTTGGTTTTGTGGTCGTCCTGCAGGGTGTTTGGAAAAGACATCCAGGGAAGAGACTGCGGCGACGAGACGTCTCGCTGGCTCACCCGCTACCTGGGGGAGGAGAACACCTTTCGCCTGGTGCACTTTGAACCGCAGATGAAGGGCAGGAAGGCGGAGGAGAGCAAGCCTTTTCCCCTGCCGGCGGAGGTAAACTGGGGCCCGTCTCTGCGTGACTCATTTAGTGAAATGGCGCTTTACCTGTATGTTGTAAGGTGTTTGGTATGTTTGTAAATCTTTTTAAGCCTTGCTGCACACAGGAGGTCTGTGATCGTTGCAGGAGCTGGCCTACACAGACATCGGACCTGTGATGCTGCTGTCCGAGTCTTCTGTCAAGGACCTGAGCAGCAAATTGGAGCACGAAGTCACGGTGGAGCGATTCCGCCCGAACATTGTCGTCAGTGACTGTGAAGCGTTCGACGAGGTGCGTCGCTCCCATCTGGAAATGTTGCTCCAATTTCAGGAACAAATATATATAAAAAAAAAATATCAAGGCGATCGTGCAAAGTTGACTTTGAACCACGAAAGGTCTCTGATGAACAGATCTGTGGTT